AATACGCGCAGGAAACGCTAAGCTGGTATTGGGCATGCGCAAATCCAAGGGGGCGGGGCCTCGGGGCATGAGTCGCCACGTCACTAAACTAATATAGTTTCAACGGAAGCTGCCATAGCGGGCGGTAGCGTGGCCGAGTGGTCTAAGGCGCTGGATTTAGGCTCCAGTCATTTCGATGGCGTGGGTTCGAATCCCACCGCTGCCACACCCTTGATGGTCTCACTTTTCTTTGCCTAAGCTATTTAGTTTGTCATCCTCTCCCAATGCAAGCTCATTTTTGCTCTTAAAAAAAAAAAAAAAAAGAATGGAGAGCAAACGCAGGCCCGGCCCTCACCTGCCTTAGCCAGCGCACAAACCCAGCAATCCCACTACCTAAAAAACAAAACCAGAACTGTCTCATTTCCAAGGAAAAATCATCTGAGATAATTTTAATAGTTTCCAGCAGACTGCCTACAACTTTAATTTACTGCTCCAGGGCTGGAGGCCACAGGGAGCAGACCCCATTATCTCTCAAGGACAAAGGTTAGGTGGGGGTGATTTCAATTATGACTTGAGTTAGGTCATAATTGGGAGGTTCCTTTCCAGCCCCCTCTGTGTCCTACGGGGAGCTCCAGCTGACCCCACAAACTTCTGTTGGTAGAACTGGTGTCAAGCGACCCTATAGAAAGGTTGCGGCATCGGAGGGCCTGCCCCACGTGGGGCTATCAACCTCAGAGTCCCAGCTTCATTGATCCATCTCATCGTGGGTCTTCAGGCTTGGCTCAGAGGCCTCTCATCTATTTATTTATTCAATAATTATGTGTGAAAGGTCTCCTGTGTGCCCAAAACCAAGATCATCCTGAGGCTACAGATCACAAGAGGCAGGCAAGTCTGCTCAACCCGGTTTTACAACTGCAGTAAATTCAGATTACACCTGTGAGGAGTGTTCTAAAGTGAGTGCTAACCTGTCTCAGGGTTGACCGAGGAGGTGACATTTAGCTGGGACTTGAAATTGAGAGGTCAGGTATGTGAAGGTGGGAGAGGGGAGTCCCAGGAAGAGGAAACAGCAGGTGGCAGATCCCAGCTGCAGATGAGAGCTGGGCGAGCTTGAGATGCTTTGAAGACAATTCAGGGCAGCTGAGCAGAGAGCAGCGCAGATGGGCCAACGGCAAGAGATGAGGTTGACCCGTTAGGCATGAAGGCTTCATTGAGGCTTTGAACTTCATCCTGAGGGCAATGGGAAACCATCAAAAGGTTTTAAATGGGAGGGCGGCATGTTCCAATTTGGGGTTCATAAAGTTCCCTCTGGAAGCAGGAACAGGAGGGTCCATTCAAAGTCTACTGCAGGTGTCTTGGAGAAAGGAGAGTGACTTGAACCATGCTTGTGACCGTGGGTAGGACCAAAAGGGTGGGTCGGACAGATATTTGGAAGTGATCTGACAGAACTCCCTGATGAGGATGTGAAGAACATGTCAAAAGTGATGACCAGCCAGGTTCAGGACTTGAGCCCCTGGCTGGTGGCACTGGTGGTGCTTTTCCTGTCCCTACGAGGGAACACAGGATGAAGAGGAGTTTGTGGAGAAGACGACTTCAATTTGATTCACACTGAGTTTGAGATGTGGGACATGGGCTTGAGTAGGAGCTTGGACACAGAAGTCTGGAGGTCAAGAGAACATTCTGGACAAATGGTACAGATTTGGGAGGTGTTGGAGACTGAGGCCATGGGAATGGATGAACTTGCTCAGGAAGAGTGCACAGGGAGAATGGAGGGGCCAAGACAGAGTCCCGAGGAATAACATCTTAAAGGAAGGGCAGTGGGAGAGAGGGGACTGAGGAAAGCTGGCCAGAGACAGGTGGAAAACAAGTGTGGTGTCCATATAGACCAAGAAGAGTATTGTAAAGAGGGGGTAGAGGGAGTATGTTGAACACTGCTAAGAGGCTTGGCAAGATAAAGACTGAAAAATATGCATTGGACTTAACAATTTACAGACAAGGTCAATGATGACCCTGATTAAAGTCATTTTGAGGGATGCCTGGGTGGCTCAGTCAGTAAGGGTCTGACTCTCTGGTTTGGCTCAGGTCATGATCTTAGGATTGTTGGTTCATCTCCCATGTCAGGCTCCTGCTCAGTGCAGAGCCTGCTGGTCCCTCTCCTGCTCCCTCCTCTCCAACCCCCCCCACCCCGCTCTCACCTCTTTCAAATAAGTAAATAAACAAAATCCTTTTTAAAAAGCTATTTTGAAGAGACAACTCATCACAAAATCTGATTTTTGAGGAGAGAGAGCCAAAGGAGCAGTACTGAGACAGGAAACAGGGAATCAAGGGAGAATATTTTTAAGATGAAAGAGACTATGAGGATATTTTTAAAATTTATTTTTTTAGTAATCTCTACACTCAACATGGGGCTTAAACCCACAGCTCTGAGATCAAGGGTTGCACACTCCTTCTGCTAAGCCAGCCAGGCACCCTGAGATTGGAGGATATTTTAGACACCCGGCCTTGGGTTTATAAAGGAAATAGCTTCAGCACCCACAGTGGGACACTTATGAATTCACCTTGATGATCCATTCAGATTGGATCTGTTTTCTGCATTCATGTTGCTTCTACTCAGTATTTCCAAGTAAACCAGGACCTCCTTCTCTCAGAACCTGAGGTACAGAGGGCTGAGTTACCTGGACCGCCTCTAAAATCCTCACGGGGACTCAGTTGTCCATTGGGTGGAGGGACCGCCTCCTTTTCCACTGGGTCAAGACACAAGAAAGGAGAGAAGCTTTCTTAGCAGAGTGACCCACAACTGCGCCCAGGCCCCGAGCACAGATATCCTTAGATATCACGAGCCTCTGGAGCCTGGGAAAGAAAGGACTTAGAGAAAGCCAGAAAACAAAGAAATTGATCTTCCTTTTGTTTTTCCGGTAGCTGTGTTTTGGCAGAAGACAAAAGATGTAGAAGATTATGTGAACAGTAAAAGCCTGTGCTCCCAGCCCTGAGAACAGATTTCTCGGGATTGATAGAGAGGAAGGTCAGAAAGAAGGTGGTGAGTTTAGAGGCATGGGCATTACTGAGAAGAAAGGGAGCCCAAGGGCTGCTGGCCCCAACGGTAGATGCCAGAGCTCGAAGGAAGCCCTGACATGGTTGGGGGGGTGCAGAAGAACACACATCACTGTGTGTAGTGTTTAGTGAGCCTTGGGCAGCTCCCCCATAGGGCTCCAGCTGCAGAGGACGAACCCCCACCTCGTCTACGTCAAAGTTAGATATAACCCCAAGTTCCTCATCGACACAATGGGAAAAATAAACCCAACTGTAAGGGTGACCAGAACAACTAAATAAAAGCAGATAGATGGCCCTTTCAAACTCTCAAGCATTAAACGGACATAAAAGGATTATTACTGAGCTTTAAAAAAAATCGTAGGCATGTGTTCGGTTCAGTCGAGCAAAGAGGAGCAAATGGTTCTTAGCGGCTTCCCAAACTTTCTTAACTGTTCTGCAGAGAGGGATACACTGTGGATGGCCACCTTGGCTCTCACACATTCACGGCCCTCCACCACAGGTGTTCTTAGGCTTGTGATGGTTTTCTTCTCTGCCGTAATGTGCAGGTGCCCATTATGATACATACGTAAATATATTTATACACTGATATCCTGGTACTCATAATTAATATCAAGGCAATGGGGAGGGGGTGTTTCTGTAGAGAGCAAGGCTCGATGAAATTTTGTGGGTTAAAACATTAAAGATTATGGTGATCACCACTGCCCCCTTATTAATAGAAGAATATGAAATATGAATATGTAATATGAAATATGTAATATGAAATTACAAAATAGGACAAAAATAAGTTCTAACTCTTCCCATTATAATTATATTGGTACTTTTCCAAAAGGTCCAGTCCTTTAAAAAGCTATTTTTTTGAGATATAATTTACACATAATATTAATTTCAGATGTACAACATAATGTTGTGAAATGACCAAGTCTGGTTAACACCCATCAAGACATAAAGTTATAATTTTTTCTTGTAAAGAGAATTTTTAAGATCTATTCTCTTAGCGACTTTCACATGTATAATATATTATTAACCATACTCACCATTACATCACCGCGACTTATTTATTTTGTAACTGGAAGTTTATAACTTTTGACCACCTTAAAAAGTTTTGTTTTGGTTTAGATCCTTGCTGGTACAGAAGCCTGTGCTTAATAAGCTAAGTCAGCCCCAGGCTAGTAAACCGGAAATCCAAAAAGGCTACGGGCTAGGCAGAAGTCTGGGTCTCAGGGGTCCCTCCAACCCTGACTATCAACACAGAGGGAGATAATGCATGACTGAGTGAACCCAAAACATTAAGGTAGCAGAAGATCAAAAGCAACTCTCCTGGAATGAGTCTCTTCAAGACGATCTCAGGACAAGCACAGAGGAGCCTGAACGGCCAGGAGGGTGCGGTGTCCCTAGACAGGCAGCATTAGACTGGGAAAACTGCAAATGCTAGCCAAGCCTGTACTTGGCTGCTGGAGAGGACTCTGGCCAGGCCCCAGGAACTAACCTTAGGAGGCGTGGCCGGAGAGGGGCGGGGGAGTCGGAGAGGAGGAGGGCGGGGCTATTGCCGAATGACAATTAGGAGAGTGGAGGGACAAGATCCAGAGGGAGGGGCAGGGCCAGTCCGAAAGAGAAACGGAGGGGAGGGCGCAATCATACCGGTAGGGCCAGAAAGAGGGCGAAACCAGAACAGAGGAGAATTCGGGGCAGAGAAGGGTGGGTGAAGGCCCGGAAAACGGATGAAGCTGTGCGGCTACCTGCTCAGTAACCCCGCCAGGCCCAGACTCAGAAGGCGGGGCCAGGGCCCAAGAGGCGGAGCAGAGGCGTGTCCAAGCCCGGAGGCGAGGACAGGGCGGAGTCAAGACCCAGGGCGGGTCCAAGCCTAAAGGGCGGGGGATGTAGGCGGGGGAAATGGGCGGAGAAAATCCGGAGGCGGGGCTGGGGCGGGTCCAAGCCCGGAGGATGGAGCGTAGGCATTAGCCGACTCCGGCCAAGCGACGAAGATCAGAGAAAGGACCGCGGAAGGCCTAGCAGGTGCAGGGCCAGGGCGAGCAGCCCGAGCAGCAGCAGCAGCCCGAGCAGCAGCCGTAGGAGCGTCCGCGCCGTACAGCCGCAGGGCCGCTGGCTCGTGGACCGCACATACTGTTCCACGACGTCCGTGAAGCGGAATTTGTCTGGCGCGTAGCCGAGCTGGGTGCGGGCCTTGGCGATCTGGAAGGTGTGCGTCACGGCCACGCTGCGCACCTGCGGGGAGAGGGCAGCCGAGAGGCGAGGCTGTGCGGGTGGGACGCACACTCCACCTTGTTTTACCGAAAAGGAAGAGAGGGCAAAGGTTTCCCTTTGGTCGCACAGCAGTTTCAAAGAACCCGTGGGCTGGATCTTACTCCTGCGATGCAAGGGAAGGTTTCCTTTGTGCCTCCCATCTGCATTTTCCTCGAGGGCGCCGGCTCCAGGAGGCCTTTTCTACAACTCCCCCAGCCTAACTGAACTTCTCAGCCCCCAAAAGGGAAGGCTCCACCCCTGCAGTTTCCCTTCCCCAGCCTAGCAAGGCGCGGGGACTCAGCAGGCACTTGCACATTCTTGGGTATGCTCTAGGAGAAGATGACCGCCCTCTCTGTGGCCTGGGTGCTGCTCTCCGGAAAAACCACCCCAGGAAACGCTCTACACAGTCCTAGGGCGCAACCTTCTTGCTCCCTCCCTGGTTAAGCTTCCCTAAAAGAGGAATTCAATTATACATAAACGATTACTCTCCAGGGTCTGGGCTGCCGTTTCTTCCCCCCTGCTGGGGTCCAGGCTTCAGGGGCGGTACTGATAGCTACCTGTAACTGAATAGGCACTGTGCTTGGCCTTATCTTATTTAATCCCCTGAGGTGGTACTACCACCATTTCCTCTTTACATTTTTCTTTACATATTTAAAAATAAAAACAGAGAGGTCAATTGACTTGCCCAGATTCACACAGATAACTCAGATTTCAACCCATTCTCTTCCCTGCTATGCTTGGACCGGGAGGATGCCCTCCCACCTCATTTCTTCCTCTCTTGTTCCGCAGCTGGACCCTGGGAAGGGGTCGGAGAAAGCTGCTCAATTCTCCCATGGCACAGAAACAGCCCCTGGCCAAGCTGCTATTCTTGGACGCCTGTAGGGGAGAGGGCAATCTTGCTCCTTTTTGCCCCAAGTAGGAAGTTCAGGACCTTGGGAGATACAGCTGGGGGCTAGATCGGCAGGGTCCTGGACACAATGCACTCAGGCTTAGATGTCACCTTCCTTTGGGAAGTCTTAACTTACTCAGAACTGGCTGAGGTGCCCCTTCTGTGTGCTCTGAAGTTCCTCATGGTTTCCTCCAATACAGCCCTTATCGCAGTTTCCCGATTGACAAGCTGTCTTCCCCTTTGGGCTGTGAGTTTCTTGAGGTAAGCGCTATGTTTTGCCTTCGCTACTCAGCACAATGCCTGGCACACAGTGGGCGCTCAAAAAATGTTCAACGAATCAGACTCTGCAACTGGAGGGCTGGTTAGTATACCACAGATTGACCAGCAGAGGGCGCCAGAGCCACAGTGTCCAGAAACCACCTTTGCTAAAGAGGGATCCCTTACCCCTTCCCTTATCCCTTATCCCTTATCCCTTCCCTGGTTGAACAGGGAAACCTGTAAGTGAAACCAGAGGGAGGGGAGCTAAGTCCCACCCAACCATAATTCAGCAGCAGTTCGGCAGCTAATCTACATGATTTTGATTCCTGAGTCATTTCACAAGCTTGAAAGCATTTAGGTTTGGTCTGGGTTCAAATGTCAGCTGTGCTACTTAAGCAAATACTCATGGGCAGGTCAGCCCTGTGTGTCTCGTTTCCTCTGGAAATGGAGATGACAATCTACAATGCACTAGTGAAAATAAAATGAGATTAGGCACAATGCCTGGCGTACCTTTCACTCAATAGATGGCTGCTATTTTCACTCTGTTTTCCTCTGCTAGTCTGGATGGCCCGAAGGAGAAACCACAGGGAAGTCAGACAGCTCTGAGCTTGAGTATGAAGCCAATGCCAGAACCTTGTGATCCTGGAGAAGTCACTAACTTCTTCAGTGCTCAGTTTATCATAAAACACGATCATAATCTCTTACCTTTCCTAACTTAGCAGGACATCAGAGAGAATCAGATGAGAGCGTGAGCTCGGAGGATTTTGCAAGTAACGCCAAACGCTATTTACAATGTACATTAAAACATCCTCTTTTAGGGGCGCCTGGGTGGCTCAGTCCGTTAAGGTTCCACTCTTGATTTCAGCTCATGTCATGACCTCAGGTCATGGTCTCAGGGGTCATGATCCCAGAGTCATGAAGTTGAGTCCTGAGTAGGGCTCCGCACTCAGCACTGAGTCTGAGTCTCTCTCTCCCTTTTCCTCTGCCCGCCCCCCCCACTTGCACGTGCTCTCTCTAGATAAATAAATAAAATCTTAAAAAAAAAAAATCCTCGGGGCACCTGGGTGGCTCAGTGGGTTAAAGCCTCTGCCTTCGGCTCAGGTCATGATCCCAGGGGCCTGCTTCTCCCTCTCTCTCCGCCAGCCTTTCTGCCTACTTGTGATCTCTGTCAAATAAATAAATAAAATCTTGGTTTCAATCACTTAATAAATAAATACAATTAAATTTAAAAAAAATCCTCTTTTAGGGAAGCCTGGGTGGCTCAAGTCAGTCAAGCATCTGCCTTTGTCTCAGGTCATGTTCCCAGGGCCTAGGATCAAGTCCCGCATATGGCTCCCTGCTCAGTGGGGAGTCTGCTTCTTCCTCTGACACTCCCCCTTCTTCTGCTCTCTCTCTCTCAAATAAATACATAAAATCTTAAAAAAAAAAAAAAAAAGAATGAAGTGACAGGGATGAGGGACCAGAGCGCATCACATTTCAGACCCGGAGAGCACTCAGCCTAAGCAAAAGCGCAGAGGTTGGGATGATTCTAAAGAAGCTGGTGCTAGATTTGGGCCCACCTGGAAGGTTCTGAGACCCCAGACAGCCACCCAGTTACGGCGTCAAAGGGGTGAGGGGTGGGGCCGGTGGGGGTGTGGACCAGGAGCTCCCGCAGCAGCGGCCCGCTTACCTCGCTCCGGGTCAGCAGCGGCGGGACACTACAGATGGGCCTCAGGGCCAGGTGCAAATACTCCATCACTGCAGCTGTGCAGGGAGAGAGGGGCCAGTGACCAGGGTGCCTCCCTCTCTGGAAGCTCCCGGAAGGCCCTCGGGGACAAAGCAGTTGGGGGCATTATTTGCTTTGCTCCGAGGAGCTGGGGGAAATCTCTTCACTTTGCCAAATTCTCCTGTCCTTGGATTCCTTTAAATCGGCAGCTCTCAGCACATGCTGGGGGGCCTTGTTTGGCTGTGAAATGTGTCACTAGTAAGTTGTCATTAATATTAAAGGACTGACATTCGAAAATAAATCAGAGCAGATGCAGTTAGCTCAAATCATGCTTCGTCCTCTCACTTCTTCTATTTCAGTGCGGTCTCTTGAGGAGGAGAGAGAGGCGTTGGAGCAGTGGTTCTCAAGCATGTGAACCACCGGACCACTTAAAAAAAATGCTCACCCTCGCCTTCCTCTTGGTGATGCTGATGTAGTTGGTCTTGAGTTGAGGCATTTTGATATTTTATAAGCTCCCCAGTGACTCGGATGTACAGCCAAAGCTACGAACTCGGGGGCGATAGCTCACTGGGAAGTGGAAATGTATATACCATCCTGTAAAACTACCAGAACCCATGGCCGATCTCTTCCCACCTGGGGGGTCAAAGAGCAACCATCACTGTGACAACGCTGGGCATGAAAAGTCACCCGGCATGTGGGGCCTGGTGGGCAAAAGTCAGCAGATCCCTGCCTTAAATGGCAAGCATCCCAGTGCATTTAAAATACAACTGATCTATCACTAAGGTCTTCCGGGAACGCAGTTGCTTGTGATTTGAGGGTCACTACCCCCTGGGGCTGACGACTCTGTGCCTGGCTCTGCATTCCAGCTGGAAGGAGGCCAACAGAGGTGGTGATGGGGGGCAGGGGGCTTGGTGAGAGTAGAGGCTGACCTGAAGGGTGAGGAAAAAGCTCCCCATACCCCAAAGGCAGCCTTGACTTTGGGGTGACCTTGGGGGACAAGGTGGCCCAGGAGACTGGCATGATGCCTCCTGCCACAGGCCCCAGGGCCGGGTGTGGGCTCTGGAGTCAGCCAAGCACAGGTATGAATTCTGCCTCTCGCTTTCTCACTGTGGCCCAACCATACCCACTCTGCAGGGAGGACAGGGTTTATACCCAGCCAGGACGAGGGGGAGGAGGCTGCCAGGCAAGGGCAGGTGGGGCTCGGAGCACCTGCCCCTGAGAGTGATGGTCTCCTGAGATCCTGTGTCCTCAGTGCTCAGCTCTGCCTATTCCTGGCCCTGGGCCTGAAATGAGGCGGTGCCCATGCACCCGGCACACGGAGGAATTTTACTACGCATACTCCTCTCCTTACCTGCTAGGTAAACCCAGGAAGTAGGCACCTGGATCCAGGGCTTGCTGTACCCCAGCTTCTCAAACTGCAAGGAGACATGGCCTGAGATGACAACAGATCTTCTGGGGGCCAGTTTGAAATGTCACATGTTCCTTTTACCCCGGGGCGAGCGGAAGTACCCTCTGATGTCCTGCCTGCTCACCCAAGAGGGAAAACACCCTGCGGCCAGCACCAACCCTGTGCCAGTCTTGAAATGGAAAACTTTGATCTAGAAAAGTAAAGTAGGGCTCGAATGCACGGATCGGTTGTTTTTATTTTTCTCACCATAGCACATACCCTCCCCAATGGCCATCCCCTGGCCACCCCATCCCTCCCACCCCCTCCGCTCCAGCAAGCCTCAGTTTGTTTCCTGAGATTAAGAGTCTCTTATGGTTTGTCTCCCTCTCTGCTTTCTTCTTGTTTCATTTTCCCCTTTTTCCCCCTATGGTTCTGTCTTGTTTCTCAAATTCCTCATATCAGTGAGATCATACGATAATTGTCTTTCTCTGATTGACTTATTTTGCTTAGCATAATATCCTCTAAGTTCCATCCACATATTGCAAATGGCAAGATTTGGTTTTTGATGGCTGCTTAGTATTCCATTGTGTATACATACCACATCTTCTTTATCCATTCATCTGCTGAGGACATCTGGGCTCTTTCCATAGCTTGGCTATTGTGGACATTGCTGCTATAAACATAGGGGTGCACGTGCCCCTTTGGATCACTACATTTGTAATTTTGGGTAAATATGCATAGGTCAGGGGCACCTGAGTGGTTCAGCCATTAAGCGGCTGCCTTCAGCTCAGGTCATGATCCCTGGGTCCTGGGCTTAAGTCCTGCATCAGGCTCCCTGCTCAGCAGGAAGCCCGCTTCTCCCTCTCCCACTCCCCCTGCTTGTGTTCCCATTCTTGCCGTGTCTCTGTCAAATAAATAAATAAAATCTTTTAAAAATATATGCATAGGTCGGTTTTTAATCTGGGATCATTCACATCATTTAGTGACTACTGACGTCTGCCCACAGCCAAAGGCACTTATCCAGGGCAGCCGCTTTGGAAAACAGTCTGACAGTTTCTCAAATGGTTAAATTAAAGGAGAACAGTCTGGCAGCTCCTCAAAAGGTTCAACAGAGAGCTACCACCAGACCCAGCAATAACACTCTTGGGTGAACACCCAAGGGAAATGAATACGTACGTACACAAAATACGTATTAACGTATTTTGTATTAACGTATTAACGTTCACAGCAGCATTAGTCATGGTAGGCCCAAAGTAGAAAAACCCTAATTTCTATCAACAGATGAAAGCATTAACAAGATGTGGTATATTCCTAGAAGGGAATGTTTTCTGGCAACAGAACAGAATGAATATTGGTATAATGCAGGCTACACATGGATGGACTTGGAAAGCACAAGCCAAAGGAGAGAAGCCCAAGACACTGTATCACATGTTTTCATTTACAGGACATGTCCAAAGAGGCAAGTCGACAGAAACAGAGTAGGCTAAGGGTTGTGTGGGGCTAGAGGTGAGGGTTGGGGTAAAGGCATAATTTCAGAGGGGTTCTTTCTTGGAGGGTGAGGAACTGTTCTAAAATTATGGTGATGGGGGCGCCTGGATGGCTCAGTGGGTTAAAGCCTCTGCCTTCGGTTCAGGTCATGATCCCAGGGTCCTGGGATCGAGCCCCGCATCGGGCTCTCTGCTCGGCAGGGAGCCTGCTTCCTCCTCTCTCTCTGCCTGCCTCTCTGCCTACTTGTGATCTCTGTCTGTCAAATAAATAAATAAAATCTTTAAAATTATGGTGATGGTTGTACAACACTGAATATATTAAAAACCATAAAATTATGTGCTTTAAATAAGTGAATAATATCTCAACAAAGCTGTTGATAGTGTTGTGCCTGAATGCCTCGAGGACAGATCCTCCAGCCCGGGGCTGCTGGTCAACCCTTTCCAGGCAGTGGTGGTCCCAAGAAGGGGTCTGTAGGATACTGGACAAGGAGGCCAGGGTTCTGTGAGGGCCAGCACCTCCCTTTGTGCCTCAGTCTACCGTCTACTTACCCCTTGTGGAGCGCCATCGGACAGTATGGGGGTCACACAAGCAAACGTGCACAGGGAAAGTCACCATAAATCAGGAATCAGGCCGGGAGGGACTATGGCAAACCAGGGGAGTACAGGTCCCCTAAAGGGGCAGCCACACCCAGCTCAGGCCAGTTCCAGTGTTGCCCAGTGGACACTATCAGCCAGAGCTGGTTTTTAATGTGAAAGCTTCTGATTTTCGGGACAGAGGAAAGGAGGACAAGGAGAGAAGATGTGCAGAATCCTGACTTCTCACTGGGGGTGGGGGTGGGCGGATGTCTGGGCACCTACCAGGGGGGCCATCCACTCGAAGAGGTTGACGCTCTCCCCGTCATTGATGTAATATGCCTGGCCACTCTGAGGGGACACACAGGGAGGGGAACATTCAGGCACCTGCCCCCCAGCCTGACGCCACCCTTCCAGATGGCTCAGCAGCTGCCCCGGTCCCCCCAATTGCCCTGAGCAGGCGCTGAGAAGTCATGGCCATTTCCCAGCCCTGAGGACAGACCTGGGTAATTCCCTTTGAATTCGGGGGCAGTCACCCTGACTAGGTATGTGACCTCCATAGAGTCACTTAACTTCTCTGGACCTCAGTTACTTCATCTGAGAAATGGGAAGAAAACAACAGGATCTCCCTTTTGGGCTGTTGGGGAGATTAAATGGAATGGCATATATAAGATTCTTAGCATTTGGTGACCATGACTTCAGGACCAACACCTGTGTCACAGGGTCACTGCAAGGGGCTCTCTGTAAAGACCCTCTCACCCCAAGCTTCCCTGAGCCTACAGTCCTATGGACCATCTTGAGTTGGGGAGAAATGGGTGTGAGCCAGGAGTCTCCTGGGGCATGGGGTGCCTTGCCCACAGCTGGGTGGGGGAGGGGAAGGAGACTCACAGCCACGTAGCCCTTGGCCGCAGTGAGGGCCTCAGCTGCCAGCACGTGGGCCTGCACCAGATTGCGCACGTGCACCCAGTTCATCCGCGTCCTGCGGTCCCCGAATCGGAATATGAATAGCCTCTTCTTGATGTGGCTCTGGAGGGAGTGATAAACACAGACTCAGGCCTGGAGTGGCTTTGAATACTATTTATGTGATGATGGCTCCCAAATTTCCAGCTCCAGGCAGAACCCTCTGGCCCAGACCCATGTCCTGACATCGCCACGTGGTGGTCACTTGTCCGTGTCCTGGAGCGAGCACCTGACCTTCCAGCTCCTGTTCGAGTCCCCCCCCACCCCCACCTCACTGGACAGCACTAGCGGCTTAGGCTGAAACCCTGGGGCCTCCATCAGCCTTCCCTTCTCTGCACTCCTCGTCCAACCCATCTGCAAATCTCACTGGCTCCGCTATTTCACTCTGTCCAGAACCCAGCTGCTTCCCACTGCCCGGGCTGCTGCCCCCCCTCCTCTCCCCGGAGACCAAAACAGCCTTCGAACCTGTCCTCACTTCTACCCATGGTCCCCACGCTTGCTCTCCACACAGCCAGGGGGATCTTCCCAAATCTTCGATCCCGTGTCTCCCCGCTCAGAACCTTCTGCTCACCAAAAGAAGTCTTGACAACGGCCGAAGAGGCCCTTCTGATCTGGCCCAGCTACCTCTACGAACTCCCCTGCCCACTGAGCTCCAGCCATGCGGGATCCCCCCAGGGTGTGCGCCAGGCTCCCATCTCAGGGCTTTGCACTGGCTGTTCCCTCTGCCTGGAAGGGTCTCCCTCCCACCTAGCGTGTTGCACCTGCCACCTGCTCAAGGAGGCTCCCTGGCTGCCCGGCGGGGGGGGCCCAGCTCCCACACCCTGCTCCCCCTTTCCGGTTTCTTTGCATCACACCTCGCACTTTCAAACACTCTTCATCATTTATCATGTTTATTCCCCATCCCCTGTGAGAACAGAAGGCCCTCCAGGGCGGGAATGGTCTGTTTTGCTCACTGATCTGTGACAAAGCCCAGAGCAGTGACCTTTCTCATTCCCGGGTTTGTACCCAAGCTGCCTACTTGGTTTGAAATACATTTCCTCTCCCACCGCATTTCCTTGGTTCATTCTCTCTTCCCCTTCCACACAGCACAGGCACCATCCTGGAGCTCCCCTGTCGGCTCGCTCTGCTGTGCTCCCGTATTCTCGTTCTTCCCTCCACACAGGCCCGGCCGCACTGGCTCCGTGACTGTGGCGTCTGTCTCTCTGACCAGGCTGGGAGCGATCTGAGGACAAGGCCCACAGTCCCTCACAGCTGTATCACTGGCACCTGACTCTGGAGGGAGGCTTTCTAGAGGAAGACCTTGGGCTGACAGCATGGGCTGAGCTCTCAGGCCCCCGGGGAGCCCACAGGCTCCCTATGCCTCTCCGGGGTCCTAGCTCTGGGACTCCCTGACCTATGCCTAACCCAGGCAGGTGCACACTGAGACCTCTGTTCCTGGTGGGTCCATAGAGGTAGGGTCATCTCCCAGAACTAAGAGTCCCAGGCTCGGGATGTTGCTCCACAGAGAGATTGTGGGCTGGAAGGGCCCCGATCCATGCACACAGCAGCCAGGCTCGTCCTGAGCCTCAGGCCCAGGGCCAGGCTGACATACCGCCACGCGGGGCAGGTGCCTCTGCTCTTCGGGCCCATAGATCCCTGGGGGCCGGAGCACACACGTCCGCAGAGTGCCTCCTCCTAGGATACAGGGAGGGGAGTCAGGGGCCTGGAGAGGGGTGGTCCAGCAGGGAGACACACAGAAATGCTGTCCAGACCACCTCACCCAGCACTCGACAGACGTAATCTCCTTTCACTCCCTTCAGAGTCAACTGTGCCCATTTTACAGTGTACTCCGTCTTCCTTTGGGGGCCCCTCTCTCTCTGCACAAGGTCTTAGGGGCCTGTCAGTCTGGATGCACCAGAAGTGTCACTGTCCCCTGAGGTGGTGGCCATGGGACACCAAGGACATATTCAAGCCGGGCCAAGGACATATTCACACCCAAGAACGTGACTCAGCATCACCGACACTGGGATCTGAAATCCTACGAGTGGGTTCATCCTGAAGAGACTGGTCACCACCTCCTGCTGCGGAGTCCCCGGGGCTGCCCCGACCCTATCCTTTCTGAGCCCTGGTGGTCATTCTTCTGGAAGTATATTTCCCAAAAACGATCCCACATCCTTCTACTACAAGTTCCTTTTCCCATCAACTCAGCCAGGGGCAGTGTCATTGGTCATAACCAAACACCCTGGCGGCCTCACCGCCAACATCCCCACTTTACCATGAGGCCAATATAGTGGGTTGAGGGGTGGCCCCCGAAAAAGATAGGTCCATGTCCCGGAACCTGCGGATATGACCATATTTGGACGCACGTCTTTGCAGATATAAAGAAGGATCTCAAAATGAGATCATTTTGGATTATCCGGTGAGCCCCAAATCCAACATCTTTGTAAGAGACTCACAGAGAAGACACATTTGGACCCTAAGAATGCGGGGGGCCACCATAAGCTGCTGAGACCTCCCCTACAGCCTTTGGAGGGAGATCAGCCCAGGTTGATCTCAGACACCTGTGAACTGAGAACCATGAGAGAAGACATTTCAGTTTTAAGCCACCACGTTTGCCATCAATTGTCCCATTTGCCCTGAGCTGAGATCTGCAATTCTGGGGGCTCCGTGCCAGAGACCAGAGCCCTCCACGCTGAGTTAGAGGCAGAGTCTCAGGGACCTGCTTGTGTTAGCAGGGATTGGAAATCATCCAGGGTGACCATGGCTGGACTCCTGGAAGGCAGGTATCAGGTGAGCTTTTCTGTAAACAGTCTGCGGCTAATTTTAAACTCTGGGTCACCTGGGCATGATGGGGGGAGGTCTGGTTGCAGCGGACATTGGCCGGCGGGGTGCTGGGCAGTGACGTCAAGGAGGGGTGGAGCCCAGGGTATCCATGACTCCTGAGCACGGAAAGCTGGGGATGCTCATATAAATAATTCTTGGCCAAAGGATTAAATGTCTGGTTTACAGGCTGCTGCTCCGGCCAGGGAAGGCCCCAGGCAGAGAAGAGAATTCAACCACATAGCATCAACCCCCTGGGAAAACCCAGCTGGATGTGTGTTTGCACTGGGGTCAGGGGTCAAGGCCTGACATGTCCAGGGTGCCAGGGCCGGATGGGGAAGATTTTAGGGAAAAGAACCCATGCTCGATGGCTTGCTCAGCTGTGGCAACAGTGAAGCAGGATGGTTCAGCTCCAGGCTCTAGTGTTAGATTAGACCCTCCTGGTGTGGGGGGAAGGGGAGTTCAAATCCCACCTCTGCCACCTAACAGCTACAGGACCTTCAGGAAGTCTGTTCACCCTGCAGCCCCAGCCTCCCCTCCATAAATCCACAGATCATCATTGCAAACATCCGTCACTCTCCAAATCTACCTGGCTCCTGAGTTTTTATACTTTAGATAGTAAGAGAAACCACATTTTCTGATTCTTTTTCATTTCTGGGTTTTGGAAAGCGAATAGTGATAATTTGGACAGCAAGGAATTTATCTGGATCAGTCTGGCTCCTGAGTTTGGAAAGCAGGGGACCCCCCAGGTTCTTAGTTCACGCAGATGATGTGAAGCGTTACTGAGAACTCTGCACATAAAATGAGCATGTAAAACAGGGCCAGGAAGTGCTCGGCAAATGCAAACCGTCCATATTCCTTTTTTTTTTTTTCTTTTTAAACAGTGCCTGTTATTATTTTATTCTCATACGAGCTCTTCGAGGGAGATTCCATTATCATCCCCATTTTGTTACAGGTGAGGAGCCTGAAGAGTGGAAAAAAGTATATTGCCCAAGATCACATCACAAAGGTAGGAGGTGGTGGAGCCTGGATTTGAACTCACCTCAGCCTGAGCCAGGGTGTGGGAGCAGCCACTGCGTCATACTGACACCTGTCTATGTTCTTTTTCAGTTTTTAAGATTTTTTAAAGCGTGCTATGGGGGGGGTGCAGGGCAGAGGGAGAGAGAGAATCCTGACGCAGACTCCCCACTGAGCGGAGAGCCCAACGCAGGGCTCAGGCCCAGGACCCTGAGATTGGGACCTGAGCCAAAATCAAGAGTCGGCCGCTTAACTGCCTGAGCCGCCCAAAGGCCCACCTATCCCCGTTCTATCACTGCTTCTCTGTGACCACAGGAGGGCGCCGCAGCTGTATCATCCAGTAAATTATTGAACTTGGAGCCTTAGAGCCCTCGCTTGCGTGGGCCTTCAGCCGCGCTCTGCCTCATCCCATACTCAGGATTCTGCACTCTGTTAACCTAAAGAACATATTTAAACTGGATCCTCTCCTACGTGGCAGAAAAAAGACCCACTTCTATCTGGCCTCTTCCCTCGCTCAAGACGGTGAGTAACATGAGGGCAGAGACTGGACCGGACTTTCTCAGGACTGTATCCCCAGTTGGGGGTTGGGCACACGGCAGGGGTTAGAATCTGTGGAGTGATGAGTGACGAAGGCCCTGGGAGCTGTCCTTTCCAAGAAAGGTGAGCCTCAGAGACACAGAAGCTAAAAGCCAGACTCCCCCACGCACTCTGGGGCCGGCGGCAGGGCCCCAGGGTACTCACCTGGGAGAGGAGTTCCGTTGGCCATGAGGGTCAACTGGTCGGCGATGGCTTTGGTTCGCGAGTAGTGATCTGTGTGCTGCCGGAAGACAGGGACAAGAGAGCCACCGAGCAGGGTTCGGCGACCCTGCTGACACCGGGCCGGCCCCTATGCTTCAGACCACACAGGGGTGGGATTCTGGGGACTCCCCCTGAGAAATGGCCAAGTCCTGAGACCCAGTGCCATTCCTTTCCCCCAAGGTGGCAGCCACAGGAGCAGAGTTTGGAGCAGTAACAACAAGCAGGGTACCTCCACTCAGGGAGGCTCCTGCTGGCGCCCGGGGCCTGCTCTGGGATGCGGGCGGATGCTGCACGTGGGCTGGATGGACTTTTTCCGTGTAGTTCTTTAGTGCTCGTGGCTTTTCCCCATAACATCCCATTTCCTGCTCACTGCACCCCCACAAGGCAGAGTGGTCACGCCCAGCTAAAGAAACAGAGGCTCAGAGGAAAGTGACTTGTGCAGAGTCCCACAGGTAGAATGTGGGTTCTACCTGGGCTGGCTCAAGGCCAGGTCTGTGTGATTTCAAAACCCCTGCTGCTGGCGTGACCCACTGAAACAGGAGACGGGTCGTGCTACTCAGTTTGAGGGACCCCTTCTTCCTGGGACTCACCCTGAGTTGAGAGGTTGACCCCGTTTTTCACCCATCCCGACCCTGTGGCCTGGGGTGGGGGGTTGTCCCAGGCCCTGTGGCCCTGCCCACCTCTCCTGGAAGCCAGGTACCTTCTCCAGCGGGAAATATGGCACAGAGTCCTCATCACCCTGTTCTATGGGCTTCCCGCCGAAAACGACGTTGACGGTGCTGGTGTAGATGAGCCTTGGGACCCGCCGACGGACACAAACTGCAATGACGGGGCACAGGGCAACACACACACACACACACACACACACACACACACACACACACAGCCCATGTGAGTTTTCTGAGGAGCTGGGACCCAGTCTTGGACACACATCCTGGCCCTGGGGTCCGCCCAGAATCCAGAGGCACTCAGGAGGGAAGGGGTGTGGGTCACGTCCCTGCTCTGTGGGGTCCCAGGGGCAAGGCTGGCTCACTCCTTCTCAGTGTGGCCGTAGCCCCTGAGCTACCTTTCTGGGGACAAGTCCGAAGAAAGTCTCACTCGAAGGGGACATAGAAAAAAAGACACTCTAGAATCAGAGAGAAAAACAGGACAAGGCAAGACATGCCCAGAGGCCGCAGGTGTGGGTCTTGTATTTTGGGGCTTCAGTGACTTTTCTAATCCCAAATACCTGAAATGCAAACCCCGTGCTACCTGTGTCCCCAGACATGCTGTGGCCATGCTGACCCATCCCACATGGAAGCCTGGGCAGGTCCGCAGTACAGTGAGGATGTGCTGCCCACAGGCCCTCCGCTGGCGTGGGCAGGGGGAGGGGAGGAGGGTCCCCCCTCTGTCCCCCTGCCCTGTCCCCAGAGCTGGGCCTGTGGCAGGAAAGGGGACAGAGCAGGAAACACACAGCAGGTCACACTGAGCTCTGAGTGCCTACCACTGATCACCAGTTTGGTGCCTCCAACATTTATAGACTCAATCTGCTCTTTTTGCAGCTAAAAGACAAGAGGGAGGTGGGAGAGTCGGTACTGCTCAGGCCTCGTCATGGAAGGTGGGTAAAGCTGGGCTTCGGGTGGGACCAGGCAGGGATGCAAACTGTCGGGGCTGGGCTCAGGAGCAAGGATCTGAGAGGCCCGCAGGCGGTGCAGGAGCCCGGGGCCCCAGGGCCCAGCTCTGCCACCATCCATCCCCCTGGGAAGGCCAGCACACAGCTCCATCTCCCACCTGGCCCTCAGCTCCCCCGCCTGCAAAGGGAGGGCAGACCCCCTTGGGCGGTCGATAAGATTGAATACACCCACGGGAGGACCTGGGACCCTGGGACGGTGTGTGACACAGAAAAGGGACCCAAAATGTGTGGGATCATTTCCTCACTCTGGAAGTCTGGGTTTCCTTGGCTGTTGGACAGGGTGACACTGTCCCTGCTCTAGCGAGGTTAGGGTGCGAAAATAAAAACACCTTGTCTACACAGAGAAAGCTGCTTGTGTTCCCCGGGACAGGGCGAAGCCTTTACATCTCTCTTAATTCTCACAACGAACAGGAGGTGGGTTCCGTCTCAATTTTTAGACTATGAGTTTTTTTGTTTAATAAGTAATAGAATCACAAAGTTAAAAATAGCTCAAATAGGGGCATCTGGGTGGCTCTGTCGGTTAGGTGACTGACTCTTGGTTTCAGCTCAGGTCATGATCTCAGGGTGTTGGGGTGGGGCCCAGGGTTGAGCTCTGTGCCTAGCACATAACTTGCTTGAGATTCTCTCTCTCCCTCTCTGCTCTTCTCCCTCCCCCCTCGTTCTCTCTCAATAAATAACAAACTAAAAAAATAGAATATTTTTTAAAAACCCTCAAACAGTAAAAGAGGTGTACGGGAAAAAGGAAATTTCCTTCCCACTCCTGATTCCCAGCCTTCCCCCAACCCCCTAGCAGAGGCAACCACTGTTACAGTCTGTGTATTTCTAGAGATAATCTATGTTTATGAATATCAGCACACAAGTACAAATGAGCATATAAATATTTATCCTAGTTTCTTCCTTTTTTTAAAATACAAACAGGAGGATACCAAACACTGTTTTTGTGCCATGGAAATTATTCTGTTATCAGCACATTCTGAGAGAACTCCAATGTGTGGATACCTTACAATTTATTTAAATAGTCCTTAACTGACCGGCATTTACGTTACATCCTGTGTTTTGTTATTATGAACAAAGCTGCAAATGTAGGCGTAGTGTGATTTCGGAGCCTGAGGATATCTCTGTATGTTCTGACAGGCCCCCTCACACTGAGGAGGTTCTGACGTGAAAACCAGTACAGATGAGGAAACAGAGGCTCAGAGAGGTTAGGTTAACTCGCCCTAGGTCCCACAGCTAGAAAGTGACAGAACTAGCATTTGGCCCCATGGATGCAAAATGTGGGCAGGGTTTCGTGTAAGTCCTTCCTGGATCAAGTGTCCCCCAACCAAGTACTAACCAGGCCCCACCCTGCTTAGCTTTCGAGATCAGCCAAGATCGGGTGTGCTCAGGGTGGTATGGCCATAGACCTTCCTGGCTTAGGTGAAGGGTGATAACAAACACACAGCATGGTGGCAGGCGGGGCTGGAGGGCGTGTGTGTGGGCAGAAGCAGGATCTGAAGCCTGATCTAACTCCAGATGCTGTATGCGGCGGGGGGGGGGGGGGGGGCTCACCTTCTCAGCACCGGACATTCCATAGGAGGCCACGTGGAAGACACAGTCCACCCCTTCGAAGGCACGGTACAGGGCTTCTTCATCGCGGACATCCGCCTGAAACAGAGAAGGAAGAGACGGGGACCGGAGGTTTGGGTCCAAGGCAGAGATACCAACTGTGCACCTTGCCAGGTCCCAGCCCCGGTCCCCTGACCCCACCCTGGCCAAGCTCCTGTAGGAGAGGCTGTGGGGCAGGAGGTACTAGATGATTCTACAGGGTGTCACTGGCTTCAGCGTCACTGGCCCCATTTATCAAGCTAAGTCGCAGGGGGCTGTGCTGGCTGTTTTAAGCGCGCTATCTCACTGACTCCCTATCGACCTTCGTGAAGCCTTCCTTCCCCGGATGAGAACACGAAGGCTCCAAGATGTGGAGCCTTGTTGCCCCGCTTCAAAAGTCCCACTCCAAGAGCCTGTGCTTTTCACTGGCCTCACATCAGATGCTGTCCCCACACCTCCACCATGAGCCTGGGCCCCCCACCCGTTCCCCGAGATGCTCATCACTGCACCTGGATGAACTCGGTCCCCGGGGACAGCTCCCACTGTGGTCTGCGGAGGTCGAGCAGTAGGACGGAACTGCCACTCTTGGCCAGGCTGGAACCCAGGCTAAAGCCCAGGTAGCCTCCTCCTCCGGTCACCAGAACCTTCTGCCGAGGGGCCTGCATGTGTGTGGCCTGAGTCTTTAGCTGCGGGGCTGATGTGGTGGCTATCTCTGGCTCACTGGGTTTGGGCCCAGTTCCAGACCCCCTTCTGGGCCGAGGCTCTACCCCTGGTCCAGGTAATGGTGCAGCTTCTGCCCTAGGTACCGGCCCAGGGACTGACCCAGCTCCTGCCCCAGGCCCCAGACCCAGCCCAGGTCCTGATGTAGTACCAGGCCCTGGCCCAGGTCTGGACCCAGCACCAAGCTCTGGTCCGGTTTCCAGAACCACACCACGTCCTGGCCCATGTCTGGACCCAGCACCAAGCCCTGGTCCAGGTTCTAGAGTCACACCAGGCCCTGGTCCAGTTTTCAGAACCACACCAGGCCCTGGCCCATGTCTGGACCCAGCACCAAGTCCTGGTCCAGGTTCTAGAGACACACCAGGCCCTGGTCCAGTTTCCAGAACCACACCAGGCCCTGGCCCATGTCTGGACCCAGCACCAAGTCCTGGTCCAGGTTCTAGAGACACACCAGGCCCTTGTCCAGTTTCCAGAACCACACCAGGCCCTGGCGCATGTCCAGACACAGCACCAAGCCCTGGTGCAGGTTCTAGAATCATACCAGGCCTCGGCCCAGGTCCTGACATAGCACCAGGCCCCAGAACAGTAGCAGGCTCTGCTCTAGATCCTGAAGCAGTACCTGGCCCGGGCCTTGGCCCATGTCCTGACATAGCACCAGGCCCCAGAACAGTAGCAGGCTCTGCTCTAGATCCTGAAGCAGTACCTGGCCCGGGCCCAGGCCCTGACTCCCACCCCAGGCCTGAGACTCCTCCCCAGGCCTGGCAGACAGGGCAGCCCTTCTCACCCTGGCCTGCAGCTCTGCAGGCCTCCTGGGAGGAGGCTGCTGGGTTGGCCTTCATCCTCTCCTGAGCCTCGCAGGCCAAGGGATCTGTCCGCCTGCAGAGAAAAACAAAAGAAAGGATATTCTTGAGTTGTCTCAAGTCATGTGGAGTAGCAGGCTAAGGGGAACTCCTGATGGGGCTCAGAGACACTCTGACTTTCCAGTGAAACTGCCCCTTTCAGAATTTTGAGAACTTTCAAGGTGCTGCTTCCTCCCTTAGAAAGTGTCAGAGACAAAGGCAGTCAGGCCTTGGGCTTTACAGCTGGGGAAACTGAGGTGCAAAGTCACACTGCATGGCTGAACTTTACACCAAGCATTCCTGATTTCTCTACCAGTTCCTTAAAATCCCAGCTCCTGTGTAGCACCAGAGGAAGACAGATCCAATCAGGCCCAAGGGAACCTCACCAGACTGGGGGGTGACTGCTTTGTGACTGGGAAGATGGGGAGGGAGGGCTTCCTGGAGAAAGAGGGGGAAGGTAGAGGAGGGAGAGGAGGGAGAGAAGGAGAAATAGAGGGAGGAGATGAGGAGGAGGAATCCACATGGGATCCAAAAGGGCTCTGTGCTCAGAAACCGGCACGCGATTCCAAGTGTCGCACGGCCTCTACCCTGAAAGCCGCTGCCTCCAGTTCTCCCGGGCCCACCCGCTGTGCAGGGAGCTGGCACTACAGGTCTGTCCAAGCCCTCTGCTGGATTCAGGGTCAGATGTGTGAACCCTGAGGTCCGGCACCGAGGGTCCTGCTGTCCTCACTCCAGACTCCAAATGAGCCAGGCTGTCAGTCACTGTCACCACCATCGTCTCACCCCCACCCCATGCCCAACCCCATTCCACCTAAGACAGGGTTGGCACCAAGGGCCAGATAATCATCATTGCCAGTAATCATGGCAGCAACCGTGTCCGGGGGGCCAGCCATTGGCCAGGCCCTGTGGATAGAGACAGGTGTCTTTTCCCTGCACGATGCCTACTGGGTGTAGAAAAGAACAGGCACCGAGTGACTGAGTGATAAGCCCCATGGTTGTTGCTGGTGGTGTCATGAGGCAGGGACCCTGATAGTTATAGGGACTCTTATCTTTTAGTCTCTGTTGTCACTGCCCTGCTCTTCAAAGTTGCAGGTGAGGGACCCGGTCCCAGCCTGCACGAACACTGGCACTCATGGGTTTAACAGTGGGGAGGCACACCAAATCTGAGTCTAATTCCCCCGTAGAGACGGGAGAGGAGGCAGCCCCACAGCAGAGCCCTTCTCTACTCAGGTCTCTGTTCTGGGGACGGGTCTCTGGGACCAGAGCCATCTTCCTAGCCTGTGCGGTTGCTTTTTTTGTGTGACCAACACTGGGTGTGCCCTCAGGCAAAAGCCTTAAAACCTCACTGCACCTCGGTGTCCACAGCTGTAAAATGGACCCAGACAGTCCTGGCTGCTCCCTCCGCCTCACGGGGTGGTCACGAAAGACCAGATGCCAGAGCCCTTGGCGAACCACCGGAAAGCCTGCTCCAGGAGGGCCTCATTCATTGCAGCACCTGGAACGGTGCTGGCGCCCAGCAGGTGGGAAGCCGCTGCTGATTGCTAAGAGCTCTTCTGCACCTGGGACCACCGGGTTGACCCCAGCCGCGATAGCACTGTATTGCGCTGGCAGTCCTGGGCACTAGAGGCTACTGTTCCCATCACCCAGAGCTGGAAACTGGGGCTCAGAGAACATTCGCGAACTTTGATGGGATCTCAATAAATGGGTCGGCCTGGATCAAAGTCACTGGGGACCCAAAGTGGGGTTTGGTGAAAGGAACTGGGGAAGGGGCGTCAGGGACCTACCCTGTCCATTTTGCCTCGGGGGGACGGGCAGGAGAGGGTGGTCTCCACTCAGAGAGCAGCCCGGCCCCGCAGCTCCCGGCGTGTCGTCCGGGGACCCCCCGCCCGCCGCGCCCCCTGCCTCCGCGGCTCCCGCAGCCCCCCCCGGCGCTCACCCGGCCAGGCTCCCGCGGCGCTGCGTGCTCGCGGCGCTGCGCGCACAGTCTCCGTGCGGAGCCCGCGCGCAGCGTGGCGGCCGCCTCCCGGGGCGGAGCCGGGAGGGGCGGGGCGGGGCTCCGGGACCGCCCCGTGCCGGCCCCGCCCCGCCCTTTCCCCGCCTCCAGCTCCCCGCGCGAGAACAGGCGCGTTGTCCCGGACGGCGGCAGCAGGCTCTCATGGAGGGGAAACTGAGGCTGGTCAAATAGGGAGAGGGTGCAGGGGGCCTAGCTGCTGGTGGGGAAAGGACGCAAAGCCCCTGCGGGCCAGGCCTATCCTGCCGCACAGTGGTCCTAGAGCCCCAAGAAACAATGTTTCTTTACCCCTTCCCCTTCCGTCTGTTTACAACACAGTAGTTATGTTGAATTGTGTACCTGCCCCACCCCCACCAAATTGACGTGTTGAAATCCTACCCCCACCCCTTCCCCGTACCTCAGAGTGTGACCTTGGAAACAGGCACGGCAGATGTGATTAAGGATAGGTAATAGAGAGCAGGGCCTAGTCCAATAGGACATGTCCTCGTGGAAGCTGGAAATGAGGGCACAGACGTGCACGCAGGGAGAGCATCACACGAAGATCGGAGTTATGCTGCCACAAGGCAAGGAAGTCCAAGAAGCCAGGAGGGAGGCCTCTCACAGACCCAACCGAGCGCCTTCGGAGGGAGTGGGGGCTTGGCGGGACCTTGACTTCAGCCTCTTCAACTGGACACCGTCCGTTCCTGGTGTTTCACGCCGGTCGGTGTGTGGTACTTTGCCATGACAACACCAGCAAAGCAAGACAAACCCCAGAGGCCATTATCTCTATGTCTGTAAGAGGTGACACGGAAGGGCGGCTACCCGAGGCGGTGACCAGACCGAGATCCACTGAGGCAGGGGCTGCGGTCACTGCTGCCTCCCTGGGCCCAGCAAGGAGACCGGCCAAAGCTGCAACTTGTCAAGCCTCAGTGAACCGTGGTTTGCTTGTTTGTTTGTTTGTTTGTTTGTTTGTTTTAAGTAACTGATGAATTTTTACTTCCTTATTGAAGATCTAGAACATTTCCTGCACCTCAGATGTCCCCCCTATGCCTCTCAGGACAGGCTAACCACTATTCTGACTTCTATTGCCAACAAGAGTTTTGCCTGTTCTTGAACTGGATGTAAATGGAATTGCACACTGTGTACTCTTCTTTTGCCAGCCTGACATTGTTCATAAGATTGAGGCATCTTGTTGAATGAAAAAGATAAATATCCTAAATATTTCACATTTTTAAAATTGTGGTGTAGAAATGTACATGGTACAAATGTCTCACAAACGTATCAGACTGTACAGTTATATCACAATGCATTTGTCCATTCTACCAGTGGTGGACATCCAGGTTGTTTCCAATTTTTGGTTCTTATGAAAAATAATGTGAAAAATGTTCGGTTCCTTTTTTTCTTTTTAATTTCTTTTCAGCATAACAGAATTTATTGTTTTTGCACCACACCCAGTGCTCCTTGAAATATGTGCCCTCCTTAATACCCACCATCTGGCTCCCCCAACCTCCCACCCCCGCCCCTTCAAAATGAAAAATATTTGGTTCTTATGAATAGTCTCCTATAAATCTTTTTTATTTTTATTTATTTATTTATTTTTAAAGATTTTGCTTATTTATTTGACAGAGACAGAGAGATTACAAGTAGGCAGAGAGGCAGGCAGAGAGAGAGGGGGAAGCAGGCTCCCCACCAAGCAGAGAGGCCGATGCGGGGCTCCATCTCAGGACCCCAAAATCATGACCCGAGCCGAAGGCAGAGGCTTTAACCCACTGAGCCACTTATAGGGGCCCCTATAAATCTTTTTAAAAAAATATTATATTTATTTGACAGAAGCGCACATAAGCAGGGGGAGGGGCATAGGGAGAAGCAGACTCCCCACTGAGCAGGGAGCCTGATACCCTGGGATCATTACCTGAGCCCAAGGCAGACACTGAACCCACTGAGACACCCAGCCACACCTCCTGTACGTCTTCTATGGAATACAGGCATCTGTTTCTTTTGGAGTGGAATTTCTGGATCAGTTTTACAAAGTGGTTGAAACAAGTCACACCCCTCCCACTCACGCAAAGCATGAGAGTTCTAGTTGCTCCATATCTTGATAGTGTCAGTCTTTTTACTTTTTGTCATTCTGGTGGGTGTACCGTGGTATCTCATTGTGGTTATAATCAGCATTTCACTGATGGGCAAGGCTGCTGAGCACCGTTTCATATACCTGTTGTCCATTTGTACCTGTTTGTTTTGTCTATTTAAAAGAATTAGAATATTTATCTTTTTCTTATCTATTTTTTATGTTTTTCTTATATAAATATAAAAATATATTCTTATATATAGGAATATAAATATACTTATTTCTTATATAAAGAACTTTTGGAGTTCTTCATATATTCCACATATGAATCTTTTTCATCTTTTTTTACAAGATTTTATTTATTTATTTGAGCGAGAGAAAGAGAGATGGTGAGAGAAAGCATGAGCGGGGAGGAGAGGGAAAAGCAGGCTCCTCGCTGAGCAGGAAGCCCGATGTGGGGCTTAATCTCAGGACTCTGGCATCATGCCCTGGGCCAAAGGCAGATGCTTAACCGACTGAGCCACCCGGGCACCCCTGTATAGGAATCTTTTTTTTGTTGTTTCTCATAGGAATCTTTTAATAAAATTTTATATCACCAAAAATGTACACATATACACGTAGATGAACCAATCATCACTTCAGCTTAAAACTCATTTGGATTATAATTTAATTAAATTCAAGCCATTTTTTGTCTCAGGAGTGACCCCAGACCACATAATACATGACATATTCGCTTCATATGTACACAGCAGGGCGGGGCCCAGCAGACTCAGCCTGGTTTTCACCGGCTTGAGCAGAGCACTCTCTCTCTGCACTTGGCTCCAGAGCAGACCTGCAATCCAGTTCGGTTGAACAGGTAAGGGGGCAGGTGGGAAGCCCCACTTGTTTCTTCTCCCAAGATGGGCTGAGGCTGAATCTATAACCCCCCTTACCATGGACCAGGGTGGTTGGAAGCACAGAGTGAGGGGGTCAGGGTAAAATAACACGCTCTGGCCTGTTCCTAGAGCTGGGCTTCCACAACCAAGCAGGATGCTCACAGTTTACTCCATCGGCCCCGTGGCAGGTCCTGGGGACCTAGAGATGGTTATAGGACACCAGCCTCATCCTGGGAGCACACAGTCAAGAAAAGTGGGCAGGGAAGCAAGGAAGCATGACACGGAGTGCTGGGTGTAATAAGTGGTCAGTGTCATGGCTATGAAAAGGGATGTTTGGCCAGGACACAATGGAAGGTAGGCGGGAGGGTCCCAGCTCTTGGTGGGTCTCAGGGGCCTCTTCATAGTGGAGCTGATGCCATTTGAACTGTGTCTTCATTGATGAGCAGGAGTCACCGGGCAGAGGGTGGTGAGAGGGCGTTCCAGGCAGGGCGTGATACAAAGCTTCCCAGGGAGTGACAGTTCTGTGGCTGGAGTGTAGGGGGTGTTGGGGACAGGGCAGGAAAATCAGGGTGGACCCAGGATGACAGAGCTTTCCTTCCCTCAGCTTCCCGGGAGCCCTGGAGCCTGGGATCATGTTTCCTGGGCATGAACGCTGGGTTACAGCTTTCCCAGGGCCAATGTACGCTCAGTGAGTGAGTATTCGTAGGCTGGTCTTTCTGTATAGAGGAATCATTTCTGGTCCCCCTCCCCCATAGCCATTACTATGAAACCGGACATGCTGTCTGGCCCTTGGAGGATATATACAAGACGGAGAGGCTAACCTCTCCTCTTACCTGAGAACACTTGTCTAAAGAGGAGTAACATTTGGTTCTATGTTGTTTTTCTTCTGGAGTTGGGACCTAGTGGACAGGAGATGAAGTAAGATGGCCCCCTTGATGCCCAGATTTCTGGGCCTGGTGTGGAGAAGCAGGGCAGGAGCTCTTGAGGAAGGCTCGCATAACCAGGGGCCACGTGGTCTTGAGGAGGCCCCGGGGTCTGGGTGGCCCGGAGCCACAAGGCATGTGGGGGGGTTGCTTGAAGGGTATACCTGAAGGACTGGGCCTTCCAGAGGAATCTTCTGGCCTTGGTGATCTCCTGGGCCAATCTCCTTAAATCATCTCCTTCAAATGGTGGCAACACGGGATCCTTGGAAAGGGGAAATGAACGTGAAGTTAGATCCATTAAATGACTGGATGCAACCTGAAAATCCAAAATCTCAGTGGAAAAATTTTAGAGTTAATCAAATGTGGCCTTCTACCCAATGCAGGAAATCCATAGGCTTTGGTTTACATACTTCCAGGGACAAAGAGCTCACCACCTGTCAAGGCAGTCATTCTGCAGATGGGACACTTTGAGATAAGGTGTGTGAGGGTCTGTGCCGGGAATGGGTGGGCGGTGGCAACCCGAGATGCTCACTGAACTTCATTTAAGTCAGCCCCTCTCTTCCCAGCAGAACAGAAGTGGTACCTGCTCCTTACGTCACCGTTACCTGGTGAAATCTGTTCTTCCCTTTCCCTGTTCCTTCTAGTAAAACCAAGTTTCGCAGGCATGCTTTTTTCATTATGTCAACCAATGGAATTCTAGAGGCTAGGGTTAAAGACACAAATTCTCACAACCAGCAAGAGTAGGTAAGGAGAGGAAGCTGCGTTCTGCCCTTGGTGGCAAGAGCAGAATGATCCCATTCTGCCTCCAGAAACTATTCAGAGACTCTGATTTGTCAAGGCATTAATCTGAAAATCCTCGCAATATTGTCTATTTGTTTTCCTGCGTTGTAAGGACATGGATGAATATTTACTACTTTGACTTGTTCTCTTCTCTGAACTATTTGTAATGTTTGTCCCTAGAAGAGGTACCTGAACAAAGGAGTCACGCAAAGCACTGACTTCAAAAATTATGTCACGTCCTGGGAGATGTACTTTAACCACCAAAAAGAAATCTGGAGTTCTGGTTGTCTTACTTGATAATTTGTGGCCCTGAAAATGTTATAACTGACAGCACCATGTTCCTAAAAGGTAGAAACATGAGCATAACTTTTTGGTCTGGGCAGAAGAGAATGGTGGGTAGTCTCCTCTTATCGCACATGTGTGATGGAAACCGTGACTTTACTAGATTTACTACTTCGATCATTTGAGTATCTGTTTCAAGTGACCTGAACACCGGGAGACAGAAATACGCAGGACTCAAAGCACAGAGGTTAACAGTGTGGGTGTCCAGGCTCTGGCTTTACCATTTGCCACGTCCTTAGGTGTGTTCCTACTCCTTGCTGAGCCCATTTATTCATCTGTTTAATGGGTATAGTATTGGTTGAGAGGATTGAAAGGGGGAGCCTCTATAAAGCAATGACCGTGCACAAAGTAAGTGCTCAGTGAACGTGAACTGTTCTGTTATTTTTTTTTAAAGATTTTATTTATTTATTTGACAGAGATCACAAGTAGGCAGAGAGGCAGGCAGAGAGAGAGGAGGAAGCAGGCTCCCCGCTCAGCAGAGAGCCCGATGTGGGGCTCCATCCCAGGACCCTGGGATCATGACCTGAGCCGAAAGCAGAGGCTTTAACCCACTGAGCCACCCAGGCACCCCTTCTGTTATTTTTTTTTAAGATTTAATTAATTTATTTTATTTTATTTTTTAAAGATTTTATTTATTTGACAGAGACACAGCAAGAGAGGAACACAAGCAATGGGAGAGGGAGAGAGAGAAGCAGGCTCCCTGCCAAGCAGGGAGCCCGATGTGGGTCTCCATCCAGGGATCCCGGGATCATGACCTGAGCCAGAATCGAGACTCAGCCCAACTGACTGAGCCACTCAGGCACCCCAAAACTGCTCTATTATTAAACAAACCTCCGTGCCCTGCTTCTTTCCATCCTTGGAGAGCCAGCCTAGAGGAAGAGCTGCAGGGAGACAGAACCCCTTCTAGCTGGTACTTCCTGGTCTCATAAGAGCAGAGATCTTTCCAGTTAAGGGAGATGGGGGAAAGAAACCCACCTCTGTGGACATTATATTGAGACATTTGAACAGACTCGGCTCTGTGGCTCTGCAAACCTACCCTTTCATCCACGAAGCCCTTGGTCAATAGGCCGTGGATTCTGAGGAGTGTGTCCTCGTCAACGGGGCAGTGGTAGCGGCCCCCAGTGAGGGCGGCCAGGTTTCTCAGGAAGTCAGCTGCTGTCCTAGTCGGGAGAACAGAGGCGCTGGGACCAAGCCCGCTGACAGCCAGGCAAATTCCCTGCGGTGCCCCCAGCCTATGGGGAGCTCAAGTCTGTGGGCCTGGAGGTTCTGTGCCCTTGAGAACAGTCAGCATCACAGGTCCAGCCCCTGTCAGTTTATGGGCAGCGGCAGTGGCCGCAGGAAGTGGACTGACTGCTGTCACCAGTGAGCATGGAAACACACGGCCAGCCCACGGTCCTTAATCTAGCTAGTGCCTGCTCCTACGGGTTAGACCTGGTGGGGACACGGGTGTGACCTTCATGGAGCACGTGGTTTAAACAGAGCTCAAACACGCACCCAAGTCATCAAAGTTTTGCCAGTGACATTAAAGTCTTCTTCCAAAGAAGCAGAATCTCTCTGGTCTAACCCATGTTCCTCTACATTGATGGTTTATAAAAACAACCGTCACGATGCTACTTTAAGCTCTTTGCCCCTCAACATTCACCAGTGGGCTCCTGAGAAAGATCAGGATGGAGAAGACTGTGCGTGCCCGTGGGAATTGGCGCACATCCGCTTCCAGGCTGGAGAGAGTCAGGAGAGGGGGGTTCTTGGATGTGGACAGAGGGCTTTACTCTGGGGTAGCACCTGCTGGGGCCCTTCTCCTTTCTCACTTACGGGTTGGGGCCCAGGAGAGATCAGGGTCTAAGGGGAAGCCCTGGATGGGGCGAGTTGCTCAGACCTTGGCCCTCACACACGCAGCCCTGGGAGAGGAACACAGCTCGGACCCGGCTCCTTCCTGCCTACCTGCCTGAGCGGTTCAGGGAGATGGTGTGGATTTTCACATCTCTTTTCTCCTTGAGTCTTTGGACTTCGCTTAGAATAAGGCTGCAGCTTGTATCTGGCTTCCCATCAGTCAGGAGGTACAATCCTTCCACATCATGAAAACTGAAAGCTTTCTGAAAGAGTGCGCACAAACAGATGGTCTGGCTCAGGGACAGGTGCTCACCGGGAAAGGAGAAAACCAGCTACCTGCCGTGTGTCTGACTGGATCCCACTGGCTTGTCCGTGAAGAGCGAGAGGACATTCCCCCCCCACCCCTCACATGTCCACAGACCAAGGAGGCTGCCAAGGTTTAGGAGAAAGAGCACAGCCCACTTCCTGGCTGGTTAACCCCAGCGAGTCCCTTAACCTCTCTGAGCCTCCGTGTCTTCATCTATAGCGTGAGAACAAGAATCCCTTTCTTCCTTGGCTGTTCCGAAGACGAAATAAGGTAACCCTTATTCGATCTAAAACTGCTCTTTGTAATTTGAAAGCCTCCGGCTGTATCTGTATAGGGGGTGAGGGTATTTCTGTTTGGCTGCTGGGGCTGGGCTCCGTGGGAGGACTTGCCAGTAACGCTTGCAGGATGGAGGTGCCCCCCTGAGCGCCCAGGTGGGTCACCCACTGCATGGCCTCGTGGCATGCGGCGTCGGTGGTCTCCACCAGAGTGTCCCGCCACAGTCGCAGGTCCTCCGCAAAGCTGAGCAGGTTGAAGCTGGGGAGGCGGGGAGAGGAGGTGGGGGGCAGAGAGGAGGTGAAAGGGAGAAGCTAGAAGATGGCTGTCTGAAGTAACCCCGAGGACAGCATCAGGCCCCCTCCTGCGGGCTCCGGGGCCCCTCGGGGAGAAGGAGGAGACCACACACACTGAAGATTCCCAATGCAGACCAAAAGAGATTAACTTCCCACCTCGGCCCCTTCCAGCATAGGCGATCTCTGGCGAATTATTTAGCCTCTCTAAATCCTAATCTCCTTTTCTGAAAAAGGGGGATAATCCGACAATACCTCGTGGGGGCACGTGGGGGAGCTGTGAGGATTGAAGGAAATCATGCCTGGAAAGTGCTTGGCTTGTGGAAAGTGCTCAATAAGTGTTCAGTCTTATTAATAAGAAGGCGAGAAGGAGTCCCAGCCTAGGAGAGTCTCCTAGCGCCCACCTCTCTGCTTAGAGAAAACAAACAACCCCAAACGGCCCCCTCTTAAAAAATCAAGTTCAGCTGAAATCCACAATTCAAGGCCGCCTGGTGGTTCCTTGGCTCTGCTTGCAATGGTCCCCGGGCTCGAGATGGATTTCTAAAGGCTGCTTTACTTCTGCAACAGGGTGTGGCATTCTTTTTTTTTTTTTTTTTTAAGATTTAATTTATTTATTTCACAGAGAGAGATCACAAGTAGGCAGACAGGCAGGCAGAGAGAGAGATGGAGGAGGAAGCAGGTTCTCTGCTGAGCAGAGAGCCCGATGCGGGACTCGTTCCCAGGACCCTGAGATCATGACCTGAGCCGAAGGCAGAGGCTTAACCCACTGAGCCACCCAGGCGCCCCAGGGTGTGGCATTCTTGACTGCTCAGACAAGCTAGGCCTCCAGGCCTCGTGAAGGGTGAAGAGGGAAGCCCCACGAACTGGGCCCCCCACCCGCTCACGCCCCTGCCTCTCACCTGTCGCAGTGCTTCCGCAGCTGCTCCCAAATCAGCAGGATCAGCTCCGTCTTCACCTGCTGCAGCGCGGGGCCCACAGACCCCGACGTGTCCACCAGGATGCACACTCGGCTCTCCAAAACGGCCCCAAACAGTCGGCGGCTCCCTGCTCCGAGGTGGGGCAGAGGCAGGGAAGGAGTGAGGGGTCGCTCCCTCTCTGCCTCCCCAGGGGTGGTTTTCCTCACAGCAGCCGTCAAATAATATGCCTGTTGCCTGACTGGTCACTGATCAGATGTCAGCCCACTGGGAGATGGCCTTGGTGATGGCGCTGGTGGGCCGTCAGTTGTCCAGGGCAGAGCCAATCAGTGGAGTGGGCTTTGGGAGGTCAAGGTTTTAGCTCTGGCTTTGCCTGTGAGCTGTGATCACTTGCACAAGTGGTTATAATTGCTCTGGCCTTGGGGTGCCTGGGAGGCTCAGTCGGTTGAGCGTCTGCCTTCAGCTCGGGTCATGATCTCAGGGTCCTGGGATCGAGCCCCGCATCGGGCTCCCTGCTCAGCAGGAGTCTGCTTCTGCCTCTCCCTCCGCTCCTCCCTCCTGCTCATGCTCTCTCTCTCAAATAAATAAAAAGTCTTTTTAAAAAAATTGCTCTGGCCTTGAGTTTCCTCATTACTACCGTTAAGCGATGGGACAAAGTAGCGTGCCGGTATGGTTTGGAGCTAGAAAAGATGTTACAGAGCGTGGAGTCCCTTGCAGGTCAACAGAAATCAGCAGAGCCTGGCGCTGTGCCCTCATGGAGCTCAGAGTGGGGCAAGGAAGACAAATGTTAGATCAACAGTGTCCGGAGCACATCCTGGGGAGAATCTGAATTCCGTGGGTGAGCTACCCCTGCAGGTGGAGTGGTAGCGTGTGGAGGAAAGAGGTGGAGGTGTGGAGGGAACAGCCTGGGAAAGCCTGAGCCGGAGAGGGGGAGGAAAGCATGGCGTGCTCTGGGACCGAGAGAAAGCCCATGCAGGGAATCAGGACCACTGGGATGGAAAGACTCGCGGGGAGAGGGACAAGAAGTGAAGCTAGTGATGTGGTGAAAGGACTTGGGATTCATCCCAAGGGGAAAGAGAGGGCCAGTGGCTGGCCAGGGTCACAGAGACCGGTGGTGAGGGCTGACACTCACACCCACATCCTCTGACCCACACTGCAGTCAGGCAGCTGCTAGCCCTACCCTCCTGGCCCCAGGGCTAAATATGCAGGTCACCCAGGGGAAAGCCAGAGGGACAGCGGACGATGCATGCTGTCTTCTCCAGTCACACCTCAGGGACCTCACTGGAGGCAGCAGAGGAAACAACGGAAAAACTGCCACAGATAAGACAGGCTGCTCTCCAGGAAAAGGTGGACAGACCTGGCTGGACTCCAGCCCAGGAATCTGCCTCGACTCCTCTGGGCTGTTCTCTGGCAACCCTCATGTCAGCATGAGGACAAAAGGGAGACATCCTGAGGCATGGGAGACGTTCTGTGAGCATGGCTGGCCAGCCAGCCATCCGAGGGACCTCCAACCACATCCGCCCCGTAGGAGCTGGACGGTGGAAACACAGAGCCGGTCCTCAAGCCCTGTGGTTTTTGCCTCCACAATCTCTCGGATTCTGCCTCTGTCATCCATCTCCATCATCCCTACTTCTTCCAGCGGGCCCTAGTCTTTCGCCTTCCTTTAGCTGTCCTACTGCGAGGTTACCTGATTCCACTCCATCCCCTCAACAGTTCCACGCAGCAACCAGTGGGATCACTGCCCATGTTAACTTGATCACTTTCTCCTGATTCACAACATTCAGTGGCTTCCAGCTGCTCTTAGGACAAAAGACTAAGTCCGGGCATGGCCTCGTCTCTTTGGGATGGTCTCACCCTAACTCTCCCTCACTCTCAGCTATACCGGCTTCCTTTTTTTTTTTTTTTTTTTTTTTAATTTATTTAGAAAGAGAGAGTGTATGTGTAAGCAGGGAGAGGGGCAAAGGGAAAGGGAGAGATTGATTCTCAAGCAGACTCCTCACTGAGCATGGAACCCAATGTGAGGCTCGATCTCACCACCCTGAGATCATGACCTGAGCTGAAATCAAATGCTTAACCAATGGAGCCACCCAGGCACCCCTCACATTGGCTTCCTTTTAGTCTTTGTGTTCAGCATCCCCTCATTAACTGCCTCCCTAGCACCTCAGACATGCCTATCTTTCCTCTCTTTGCCCAGCTAACATCTACTCATTCTTCAGATCTTGGCTGAAATATCACCTCCTCAGGAAAGCCCTCCATGATTTTCCTGTCCAGGCCTGTCGCCCCCTTAAAGGCTCACCCTGCACCACGCCCATCTCCTCTCTATGCGTCACTCTTGTGACATTAGACTTATTTGTGAGACTCTTTAGTCAACGTCAACCTCCTAAACCGTATGCTCCACGAGCTCAGGGGCTGTGTTGGGTGTCGCCTTCCACCATCTCCCCAGGGCCTGACGGGAGAGCAGCCATATTGGTTGAATAGTGAATGAATGAGTGAATAAGTGAAATATCCCTGGATTTTGAAGTGTTGGTGGCATTTGAAGTATTAGGTGGCATTGGGGTGCGCACCTGTGTGTGAGGTGGGGACTCTGTTCACGGCGTGGAAGGCGGAAGGAGCAGCAGCCTCACTAGTCTTCACACCCTTCCCAGCAGCGAACATGCATTGGGATTGGAGAGAGGTGCGCGACCTCTTTGTCCCATGTCAGCCTCTGACCTGACAACTACACCTGGAGGGGCAGCACCCGCCAGCGGCTTTGGGAAGCGCAGTCATCGCTCTACTCCACGGCACATGGTCTGTTTTACCAAGTTCTACTGCAGAGGACTGGACCTAATGAATTTGCACAGGATCCTGAGGGCCTCCCCCTAGCGACCTCTATAAAAGGCTTCCTCTTTCCTTCTGCCTGTTGTCCCAGGAACCCTCCAGGCCCCAAAGCTTCAACGCCCCCGCTACCGTCCAACTCGAGCTATCTACCTGGCCTCTCGGACTTGATGCTTCTGGCCATCTCTTGCTCCCCAGCCCACCCTTCTCTAGGATGGGAGCCTGGCTCTTCTGGGCCAGCCCTCCTGTTTGCCTGCCCTGAAGAGGCCTTGGTGCTCTTTGTAAAGAACAAGGGGACTCTTCTCTGTCAGGACCCCCTCCCATAACTACCTTCATTGACCCCTGTGGGGTCCAGTCAATACTGAGTTGAGCCTCTTGAGGGTGAGCACCTCGGTCACATCCAGGAAGGCAAGGGGTGGGGCACGTGGCCTTGCAGGATGGGCCTGGACAGGCCTGCGTTCTCTCTGTGCCCTTTGACCCACGCTCCTCCCTGACATCCGGCAGCTTGCCCGACCTCGGAACCCAGAAATCATGTTGTGCCTTGATGACCCTCCTGGCCTCACCCCTGACCTGACAGTTTGTGCACCTGACCAGGGCAGGACTGGCCCTGGTCCCTGGGGTTGACCTTGCACTTCCCCTCATGCCCTTCCCACCCTCCAGGATGGCAGGCAGGCTCACCGGACAGCAGCCACTGCAGCCTCTGGACATAGCGCCTCATCACCTTCTCTAGGCACGTGATGTACGCTTCCATTTCCCTGGGCGTCCAGTGGATGTGTCTCACTATCCCCTGAATCAAGGCAAGCCAAGGCAGACGGCCCTCTGTCAGCTACGTCTTCAGATCCCCATCACCCCCATAAACGGTTCAGTCAGTTGTGGTTAATAATTTCTAAAACGTCTATTAGGCATTATATATTCACTTATAGGCTTTTTTCTTTGATCAAACTACCAGATTTATCATTCTAAAAGGAGAAGGGGAGTTGGGATGATGGTTTTGTGCCAAATATGGTCACTGTGATAATAAAAAAACATAGCGTCTCTAAATTTTAAATTAGAAAACCCTTAATGGTAGGACAAGAAGTCCATAAATGTCAAACTAAAAGATGACCACAGATAGAGAAGAGGACAGACAGTATGATAAAACTCCCTTATAAAATCTTTCTGGTGAATAATTTTGAACTTGGTGGCTACTTCTGGCTTTCTAGTTTCCCCTAATGTTGATAATGTCTTATCAAATGGCAAGGGTAGAAAATGGGGTCTTCTAAAGAAAGAACGCATGATTCGTTTTTCATTTGTACTAAACCTCCTTGTTCCAGTGCCAAAACAAAGAAAAAAAAAACTACCTCCAAACTACAAACTAGAGAACACCGTCACCTCACCCCTGGAGTGGAGAGGGAGAGGGAAGCCCCCAGTCTCTGCCATCCTGATAGAAGCATCAGCAGAATTGGGGTACAGACTTCTGGTGAGCTCTTCAGCTGCTGTCCATTCTCAGCTACTGTCTCCAATTCCCATGCTGTGGAGCGTGTCTAGCTCTGGGGGGTGGGGTCGGGCCCTCCCCGGATTGACTTTTCCTCCAATGGGATCTGCATTTTCCATTTGCCAAGAGCCATCCCACTTTGTGGATAGAAGCAGGAAGAGAGGCCGTGGCCCAGACATGCACATGGAGTTCCCCCCAACACACTGGCCCATCACAGTGGCTAATCACAGGGAGAGGGTGAGAGTAAGGGAATGAGAGCAACAAAACCCACAACTCACGTTGATTTCTATGCTGGGCAGGATGCTGCAGTATTTGGCTGACACCAGCCCCTGGACTGACTTCTGATGAGTACAGCTGGGACCCATGTATCTGGAGATTTCCATATTCAGTTTTCTTAGCCCATAATTTGCTACCCACTTGAGAATAAAAGAAAGAACTATTATCTTGGGTAATAGAGGCTTAAATGAATGATGGTCTGATTCATCTACTAAAACCCTGTGTTTGAAATCTGTCTCGTGCTTAAAATGTGAGGTTCTTAAGTCCTCACCGGGCATCCGTGGCTTGTGGATTCCTTCCCCTGCACTGGGGTGAGAGGCACAGGAAATACGGGAATGGGGAACACCATTTACTGAGCATCTGCTACTTCCAAGTCTGGTGGACGTTCCTGGTTCACCAGGATCTATTTCAAGCCTCTCCCACAAAATTCCACTGGAAAGCCATGATTGGCCTGAAGTTCAGACTCTAAACCAATGAGGATAACCTGAGCCTCTTTGTCTCCATGAGAGATACAAGGATGGGCAGGATCACCGCCATCAAGCATGGCTCTGGCATTAGCCCCATCAGAACCAAGCTCAGACATTTAAAGAATGGCTGTGGGGAGAAAGATGTTCTACCTTCAGGATAGGAACAGGAAGGGGAATTTCTGTTGCTTGCACTCAAAAAGATGGACACCACTAAGTGATCTATACAAAATAGACTTCAATAGTCATCAATTCTATCAGAAAGAAACAACTGTCTTCATTTTTACAAATGAGGACACAGAGATTGAGTGTAGCTAAATGACTTGCCCAAGGTCACCGAGCGAGGAAGTGGCAGGTCCAGGTTTCAAACGTAGGTCTACTTAACTCTTTCCCCACCCACATTAAGCAGTCATTGTAAGCAGGTTTGTCCCCACTTCCAAGTACGTCCATCTTTCTAGAAGTGGAAGATTGGTGGAAGGAATTATTGCCTCAGGGACATGTGCTGGTGCTGAGGACCTCGTACCTCTTGGCTTGAGCAAACTGTATCCTTCCTGGGCAACTGGATGGACGTGCTAACCCTTCGTATGCCCCTTCCTTGAGGGTACTTCTTGTATACGAAGCCTAGGAAAGACAGGGAGGTTATCCTGTACGCCTCCCCTCCCTCCACTCTTCTTCTCCTCCTCTCCCCACTTTGGCTTCCTTTTGCATGTTAATTTCTCTGTCAATCAAATCAGCTGGAGAATTCCTTAGGGGCAATTTACTGAAAGGTAGAAGGGAGACTGTTGGGGGAAGCAGACGGTAACCTCCCCTCTCCACACCTCAGTGAATCGTTACTAGGATTTCTACCATTTCGCAGTAATCAATGGTGGAGCTGTAGGGACCGGAGGACACTCATCTCCACTCCCTTCTCAATTTCCCCATCAGCCTGAGAGTGGAGGACATTTCCTCTGATGGATGGAGGGTGAGTAGTGTCAAGAATTTGCATGCTCCCTTCCCCAGGCTGGGAGACCTGAGTGGCTTGAGGGTAGGCACTGCTGCCCATGTCCTGGGACAGCTGGAGAAAGTCTCCCTCCCACGGGGCCTGCTGGACCCTACAGTTCCTACAGGGCGACAGAGCTGTTCAGACGTTTGTGTAGTCTCCAACTCACCCACGTTATTCCCCGATTCTGTATAAAAAAGGGAGAGAGAGGTCTCTGCTTCCCTCCACATGGTCTTCCTCCTCCGTTTTGCAGGCCCTTCTCTCGTGGGCCAGGCTGCAGCTAGGGGACAAGAGGCCTGTCGGCTGGAGCAGTCTCGTGGGGTCACGTGGCGACACTGTCCAGCTTTGTCTTAGAGACCTGTGGATTCCAGCTCTGCTGTGCCCTCGAAACTGGGCGCCAAGATGGCTTTGAGGTCATTTGGGATGACCCCAAGCCTTCTGGCCTCCCCTGGAGCAGCAGCAGCTGGAGTGGCCCTTTACCCAGCACTGATGTATCCCAGGTGGGGTGCTAAGAGCTTTCTGGACCCCTGCCTCATTTTAGCCTCCCAGCGCCCCAGGTTACAGACAAGGTAAGAGGGGCTCAGAGTCCATCAGGGCAGAGCCAAGATTCTACCCAGGTCTTGCTGACTCCACCGCTCTGCTCAGGACCATTCTGCCAGGTCTCTGACCTTGGAAATAAGACACATGACCTTGGTGCTATGAGCTGAATACTTTAGGAAACATACTGATGCCGGTCACGAGCAGCTGGCCCTGGTCATTATCCATAGCCCACCTGGGCCTACATGTCTTTATCAGTAAAACAGGGAACGGAGAGATGAGCTGTCCCACGGGCTTTCGATGGGACAATCTTAGCGGAAGGGCTGGCCCGCGGCCGCCACTCAGGATCATCCATCACTTCAGTGACTCCTAACTAATTCCTCCGCCGCCGCCGGGCCTGCCGCCCCTCCCCCCACCAACCTCCCCCAGCGGGCCTCACCTGGTGGGACGCCTGCTCTGCCGCTGGGGGGCCGCCAAGTCTGAGTGTGCAGTGGGGAGCTCTTCTCTCTGTCAGGGTCATCTTTAAGGCTCTAGAAAACAGGCGGTCTTTCCCATCAGTGGCCTGGTCTCCGTGACAGGCCCAGACTGTGTGTAGCTTACTCCCATTCCAGGGGCTGCGTGTCCAGGAGGCTCTGTCCACACAGGCACTGTCCTCATTCAAAGAACTCACCAGGTTCCAGGAGCCAGCCCAGAGACCTCGCCTTCCCCGGACTTCCCAAATTCTGGGATGAAACCCCAGTATCAAACTGACCATTAGGAACCTGTGAAGGGAGGGGGCCATCGGGAGCAGAATCTCGAACACGTTGGTCCCATCTCCTGCTGCAGATGTAGAGGAGGACTGCGGGTTTTGAGGTTAAAAAAAAAAAAAAGTGTATGCATGTGTGGGGGGGGTGTGTATGTGTATACATGCGTGTGTGTGTGTGTGTGTGTACGTGTGTGTGTTTAATAACAGCGAGGGAGGCATGCTAGGATGGCCATGGGATTTGCCAGACTTTTCTTCAGTTACCTGCCCTTCTTCCCGCTGGACTGGGATTTTGGGGCCTCCAGCATAATAAACAACCTCTCAGGTAAGTTCCGTGGCCTATTGGGCACGTCCGTTCTAAGGGGAGGAGTTCTTCCTCCCTGGGCACAAGGGGAAAGTGATGATGGTTGAACAAAATCACCCGGGGCCCTGGACCAGCTCACATGGCTGGGCGAGCTGTTGTGGAAGAGGCCTGGTTGCTGTCCCCACTGAGGGAGCCCCCAGCCCTGTTTCCAGGAGGCTTTTTGGAGGCCTTGGTATGGCCTGAGCCTCCTCCTGCTGAACCAGCTCAGGAGGCAGCCCCCACGACTCTCGGGTTTCATCCCAGAATTTGCCTCAGGGCTGGCTCCTGGGACCTGGAAGAGTTCTTTGAATGAGATGGCAGTAAGCTACACGGGATCCAGACGGATTCCCTCTTCCTGCAAATGCACTGTGTTCACAAGGACCTGTGGGTCAGTGACGTGCTGAAGGGCTCCGGATATCTGCCTTCCAGATATCTGGCTTCCAAGCACTGGAGTCGGGGTCCTCTGAGGTCCCTCTGATTTCTGCAGTGCGGTGGACATTTTACGCAAGACTGATGTGACAGGCTGTGATGGGGATAAGGCCCGAGCAGGCACGGGCCCACCCTCAGGGTCCTACGAGGCCCTGCCAAGCCTTAGGCAGCAGGAGCCCATTACGTACCCTTTGCCCCCGAGACCCCCTTCTGGATAAGCCCTCCTGCCTTACAGCCGTCAGATGTCTCGGTGGGTGCCAATTCCACGGAGTCCTGACTACTGGCTCGGGAGTAAAGCTGAGATAGCCAGGCAGAGTCAAAGGTGGATGGCGAGGAGGCCAGAGATGCCCCCAGGGCTGAGAAGCAGGTCCCCCTGAGGAGCTCCTCCCCCATAAGGTCAGGGCTGGAGGTACTCTGGGGACGCTCACCCCTGAACACCCTGACTCCACCCCTGCTGGGCCTGGGGTTTGGGGGCCTGGCCCAGGCCATTGCAAAATCTAGGAAAGACCAGGAGACAAGGTGGCAACAAAGTCCTCTGTGTGTAATTAGGGAGGGGAGTCAAACCATTCTGGCCACTGAGGCAGCTGCGGGTTTGGAAGAAAAGACTTTTTTGGGCTGACTTCTTTGCTTGAATGTTTTTGGTTTTTCCTTCAGGAGAACAGCACTTTCCAGTTCTTTTCCAGACTGTTTCTTCAGGGAAGACACCAGTAAGGCACACTGCACGGGGAGATTGGGAGGGTTAGCAGCACCCCCGCCATGGTGTGCCTCCAAACAGGTGACACCCCTCCACACACACCCCCCCACACACACACATACACACACAGCAGGAGAGACTGGGTCCACTGGGGCCTCTGGACTCCTCTTTCTTTCTTTCTTTCTTTTTTTAAAGGTTTATTTATTTATTTATTTGACAGAGAGAGATCACAAGCAGGCAGAGAGGCAGGCAGAGAGAGGGGGGTGAAGCAGGCTCCCCGCCAAGCGGAGAGCCCTATGCGGGGCTCAATCCCAGAACTCTGGGATCATGACCTGAGCCAAAGGCAGAGGCTTTAACCCACTGAGCCACCCAGGCGCCCCTCGACTCCTCTTTCTATCCCTAGAATGTCTCCTGGGGCTGAAAGCACTAGGGATTGATCCTATTAATAATATGCCCCATGTACTATTGGGATGCCTCAGGCACTGAGCTAGTCAATGCCTGGGGGTCTCAAACCCTCTTGCCAACAAGGCATGCCAACTCTGCTTTTAGGGCAAGGGCTATCTTAGCTCCATTTTACAGACAAGGAACTCAAAGCTCCATGAGTTTAAGGGATGTGCACAAGGCCACACTACTCATATGTAGAGGACCTTCAATTCAAACCCAGGTGTGTCTGGTTCCAAGACAGTGCTTTCCCTACTCAGACCCAGCGCGCGCCACATACGCCCATCGGCTCCCCACATACCCCGGGCCAATGTTGGCAGAATAACGTTTAACACTTGGTGCCTTTTGCCAACACGTTTCTCTACTGCCTGAAAGCTGCCCCAGGGATTCTCCAAGCAAATGAAGTTTGTATGTTGAATGTAAATCACATCCTAGGAAGGGTGGGTTGAACCGTTACTGCCCACTAATGCTTTATAAATGTTTGTCAGATGAGGGAACAGACTAAGGTGCACTTGAGAAGGAGTAAGAAAAGCACCAAAGCAGCGTCCCTCCAGGGAGGGCAGCTGGGGCGTGGCTGGGGAGCCACAGATGAGCCATGGAGGCTGTGGAGGGAGTGAACCCGAAGCCATGGCCCTGCCCTCCCAGGAGCTCACGCTGTGGTCAGGGGGATGTCGCCCTGCAGTTGGCGGCAATGAAAATGCCGAGTCAGGCTGAGTCTCCTTCATGGGTTCTTCCTCCCTCCCCACCTTGACCGTGATCCCCTTCATGCTATGTGTCTACCCCCATGGCTTGAACTGCTCCACATCCAACTCCAGCCCCTAACTTTTCCCCCTGTCTTAAGGACCCCCATTGGTCAGCTCCCAAACCCCATAAACTCACCTTTGTCCCAGGCCCACCCTGCCGTATCCCGATGGGATCCTCTCCTGTTATCTCTCTCTTGGTCAATGGCAGCTCTGTCTACCAGGTCTCCCAGCAAGGAACTTGGGAGTTACTCCGGAATTCTTCCTCCTTCCTCTTTCTCTTCCTTCCCATGCTTTCCATCGCCATAAATTTGGTCAATTCTCCCTTAAATGTTCTCATGTCCCTTTCCTCATCCCTGTTCTCATGGCTCCTGACACAACCTGGCTCCTTTCTACCTCTCTCATCTCGACAGCATTCTCTGAGGAAGTATGCCAAGGATTGCTGGTGACAAGGACTCTGTCCTTGACTAAACTTTAGTTGGTCTCCTCTGAGCGCTCTTCTTGACTCAGCCTTGACTTTGGCCTATTAAACCAAGTTTTAGCAAAGAATCCCGTTAAGCCTGTTTGGTAAGAATCCCCCTACCCTTAATATCTAATTAAGTTCCTCTTAGTAAATTTCTGTCCACTGACCCTTTTGCTATATTGGCTATAAGCTGGCTATAAATCCTTAGCTATCTTGGCTGTATTCAGAGCTGAGTTCCATCTCTCTCCTCTGCTGTAGTGGTCTCAGATAAAGTTTCCCTTCCTCTTTTTAACAAGCATCCAGTGCAATTTTTTTAATTTAATTTTTAAAAAAAATTTTATAAACAAATAATGTATTTTTATCCCCAGGGGTACAGGTCTGTGAATCGCCAGGTTTACACACTTTACAGCACTCACCAGAGCACATACCCTCCCCAATGTCCATAACCCCACCACCCTCTCCTTAACCCCCTCCCCACCCCCGGCTACCCTCAGTTTGTTTTGTGACATTAAGAGTCTCTTATGGTTTGTCTCCCTCCCGATCCCATCTTGTTTCATTTATTCTTTTCCTACCCCCCAAACCCAGGGCAGATTTTTTAAAACACCAGCCAGCACCAGAAGCTTGAAAGGGGTAGGGAGGGATTCTCCCCAGAGCCCTCAGAGGGAGCACGGCCTCTCTGACACCTTGAGTTTAGACTTCTGGCGTCCGAAACTGAGAGGATAGATCTCTCTTGCTTTAAGCCTCCTAGTTTGTGGTCCTTTATATGGCAGCCCCAAGACACTACTAGAGAAGGGCAGTCATTTGCCCCACATCTAAGGCCTACCTTTTGGGAGTAATTGAGAGCCTTTTCCATCTCAGACATGATGGCGTTGATGTCATCGCTTTCGTAAATACCTAGACACAAAGCACACCGTAAGTATGGAGAAGGCGTGTAGATCCGGGCAAGCGTCCACATCTGTACACAGCCGGGTTGTGTGGAGGTGACCTGAGCTGATCAGCCCCACCTCCACGCCATCCAGCGGTGGAGGGGATCGGCGGGTACAGCGTGGCTCCCAGCAGTGGCGCTGGACCAGCCAACCTCTCACCCAGAGGAAGGATGAATTCAGAGCTATTCCAGTGAATAAAACTACCCACCTTTGTATTATTTGAAGTATCTAGTGTCTGTAGGGAATACTGCCTTCTTATTTGAGAGGGACTGGACTGCAATGACTAAGAAGACAGCTTCTGAAGTTGGCCTGCCTGTGTTCAACTCCTGGTTCCACCTCTCACTACCTGTGTGTTTTGGGCTCTTTGTCTCAGCTTTCTCATCTGTAAAAGGGGGATAATAGTAACCCACTTTATAGGGTTACCGTGAGGAATGAATAACAATATATGTAACATGCTTGGAACCATGTCTGGCATGTGATAACTGTTCTAGACAGTGTGCTATTATTAGTAATAGTCACCAATGATAACTTGAATGTGTATGTCTAGCACTTTCCACGGGAAGAGCTGGGTAACAGGGGCCGCAGAGTTCCAGCCCCAGCTATGCCACTAATTTTATAGGCACAGGTAACTCATGTCCCTGGGAGTCATTTCTTCATTTGTAAATCAGAGAGGGTGGAATGTACTAGTGCGTCCTGAACCTCAGTCTCTGCTATATCCCAACAACGTGGGGGAACTCCACCATTTTCCCCTTACCTGCATACCACCTAAACCATTACCTCCTTTATATATATTTTACCAAGTTACTTAAAAGCATATGTATTATTGACGTATGTTAGTTTCATGGTACAACATAACGACTGGACTTTTGCATATACTGTGAAATGATCACTATAACGTCTAACATTTTTTAAGACTTTTTTTTAAGATTTTTAATTTATTTATTAGACAGACAGAGGTCACACATAGGCAGAGAGGCAGGCAGAGAGAGAGGGGAAAGCAGGCTTCCCACCAAGCAGAGAGCCCGACGCAGGGCTCGATCCCAGGACCCTGGGATCATGACCTGAGCTGAAGGTAGAGGCTTAACCCACTGAGCCACCCAGGCGCCCCTCTACCTAACATATTTAAAAGTATATTTTAAAAAAGAAAACTTAAGGGAGACTGGGTGGCTCAGTGGACTAAGCATCTGATTCCTTTTTTTTTTTTTTTTTTTAATTTTATTTATTTATTTGACACAGAGAGAGTCTTGACCTCAGGGTCATGAGTTCAAGCCTTGCATTGGGCTCTACTCTGGGCATGAGCCTACCTAAAATAAATAAATAAATAAATAAATAAATAAATAAATATTTGTAAAAATAATAAATATATTTTAAAAAGAAAAAAGAAAGTTCATGTCACTTCTGACAGTAGAGTTAGTGCCTTTTTTTTTTAAACTTTTATTTATTTTTAAGTAGGCTCTAGGTCCAATGTGGGGCTTGAACTCACGACCCTAAAATCAAGGGTCATACACTCTACTGAGTCAGGCAGGCCCTCCCATAAAGTTAACCCTTTTTTTTTTTAAAGATATATTTATTATTTGAGAGGAGAAAGAGAGAGAGGAAGTGTGAGAGGAGGTGGAAAAGAGGCAGAGGGAGAGAGAGAACCTCTGTGCATGTCTCAGTCTCATAACCCTGAGATCATGACCTGAGCTGAAACCAAGAGTCAGTTGCATAACTGACTGAGACACCTAGGTGCCCCAAAGTTAGCACTTTTTAATGAAATGTTAAAATAAGCAAATAACTACTTAGGGAAGAAAAAAAAAACAACAAACTTTTTCTCTATTCTCTTTGATTTCTCCTGCTGAGTGAACAAAACTGACAAAGACAGATTAACAAGGGAAAAACAGAATATCTTAACATGGGCAGCATGCACACAGGCAGGAGAAACTCAGTAATTCAGAGGGTGTGATTGCAAGTTGGGGCCTATATGGTGTCTTAACCAAGGAAAGCTTGGGGCACCAGGGTGGCTCAGTCAGTTAGGTATCTGTATTCAGCTCAGGGTCCTGGGATCGAGTCCTGCATCAGGCTCCCTGCTCAGTGGAGAGTCTGCTTCTCCCTCTACCCTTCCTCCCTTATTGTGATCTCTCTCATTCTCAAATAAATAAAATCCTAAAAAACAAACCAACAACAACAACCAGGGGCACCTGGGTGGTTCAGCGGGTTAAAGCCTCTGCCTTTGGCTCAGGTCATGAAACCAGGGTCCTGGGTTTAAGCCCCTCATCGGGTTCTCCACTCAGCGGGGAGCTTTCTTCCCCCCTCTCTCTGCCTGCCTCTCTGCCTATTTGTGATCTCTGTCTGTCAAATAAATCAATAAATAATCTTAAAAAAAAAACACCCAAAAAACCAAGGACAGCTCCTTTGTAGGGAAGTAACAGGACAAAGGGAAGGGGGTTAGGCTCTTAGGGGCAGCCAACTATGGGAAGGCAAATATAGGGAGGGAACTGAGGGATGATGGACCTCGTTTTAGTAAGGTTTGTGGTCTCCAGTGCTTCTCCTCCTCCTCCTGACATAAGAGAGGGAGACACCTAAGATGGAAATTTATGTTCTGCTTTTAGGCAGATGCGGGTGGAAGGAGGGAGGAGAACTGCTTCATTCTTTTCTCAGTTTTCAGCTCAAACTAATCCTTCTGGCACAGTGGCGTATTTTGGGGTAGCATGTTCTGGTTCCCTACAACTATCGCAATAAAAGAAACTGTTGCTCTGTGTTCTACGTTCACCTGTCTTGCCAACCTCCTGCTGTTACCATATCACCTTTTGGGAAGCGCTAAATTAAGGCACACTTAAGGCCCCTCCAGCTGTGACATTCTAAAATATTTTTAAGTCAGGGCACCTGGTCCATAGGGCGAACTACCCTTGATCTCAGGGTTGTGAGTTCAATCCCCACACTGGGCATAGAGCTTACTTAAAAAAAAAATAAATAGGGGCACCTGGGTGGCTCAGTGGGTTAAAGCCTCTGCCTCCAGCTCAGGTCATGGTCCCAGGGTCCCAGGGTCCTAGGATCGGGCCCCGCATCGGGCTCTCTGCTCATCAGGGAGCCTGCTTCCTCCTCTCTCTCTGCCTGTCTCTCTGCCTACTTGTGATCTCTGTCAAATAAATAAATAAAATCTTAAATAAATAAATAAAATAATTTAAAGTAGGTTTACTTTTTTTCCCTTTTTTACTTTAAAAAATTGTGGTAAAATATTCTTAACCTAAAATGTATCGTTTGAACACCCCCCCCTTTTTTTTGAAGATTTATTTATTTATTTTAGAGAGAAAGAGAGAGAGAGCACAAGCAGGAGGGGCAGAGGGGGAGGGAGAGAGAATCTCACGCTGACCCTGTGCTAAGTGTGGAGCCCAAGGTGGGGCTCGATCTCACAATCCTGAGATCAGGACTTGAGCAGGAACCTAGGGTGAGATGTTTAACCAATGGTGCCACCCAGGCGGCTCCCATTTGAACCATGTTTGAAGTGTGCAATTCAGTGCCATTAAGTATGGTCACATCATTGTGTGGCCCTCAGCACCACCCGTCTCCAGAATAGGAACTCTGGAGATTTCCGAGTGGGGTTTTTCCCATGCCCCTCGTCTGGAACACATCCACAGCCCAGGGAACTATGTTGGTACCTTCTGGAAGGATGGAGGTCGGGGGGCCTCCCTACCCTCACGCACCTGTGTCTCCAAACCAGTGGAAGCGCCCAGCAGTAGCCTGGGTGACCTCCCGGTAGGCGGCGGCTGTGTCAGCGCGGCTGGCATAGTGGGCTGGGGGCGTGAGGTCCATCTCAGGCTCGCCCACGTAGAAGAGACACACGTTCAGCTGGAGGTCGCAGCCCCCACAGGCCTCAGCCATGTAGGCGCTGAGCAGGGGCTGTGGGGGGAGAGAGAGCAGGAGGGCCCCCGTGGCTGAGGGCTCCTGGAGGGGCTGCTCTCAGGTCCGAGGAGCCTAATCCTCTTTCCTCGGGTCCCGTGGGCTGCCTCGTCTAATATGTGGCACCGAGGAAAGGTATCTGGGGTTGGACCACAGTTTCTCTCTCTTAATAGGGCATGGCTGGGGAGCGGACCTGAGAGCCTGCCAGAAGCATGGACATCTCCCAGGAGCTTGCGAGGAAGGCAGACTCTCAGGTCCCAGGCCAGGCCTTCCAGAACGTGATCTGCATCTTAATAACACCCCCAGGTAGCTCTTCTGCACATTGACGGCTAGTTTGGGGAATCAGGCTGGAGAAATCTATTGCTAGGCATCCACCGAGGGGAAGATTCGGGGTCGCAAAGGATGCCCAGGACAAGGCCTACTCACCATGTCCTGGTCAGGGATGCCCCCCGTGAAGAGGTAGATGCCCTGGGACTGATACTTGTCTTTGTCCTTGAAGTCCACTTCCACAGCCTTCCGCAGGGCGCTGAGGACATTCCGGCTTCCCTGACACCGCAGGCTCAGTGCCCACCTAGGGGGCAAGACGGGCCAACTGAGGGGGGCCAGCTGAGGGGGGCCAGCTGAGGGGGGCCAGCTGAGGGAGGCCAGCTGAGGGAGGCCAATTGAGGGGGGCCAGCTGAGGGGGGCCAGTTGAAGGAGGACAGCTGAAGGAGGACAGCTGAGGAGGCCAACTGATGGGGGCCAACTGAAGGAGGCCAGCCCGAGGCCCCAGAGGGGGAGGGTGGGGATTCTGCCAGAGAGAGGGACAGAGCAAATGGCACCACAGAGGCTGCCCTCAGACACAGCAGGAGCAGTCTCGGATGGTCACCTACCGCCAGGCGCTTTGTAGGTTTTCGTGGCTCACGGCAACCATCTCAGGCCTCCAGCTTTCAATTGTACTTCCAAATCTTGGGAGGGAAGAAAAGAGAATGTGTTCTTAAGCAAGAGATATATCTGTGCTACACCCCAGGTCTTTGGGATCCCCACGCTTTTAGGGAGACAAAATTCTGATTACACCCCAAAATGTTAGGATGTCACTGGCCTGGACCAGCCACAAGATTTCCTTGCTAGTCACATATGTGACAAATGTGTCACAGTACATTTGCAGTGCGAGCAGAACTGGGGGTCTCAAGACTCAGACCAGGAACAGCTCTGGCCAGATTTCTGACTTCCCCATCCCTCAAAGGAGGGAGTCATTGGCCCATTGGCCCTCCTAGACCTGATTCAGCTGCACAACTCAGTTTTTTTACTCTGTCTGTACTATAGTTTTTTGTTTGTTTTTTAAGACTTTACATATTTATTTGAGAGTGAGCACGCATACGAGCCAGGGAAGGCAAAGAGAACAGGGAGAGGGAGAAGCAGATCACTGCTGAGCAGGGAGCCCGACAGGGGGCTCGATCCCAGGACCCTGAGATCACGACCTGAGCTAAAGTTAGATCCTTAACTGACTGAGCCACCCAGGTGCCCCTGTAGTTTTTAATTAATTAAAAAGCAAAAACAGGGGCTCCTGGGTGGCTCAGTGGGTTAAGGCCCCTGCCTTTGGCTCGGGTCATGATCGCAGGGTCCTGGGATCGAGCCCCGCGTCGTCAGGCTCTATGCTCAGCAGCGAGCCTGCTTCCTCCTCTCTCTCTGCCTGCCTCTCTGCCTACTTGTGATCTCTGTCTGTCAAATAAATAAATCTTAAAACAAAAACAAAAACAAAAACAAAAAACCCCACATCATCTAATTTCCCTATGAGGTAGAATTTAAATCCTTGAAAAGAGGACTGATCCTCTTTATCAAAGAAAGGGTGTCCCCTCTCTGGCTCAAGATGAATTCATCCACCTGGCCTTCTGAGACTCTGCCCACAGATACCTCCTTCCCCCGACACACCCCCTACTTCTCTCTACTCCCCTCTGCCCCACTGTCTCTGCACGTGTTTAAGTCTGTCCATTCTTAAAAATAACTTCCTCTTTCTTCCAGGGTCCACTCCATTAGCCACTTCTCTTTCCCGTGTCCAGACCAGCTCCCTGGAAAAACAATGTCCCACCACCTCCTCAGCTTCTCCTTCCTCCGAAACCCACGGCAGTCAAGCATCTGGTAGGTTCTCTGGCAAATATTAACAATGACCTCCTTCCCCCTCTCATAAAAATATCTATCGTAGTTGGATAATAAATCTTCGACTGCAGTTTGATAAAAATTCTAACAACATCTGGAGGGTAAAAATTCCTCCAATTTTATTCCCCAGAAAAAGTTCTGTTAACTTTATATTCTTTTGGATTAAAAAAAAAAAATAGAAAGTGTAGGGGCACCTGGGCCGTTGGTAGAGCATCACATTATCACCAGCACTGGGCAGTGGTGTTATTTTGAAAATTTTAAATATTCGGTTGCCAAACTGGATTGCAAAAAAAAAAAAAAAAAAAAAAAATTATATTTCATTGTTTTGTTATCAGTGAACTCTACTGCTAAATTCAGTGGATTCCTTTGTTTGTCCCCTTCTGCTTTGCTTCTGCAGGATCAGACTCTGTTCCTCTCTGAGCTGTGGCTTCTTGAACCATCCTCTCCTCGTTTTCCTCCCCCCTCCGGCTGCTCCGCTCTCCTGTTCCTTTGGTGTTTCTCTTCCTCTGCCCACCCTCCAGACATCAGAGCCTTGCCAGTTCTGCCTTCGGATGTCTTCTCTTCCCTTCCCGTCTCCACAGGTTCACGTCATGCCCTTCTCAACCACATAACCAGAATGTCGGTGGCTCCGAAACGTGTATGTCCTGACAGGAATTCCTCACTGGGCTCCCTACGGCTCTAGAAACTCTTGAAAATCTCCAGTTCTACAGGATTAAAATCAACTTCTTCCAAGATCCGTTCCCTCTGGGACGTCTTCTCTTCACTGTTCTCACATCCTACAGCCAAATGGTAACTCGTGTTGTGGATTCTAGCTCTCCTACACCTCTCACGTGCATCCCTTCTTCCATCCCCATGGCTGCTCAAGCCCATTCCCTGCTAGTGCAGACCACTGAGCGGTCCCAATGGCCTCCATCCCTCCAGGGTCACCCCCTTCAATATATCCTTCATGTCGTGACTGTGCATTCAAGATCTGATCATGTTATTGCCTTGCTTCAAATCCTCTGATGCCTATATGTCCTATAGCATAAAAGCTCACATCCTATACATATAAACCCTCCATCATCTGTTTTATTTTGACATGTACCATCTCTCTTTCTCACTTATTGAACTCCCTGATGGTCCCCCAAAGTTCCAGAGTCTCTGTCCCATAGCTCCAACACCTCTGTGCCCCCTGTTGCTTCCTTTACCTAAAATGCCTTTCCTGGGTGCCTCGGTGGCTCAGTGGGTTAGGCCTCCGCCTTTGGCTCAGGTCATGATCTCGGGGTCCTGGGATCGAGCTCTGCATCGGGCTTTCTGCTTGGCGGGGGGCCTGCACCCCCCCCCCCACCGCCTGCCTCTTTGTCTACTTGTGATCTCTCTCTCTGTGTCTAATAAATAAAATCTTTAAAAAAAGTTAAAAAAAATAAATAAAATGCCTTTCCTCTCCACTGCCTCCATCACTCCCATGTGCTAGGTAAACACCTACTCATTTGGCAAGACTCAGTGAAAGGATCACCTCCTCTGTGAAGAGTTTTTCTTTTCTTTAAGATTTTATTTACTTATTTGAGAAAGAGAGAGTGAGCAAGCATGGGTCAGTGGGGGAGGGACAGAGGGAAACAACAGAGGGAGAGAGAGAATCTTAAACAAGCTCCACACCCAGCGTGGAGCCCAAGGCAGGGCTCTATCTCACGGCCCTGAGATCATGACCTGAGCCAAAACTAAGAGTCAGATGCTTAACCAGCTGAGCCACCTGGGTGTCCCTGTGAAGACTTTCTGACTTCCCTGTGCTCAGGCAGGATAGTCTGATCTTACCTTCTGCCTATTTCTGCAGAAAGCAGTTAATAACCCTTATTTCTTAAGAGGCTTGTTTCCCTCGAGTAGGCCCTAAGCTCCTTGAGGACAGGTACTGTGTGTACTCACTTCTGTATCCCCAGTGCAGTGACTGGTATATGGCAGGTTTCGATAAAAGTTCATTGAATGAATTAATGGATGGGTAAATGAATGAAAACATTGCCAAAAGTATTTCTCTAAGCATTGTTTTTCCTGTAGAATGTGTCAGAAAAAGATGAGACTCTGGTACAGAATAATATTTAATATTAACTGCTAACCTAATAGTTTTAAAATACTCCCTATTGATATGAAGCAGTCTAAAAATGTATAGTCTGGGGTGCGCGGGTGGCCCAGTTGGTGGAGTGTATGACTCTCGGCTTCAGCTCAGGTCATGATCTTGGGGTCATGAGGTCGAACCCCATGTCGGGCTCTGTGCTCAGTGGGGAGTCTGCTTGAGATTCTTTCTCCCTCTCCTTTCATCCCTCCCCACACTCATACTCTCTCTAAAATAAATAAATAATTTTTTTTAAAAGTTTTTATTTATTTATTTGAGAGAGCGAGCGAGAGCACAGCACAGCACAATCTGGGAAGAGAGACAGAGGGAGAGGGAGAGGAAGAAGCAAGCCCCCCACTGAGCAGGGAGCCCAACATGGAGCTTGATCCCAGGACCCTGGGATCATGACCTGAGCTGAAGGCAGACACTCAACCGACTGAGCTACAAATAAATAAATAAATCTTTTTTATAGATGCCCCAAATAAATAAATCTTATAAGTGGGTTCCTTTTCTTTCGTCCCTAATTTTGGAAAAGGCTTGCCATTAGAATATATAAAACTATATATATTTAAATTATAGGCAACTATATATAAGTTATATATAACTATATATAGTACAAGATTTAAATATATGATATATAATTATATATAATTTAAATATATAGTTACATAATTTTTTTATTTTTCCACAAAATTTATTTAAAATCTGGTAAAAAAGAACTAAGAAAACCATAGGTGTGTTGCACAAGAATCAGTAATACATTTTCTATAAAATTCTAGCAAACAAAATTCAGCAATCATAATTCCATTATTGACAGATTGTTACTGGCTAAATATCACCAAGATCTGAGGTGATAATGTAAGAGGGTTGTGATCACCAATGCCTCACAGAAATCATGAAGATATGGATTACATTATGATACACTCTTATTATAGATATGTGTGGGTATATATACATACACACACACATATATACATTATTTAATTAAGATTTTATTTTTAAGTAATATCTACATCCAGTGTGGGGCTTGAACTCACAACCCTGAGATCCAGAGTTGCGTGCTCCCCTGACTGAGCCACCCAGGTGCCCCTGTTAGATATGATTTTTAAAATATGTATTCTATATGCAACGTTTTTATTTTAAACATATGTACCAAATTATTTATATGTAAAATATATACTTTAAATACATATAACTTATATGTATTTTATAGTAAAACATAAATATATCTAGTTATATATAAATCCATATAATTGCATTTGGAATTGGAATCTTTTTTTTTTTAAGATTTTATTTATTTATTTGACAGACAGAGATCACAAGCAGGCAGAGAGGCAGGCAGAGAGGCGGGGGGTGGGGTGCAAAGCAGGCTCCCCGCTGAGCAGAGAGCCCTATGTGGGGCTCAATCCCAGGACCGTGGGATCATGACCTGAGCAGAAGGCAGAGGCTTTAACCCACTGAGCCACCCAGGCACCCCTGGAATTGGAATCTTAAATGCTCGACATACTGTAGCTTGCTAGTCAATCCTGACCTGGGACCTAACACTGGGGCATACCCAGGGGCCCTTCTTTCGCTCTTTTGTGTTTATCAGCTCAGAATCCAAATGGGGCAATAGGCTGAGTTACTTTATCTTGGCTGATCGAGCAGCGTGTTTGGGGGCCACTTATCACCTTCGCCCCAGTGGGACTGTCCTGCAGCCATTTAATTATTCAATACCCCCAAACGAGATGACTCGAGTCAGATAAGCTGATGGCCATCCTGGGATGCTGGGTGCTGGTGAGATGTCATCTAGCTACCCACCAGGAACCTCCGCCCTGCAATGGCACGATGGTAGGGAGCACACGCGACCCCTGCCCCCTGCACCCCCTCCCCCCAGGAGCGAGGAGCTTACGCGATGATGTTGAAGCCGTCCTTGTTGGACAACTGCTCCTCCAGCAGAAGCCGCAGGGAGTGCTGGATATGAATAATGTACATGGAATTGGTCACAGAGATATCCAGCAGTATAACCACCCTGAAAAGAAACACAAGCTTTATGAGGAGAACCGAATCTCTCAGATAATGTTTGTTTTGTTCCATTTTACTATTTAAAGTTCTTTCCAGGGGAGTTTTCACATGCCAGACTCAACAGCTGGCCAAAATCTTCTCTGTGGTGTGAGGTCAAGGGGAGTGGGTTTACAACGGTAGATGAAGGGGGTCGTGGAAGCTTCTCTCCCCCGGGGCTTCCAGTGTGGAGTAAAGTCGCATGGCGGAGATGGTTTAAGGGCCAGGGGGCTGCCTAGAATGATTTTCACACACATCCCCTGTTTTAAAGCACCAGCATTCACTATATCATAGGCTGGGGGCTCAGGAGGGGAAACAGAAACAAGGTAAGGAAATGAGATGGGGAATTTGGTGTATCTGGGCCTCTGGGGAAAGAAATGTATCTTTTTGTTTCTTCTCTCTCTTTTAAAATCCCTAGTCCCATCTGGCCTTCTTTCCTACTTCAAATCAATTCCCAGCTCCACCCTGCACTCTCATTTTGAGACAGCAAGTATGGTTCCATTTATTTAATTTTTTTTTTTTTTTTAAGCGTATGTGCTGCCAAAGTGAGCACAAGACAGCAATTGTCAATGGCAGAAGAAAATCCACTGGATGTAGAGTCAGAAGATCTTGGTTCAGGTCCTACTTCCTGTGTGACTTAGGCAAGTCACAAAACCTCTCTGGTCCTTGGCCTATTCAACTATGAACTGTTGAGAATTAAATGGTAGAATAGTATGGTGCTTTGTTTGTGGTAATGCATCCAATAAGGTATGGAATGGTCAGGATGCTATGAACGGTTCCAGGTCTTTCTCCCTGCTCAGGATCCAGCACGTCCCCTCACAAAGGCAGCCTGATTTCCCTTTGAAAAACTCCTCTGCCTCTGTCAGTCCTTTTGATTTGGGTGCAACAGACCCACACCAAGCTTGAAGGGTGGACATTTGACATTAGGCAATTAGAACATCCTACCTTCCGACCAGCAGAGAATAGCTCCTAGACGGGTCCTGCCCCAAGCCCTGGGAGAGCTAACCTGGTAGAAGGTAAGTACAGAGCTCAGGTGGCTATCCTGCTATGAGGAAGGGAAAGCCTGCCTGACAACAGAGCCAACAGTGAAGGAGGCGGAGCTGAGAGATGGAGATACATTGTTGATACGCACGAACCCCTGGATGGAGCCGTGCCTGAAGACAGCAATCAAATCTATTTGAGGGAGCACCTGGGTGGCTCAGTGGGTTAAGCCGCTGCCTTCAGCTCAGGTCATGATCTCAGGGTCCTGGGATCGAGCCCCGAATTGGGCTCTCTGCTCAGCAGGGAGCTTGCTTCCTCCCCTCTCTCTCTGCCTGTCTCTCTGCCTGCTTGTGATCTCTCTCTGTCAAATAAATAAATAAAATCTTAAAAAAAAAAATCTATTTGAGAATTTTCAGTTACCTTCAACCAGACCTCCCTGTTTTGTTTAAGCCAATTGGCATTTAGTTTCGGTTGCTTTTTTTTTTTTTTTAAGATTTTTATTTATTTATTTGACAGACAGAGATCACAAGTAGGCAGAGAGGCAGGCAGGGAGAGAGAGGAGGAAGCAGGCTCCCCACGGAGCAGAGAGCCTGATGTGGGTCTCAATCCCAGGACTTTGAGATCATGACCTGAGCTGAAGGCAGAGGCTTTAACCCACTGAGCCACCCAGGCGCCCTCGGTTGCTTTTTAACTGAAAGAATCCTGAGTAACACAATGATGACAGTATTGATATTGATGATGGTAGTGGTGACTTTTTCCTCAAGGGTTCTGCTGAGTGATCACTGATCCTTAATCTAAGGGATGGTTTCTGATGTTACTAAGAGGGAATTCATGAGTTGGATAAGTGCTTATGTCACACATGGGACTCACAAAGGACAAGAACACAAGAACACTACTTGAGAGAAGGTACCTTTTTTCGCAGACGGTGCCCCAGATTCTTCGGCTGGCCAGGGAAAGCCACTCGATCCGTCTCTCATATGTCCGAAGAGCTCTGCTGAGCTGTTTCTGCAACAGAAACATGGGCCACACAGAGTGAGCAATGGGCCAAAGAGGATGGCCGGTTAAGGGGTCTGTGGGGGAAGGTTGGCTTCTGAGGATGGGGCCATGGGTATCCAGGCAGAATAAACATTCCACTGAATCCTGGGTGAATTTGTCATAAGACCAGGAAGACAATAGTCCACATATTTCATTGCCTGGAATGGGAGAGGAAGTAGATCTTGCCCACAAAAGATTAGAGACTTCTGTTTGTTTGACAGGTCCCTGCCTGGGGAGCAGGTGGAGAAAGTTCCAGAGGCACCTGGAGGCAGAGCACAGTCTGTTTATAAGAGGGAGTTTGGTCAATGGCTTGCTGTCTCCACATATGGCACCTTCCACCTGTCCCCTCTTCCCAAACCCCATACACTGACCAAGTGGACCCATTACTAACCTGGTACTCATAGAGGAAGGGTGGGTCCACGTGAACATTCTTCACTGTCCCGTCATGCCATTCAAATTGTACCATTGCCTTCTGTACTCAGGTGTGGCCAGGATGGGCAACAGGTAAACAGAGCACATACAGGAAAGGATTATATATTTAATTTGGGCACTGGGCTCTCCAAATCAGATGTGTGAGAGGGAAATGGGCTTCGAGCACATCGGGGATCAGGTTATGCCTCCCTGGTCACGGCAGCAGGCGGCCTTGAGGACTGTGGTCCCAGAATGCACCATTCCTGACAGCAAGCCAGGCTGCCTTCTGGGGAGGGTCTTCCAAACATCAGAGTCTTGATACAAGATACAGTTGGTTTTGGAGTAGCAGAGTCGGGAGAACTTCAAACATACTGGCCATGGATTCTTAGGTTTGAGAACCCGGATAAACCTTCATGGACACTTGGAAAATCTAATTTTTCATCTTCTACTAAGTTGTCATATCCACCCACTGAGTCACTCATCAGTCTGCTGCTACTATTATCCATCCCTGTTCTCTTTGGATCTTCCATCTTTCCATTGAGCTCTCTCTTCACCTATTATGCCCACCTTCCATTTCTCCATCCTTCCATCCTTTTCTATTCTATTCTGTCATTGATCCTTCCATTTTTTTCCCTCTCGATAGTTCCATATGTTTATGTTTATGTTTCCATCCTTCCTTCCACCCAGTCAGCTGTCTGGGAAACATTCATTGGCTGCTTGCTTATACTAGGTACTAGGGATACAAGGTTGGAGAACACAGTTTGTTCTTTTAAAGGCTCCTACTCTAGTGGGGGTTTAGACATGCAATAAGTACACACGTTAACACATTATAGGAGCTAGGACAGAAGTCTGTACCAGGTGCAGTGAGGACACAAGGGAAGTGAGTCTGTTCAGAGTGCATGGAGGAAAACCTTCAAGGAGGAGGTGACTTGCTCCCTTATCCCTGATTGCTCCCTCTTGCCCCATCTTCCAGAGTTCGGTTTCAATCTTTGCAAAACAGCCGTTAGAGTAGATGCGATGAGAGTTCTAGAAAGTTCTAGAAAATTCTGGAAAGCCTGCATCCCACTCCAAGCCCTCAGACCCAGGCTCCTCGTGCTCTGACTTATGACTCTCCTTTCCTGAATATTTAAGAAGGAAAGTTCACAGAGGAGCCCCCTGCAGAAGGCCAGAAAGAACTCTGAATTTGAGTTACCTCATGGATAGTTGAAGAGACAGTTTTCTGGAGAATGGGCACAAATTCCTCCACAGGAGAGAATGCATTGGGTGCCAGAACCTGATAAAGGCTTAGCTTTTTGGCTGTAAAAATAAACAGTGGGAGTTTGAGATATAGCTCTTAAAGCCCCAGAGGGGTTATACCTTTTCATCAGTCACCTGAGTCCTGGGTTCTGCCCTCTTTGGGGACTTACCTTTTAGGCCATTGATCTTTAGCCATTCTGCAGAAGTCTTGTCCAAGTTTGGGAACTCAATTGTGAGGGGACCCTCATGCTTTGGGGGTTTAGGCAAGAGACCTGTGAGTGGCCCTTTTGCAATCTCTGTGGAAATCTAAATTAAATTTAAAAGCCCTTATTACAAAATAATATTTTAGAGTTGAGAAGTCCTTAGTCTCCCCAGCCCACCCAGTTCCCCTAAATGGAACATCCAAAAACATGACCTGGTAAATTAAAGGCAATTCTGCTGTCCCCTCCCACCATCCCTATCCCCGTTCCTGGAGGTTGTTGAAATTTCCAGGGTAAGAAGGAGATGTCCCCAGCAACTTGCTTCCTCTTTGATTTGTCCATCCTCCTGCCCCTTCCCCACCCTTACCATCAAGATCAGCACTTTGGGCTCCGAGATGGTGGTGGCCTCTCCATGAACTCCTAACACAAGGCTTCAAAGTAAAAAGTAACTCCTACACCAGATCATTTCAGGAGCCCTGGTCTAGCCCAGCCTTCCCTCACCCACATTTACAAACTGAAGGCCTGAGGTTCTGAGATGTTAAATCGTAACTCACGTTTAAATAAGACATAGAACAGCAATTCCCAAATTTTAGATATTTGAGTACCTCCTTCATGAATTTTTCTAAATATGAGTACCACTGTACTATTACTTAGAATTTTTAAAAATATTTTATTTTTGTTTTTAAAGATTTTATTTATTTATTTGAGAGGGAGAGAGAAAGAATGAGGGGAGAAGCAGAGGGAGGGGGAGAAGCAGACTCTGTGCTGAGTAGGAAACTCAATGCAGGGCCCGATCCCATGACCCTAAGATCATGATATGAAACAAAATCCAGAACCAGATGCTCAACTGACTGAGCCGCCCAACTGTCTGTAAAGATTTTACTTTTTTTTTTTTTAAGATTTTATTTATTTATTTGACACAGAGAGAGAGAGAGATCACAAGTAGGCAGAGAGGCAGGCAAAGAGAGGAGGAAGCAGGCTCCCTGCTGAGCAGAGAGCCTGATGCGGGGGCTCGATCCCAGGACCCTGAGATCATGACCTGAGCTGAAGGCAGAGGCTTAATCTGCTGAGCCACCCAGGCGCCCCAAAGATTTTACTTTTAAGTATTCTCTACACCTAACATGGAGCTTGAACTCAAAAATCCAAGATCTAGAGTTGCATGCTCCACTGACTGAGCCAGCCAGGTACACCTAGAATTTTTTAAAAAATAAATCAAGAGGGTACGTGCTACAGTGAGTGCTGTGAAGTGTGTAAACCTGGTGATTCACAGACCTGTACCCCTGGGGCTAATAATACGTTATATGTTTATAAAAAAATTAAAATGTTTTTAAAACATAATAAATAAATAAATAAATAAAATTTTAAAAAATAAAATAAATAAATCAAATATGGGGGCGTCTGACTGGCTTAGTTGGTACAGCATGTGACTCTTGATCTTGGAGTCGTGAGTTCAAGGCCCACGTTGGGTGTAGAGAATACTTAAAAAAAAAAAACAAAATCTTTAGGGGTGCTTAGGTGGCTCAGTCAGTAGAGCAACCAATTCTTGATTTTGGCTCAGGTCATAATTTCAGGGTCATGAGATTAAGCCCCATGTTGAGTTCTGTGCTGGGTGTGGAGCCTGCTTAAGATTCTTTCCCTTTCCTTCTGCCCCTCCCCCACTCACACACACACTCTCAAATAAATAAATATTTCAAAATAAATAAATAAATAAATAATAATAATATAAATAAAATAAATAAAAATAAATAAAATAATAAAATAAATAAAATCTTTTAAAAAATAGGGGCGCCTGTGTGAAGCCTCTGCCTTCAGCTCAGGTCATGATCTCAGGGTCCTGGGATCGGCCTGCATCAGGCACTCTACTAAGTGGGGAGCCTCTTTCCTCCTCTCTCTCTGCCTGCCTCTGCCTACTTGTGATCTCTGTCTGTCCAATAAATAAATTAAAAAAAAATAGACCAAATGTGCAACAGTAAAGCTTAACTGTTAATTTAATTTTAAAAACTGACTTCCTTTTTTGTACTCAAATAATTTTAGAAAGATGTATTACTACCATCTGAGCTAGTTTTAACTACACATTAAAAAAAAATTAATCCATGTACCACTTTGTAACTGTCATGCAAACCACGACTGATAGAAGCATTGCATTGTGGGAAACTCCTGGCTGAGGTTTTGATATCAGATCGACCCCATGTTCAATTCAAACTTCATCTGTCTCTGTCTCTGGGATCTGAGGCAAACTATTTAGTCCTCTGACTTCAGATTCCTCATCAGGAAAATAGGGGTAACAATATATCTACAGCAGACTGTTGCTGTTATGCTAAAATAAGGCATTTAAAGGATTAGGCATTGTGCCTCTTAGAATGAGCACTCAGTAAATGAGTGAGCAATTCATCATCTTTTAAAAATATAAACAAATGAAGCACTGGGTGGCAAAGACCATCTTCAAGATGGCCCACTCTGGGCGGCTGAGGTGTTCATCCTTCTCGAAATTGAGGGGTAGGGAGGGGACAGTGGGAGGTGGGCAGGGTGGGACGAGCCTGCTGGCTTTTCTCTGAAGTACATTTTTCAGTCAGAAAATCCATCAGGATCCTTTGGCACAGTGGAAGGCCCAACAAGCTCAGAACTGTGGGGTACAGCAGAGGGCACGGCCTTGCCTTCTCTGTCAGCGCATGGGGGCCTCAGCAGCCACGCTCTCAGAAGAGACGGGTGAGAAAGGAGGATCCGGTGAGGCCAGCTCCAGAATCTTCACCTACACCACCTACCTCCTTCATCATGCTGGTTAGTTCCTCACAGGGGGTCCTATGGTGCAAGGCTTGTATGTGTCCCAGGAGGCTCTGGGCTTTCTGGATTTCTGCCAGCAGTCGGTCCGTGTCCCAGCTAGTGTAGACCTGAGGGCAGGAGGAGCAATCAGCCATTAGAGGTCACTTGGCTTCTAGCAGGAAAGGGCAAGCAGCCATGTCACTTCCTAAAGCTGAGTGGTGGATTGGTTACACCCAACTTTATAAACTAGGGTCTCTGTGCTGGATAGAGCTGCAAACTTGGTGTGTTCTATTTCTATAGTATTGCCCTGCAGTGTTATTAAATAACTGAAGGGTTTTCTAACCTTAAAGATACAGAGGGGCACCTGGGTGGCTCAGTGGGCTAAGCCTCTGCCTTCGGCTCAGGTCATGATCTCAGGGTCCTGGGATCGAGTCCCGCATCCGGCTCTCTGCTTGGCAGGGAGCCTGCTTCCCCCTCTCTCTCTGCCTGCCTCTCCGCCTACTTGTGATCTCGCTCTGTCAAATAAATGAATAAAATCTTAAAAAAAATAAATAAATAAAAGGACAGTTACAAGCCGTGAGGATGGGGAGAACCAGAACACTTGTCCATGGCTAGTGGGAAACAGACTGGCGGTTCCTCAAAGAATTAGACACAGAATTACCACATAACCCAGCAGTTCCCCTTGTAGGTAGATAACCCCAAAATAACTAAAAACGGGAACTCAGATACTTGTATACTAATGTTCATAGCAGTTCACAACCACCAAAGAGTGGAGATAACCCGAGTGTCCATCAGCGGAAGAATGGACACACAGATGGTTGTAGATCTAGAAAATAAATCAGCCATAAAAAGAATGAAGTTCTGAGACCGGCCACAACATAGATGAACCTGAAAACATGATACTAATGTAAAGACGACAGATACAAAAGGTGTATGATTCCATTTATACAAAATATCCAGAATAGGCAAATCCACCGAGACAGGAAGCAGGCTGGTGGATTCCAGAGGGTGTGGGGGAGGGGACAGGAGGAGTAATGGGTTAATGAGTACAGAATTTTCTTTTGGGGGGATGAACACGTTTTGGAACCGGATAAAAGTGGTGGTTGCACAACATTGTGAATGGACTAAGTGCTGCTAATTGTTCACTTTAAAGTGAGTAACTTTATGTTATGTGAATTTCACCTCCATTTAAAAAAAACGTAAAGAAGTCACACAGACACACAGATCCAGATCTCTGGCTCTTGGACTAGTGGAAGACCTAGTAGAATGGGAGTCACACTCCTCCAGAGCAACGAAGGGGATGGGACGGGGCTGAGCAGAGGCGTCTCTATAGATGGGGTGAGAGCTACTTCATCGTCCACAGCCCCACCCCCACCCCGCCAAATCAGCTTAGTTTTTCACTATCCTTCTACTGGTTTCTGGGTTTTTGTTTATATTAAAATTAGACAATGAACTTTGTTGTACTCACAACTTTATCAAGAAAAAGAAATACAGAAGCCAAGAGGGCCACAGGCTTTTAGATAAAAGATTTCTCCTTTTTGATGGTTTATTTATTTTAGAGAGGGAGAGTGAGAGCATGTGTGAGCAGGGGGAGGGGCAGAGGGAAAGGGAGAGGGGAAGCAGACTGCTTACCAGCAGGGAGCCCAATACCAGGCTCATCCCATGACCCTGAGGTCATGACCTGAGCCAACACCAAGAATCAGACTCTTAACAGACTGAGCCACCCAGGCACCCCTAAAATAAAAGATTTCTTAAATCAGCCAGTTTCATTCATTTACCGTACCTTCCTAGCCCCTGCGATCTGTGGCCTCAACAGAGTCTGGGAAATGGCGTAACCAGAAGGGAAGTAACCGAGGAAAAAGTTGTCTGACCTTGGCTCCTGGTGTGAAATGCTAGACTTTGTGACACTTGATCCCTGTGAAATGCAGACATTCATTGGCTTAAGGCTATTCATGGTTACAGGCAAGACACATCCTGCGAGCTTTGGAATCTCAGTCTGCCAATGGCTCCACACACACATTTGCTGATCCGTTACCTCCATCATGGACACAGGGTGTGTGATGCTATGGTTACCTGGGACAAGGACACTAATGGGTAGATGGGTACAGAATCGATGGTTCATTCAGAATTGACTGCGGTGGGTCCTCTGCAGTAGCAGGGATGTGTCTTGGAGGAAGACCAGAGGCAACTGTTTCAGACTCAGCTTTGGTGGGAGCAGAGGTGGGGGGCAGAGCCCATGATGATGACAGCTGGATAGAGATTCAGGATTCTACCACTGAGGTTTTAAAAGGACTCTAGGCTCACTGGTGTGCAATCCACTCATCACACACGCTCAGCAAAGGATCTCCTGTGACTTCATACTGTCCCTGTTCTTCCCATATTCATCTTCACCTGATTATACTTGTGCAAACTCACTGAATATGGCAGCAAGGAGGGGAAGCAAGTACATAGCGTGGTCTGTCCTGGCCCAGGTCCTCCAGGCACAGCCTTGGAGGCAGGCAGGAAGGGAGGAGAGGGGCCGCGTGTTGGCAGAAGGGCTTACCTCTGTTTCTGGGCTGTAGCAGTGGTAGTAGCCCCCAAGAGCTTCTGCAAGGTTCTTTAGGACAGCCTGTGGGGATGGTGACAGGGTCAGCATCCTCACTGGGGCAATGCCAATACTCCCATAAGCTTCTCCTTGACTGAACCTCCCAACTGCCCAAAGGAAGAAGCAGGTACAAGGGGAGTCATATTCTGGTCCACAGCTTGGTGGTGGTGGGCAATCCATGCATGGAGCCTCCAAGATGGCCCAACTAGATCCCTATGGCCAATCCAAGGGAAATGTTGGGGAATCCCCAGTACTTACAAGGGGGACTTGATTATTACATTTGTAGGTGATGATGTGGGTGATGAGGCCCCTTCCCATGGTAGACTGTTGGATGTAGTTAGACAGAATTTCAGAAGACTGATCTGGGCTGGGGAGAAGACAGAAGAGGAAAAGGGGGTACCCCAGGTCAGATCACTTTGAGGACATTCCAGAGAAAATGGGAATATCTACCAAATCTAACTGACCGCCTGTGTGTCCCAGGTCACTTGTGGAAGATGCAAGGTGGAGTGGACTGCAGGCCTGGTCTGACCTGGGTGCCCTGCCCAACACCTGTGGATGGACGATCTGTGAACAAACTCTTTCTCTCAAGCCTGTGTGTAGAGCCCTGCGTGATGGTCTTTGGTTCTCCAGCCCCCATCATGTGGTCTGTTACCCACATAGGTAATGAGACCTACCAGCTTCTCATGATGGTCACCAGAGAATTCAGCTCCTTCAGGGTGAAGATCTTCCTCAGGGCTTGTAGCAAATTGCTGCCTCCCTCAGGCTGTAGCTTCTTCACCCAGAGTTTCAGTTCCTGGAGGCTGAGGAGAAAAATACCCAACCACAGTGCTCTTCCGAGGTGCCAGGCCCAGGGCAAACATGAGCTCATTTCAGACTAACAATAATTCTTTTTTTTTAAGGTTTAATTTACTTATTTGAGAAAGAGAGAGAGAGAGAGCATGAGCAGGGGCAGAGGGAGAGGGAGAGGGAGAAGCAGACTCCCCACTGAGCGGGGAGCCCGATGCAGGGCTCGATCCCAGGACCCTGAGATCATGACCTGAGCCAAAGGCAGATGCTTAACCCACTGAGCCACCCAGGTGCCCCAGACTAACAGTAATTCTTTTTTTTTTTTTTTAAGATTATTTATTTATTTATTTGACGGATAGAAATTACAAGTAGGCAGAAGTAGGCAGAGAGGCAGGCAGAGAAAGTGGAGGAAGCAGGCTCCCTGCCGAGCAGAGAGCCTGATGTGGGACTCGATCCCAGGACCCTGGGATCATGACCTGGACTGAAGTCAGAGGCTTAACCCACTGAGCCACCCAGGCGCCCCTACTAACAGTAATTCTTGATGGCAATCCCTTTCTTCCAATTTTTTAGATGAGCAAACGGAGTTTGGACTTGCCCAAGGTGATACTGTAAGCAAATGGCCAACTCCAGGATTTCAAACCAGGCTGGACTCTAGCGACCCTACTATCAGAGGTTCTGGGCTAAGCTCCTTCTCTGCACCCCAAGCCACCAAACACTCCCCCAAATGCCGAGTTAACCCCCTGACCCCGAGAGGGCTCCTGGAGGAGGCACCTTGGTTGTGTGTCTGCCTCTTGCGTGGGCCAGGATACACCCTAGAGCTAAGAGGGAAAGCGACTTCACGCAGCGCTTCCTTGATGAAATACCTCCCACACTACCAGTGAAAGAGCTCTGCTCTTTCCATTTTTCTTTCCTTCTGACAGAAAAAAATAAAAGTAAAGATAAAATAAAAATAAAATTCAAAAAAATTTTGTTGCCAGTAAGTCTGTCTTTCATTACTACAACCTTTCAGGCTCCCTTCCACACAAAGGGAGAGCAGATCCCAGGCCGACCATCGTCTCCAGGCTGATAGGTTTCAAGTTGGAATTTGATATCATTGTTTTATTTGCTTTCATTGTATTTATTGTGATGGCTGCAATCTAACTACAGCAAGTGATACGGGCTTCTTGTTATGGTTCTGAGCGTATCCTTCAATTATACATGTAGAGTTGATTTTTTTTTTTAAGATTTTATTTATTTGTCAGAGAGAGTGTGCACAAGGAGGCAGAGGCAGAGAGAAGCAGGCTCCCCACTGAGCAAGGAGAATGATGCAGGACTCAGTCCCAGGACCCTAGGATCATGACCTGAGCTGAAGGCAGCAACTCAACCCACTGAGCCACTCAAGCATCCCTAGAGTTGATGTTTTAAAACAGTATAGGTTGAGGTGCCTGGGTGGCTCAGTCGGTTGAGCGGCTGACTCTTGATTTCAGCTCAGGTCATGGGAGCCCCAGTTCAGGCTCCATGCTCAGCAGGGAGTCTGTCTGCTTGAGGACTCTCTCCCTCCCTCTGCCTCCCCCCCACCACTCATGCTCACTCTCTGTCTCTAAAATAAATAAACAAATCTTAAAAAAAAAAATAGTACATGTGGCAGAGATATGACCCAAATGACAAATGGCCTCTAGGAATGACTGAAGTGAGAAGCTCTTGCCTGTGACCTCATGGTGACTCCTAGGTCAGACATCCTGGAGATTGGGGTCTAATAGGAGCAGAAACCACAGCAAAAAAACCGCTTTCCTCACCGAGGACCTGCCACCTGCCAGATCCTTATACCTCACCTCCTGTCCATAGGAGCTGAGTGATGGGTTAGGTATCTCTGGCCTCACTCGGGTAAGGAGAGTTCAAGGATGGGTCAAGGCCACCCAGTAACTGTCAGAGCAGGACGCAGAGCCAGCGCTGTTGGAGCTGGGCCCTTCTCTAGCCAGAAGGGCTCCTCTTTACAGCCAGTGCTGAGCCAGGGGACCTCCATCCCAGAAATGCATACAGGGTTTTTTTTCCTAGGAATCTACTCTGGGCTTTGGTAGCCAATCTGGGCTCTGCCACTCTGGGCAAGCGCCTTAACCTGAGTTCCAGTTTTTTCATAAGCAAAATGGGGAAAAGAATCCTATTACACGTGCTGGCATAAGAATTATATAAGATAGCCCATGAAAAGTGCTTAGCGTGGCACCGAACACCTGGTGGGCAGTTAAGGATATTTTCTTCATGGAAAAGAAATTTTTAGTTACTGGAATAAGTAGAAATTGTTACACCTCTTCTGTCCCCCCCATAACTCCCCCCAAACCCCCACAAACTAGAGACTTCCAAATAAAGGATAGTTAAATCATAGTACATGTATACAGTGGAATACTATACAGCCATTAACAAGGAATGGGGCAGATCTGTGTGGACTGAGGGGGAAGACATTAAAATCAAGGGCAAAGGGCAAGAGAGTGTAATGCGTTTCTGTTTCTGTCTCAGTAAAAGAGGATAAACATACCGACACACGTACATGACACACTGTGGAAGTAGGGAGAAGAAACAGATATTGGGAGGTGAGAGAGAGACTCTCCTTACTTGCACTTTCATACCATGTGGATTTTTGAAGATGCATTACTTTCAAAATAACATAACTCTCTTCACTAGTTGGCTAGAGAAAAATGGCGCCTTGTGGTTTTCTTGTGTTTTCATTTTGTGGGTGGCTCACAAGGGCGGCCACTTTGCTGAAGGTTACAGATCCCCATGTTTCCACTTTGTGAGCTGTCTCTTTGTACTCATGCACCTGTTGGGGTCTCAGGTCTGTACTGCATTCATTCAAGAAACACACCATCATGGAGGGAGGACAAAGAACAAGCGGACACCCTGGCCGAGGCCGGGAGGTCACTCACGTGGAGGAGCTGACTTCCACTGGTTCTGGCCAGAGGGCGCTGGCGGTAGAGCAGAAGGACAGGACATACAGCTTCTCCTTGTGGCTCAGCTGCTCCTCAATGAGGCTCTGGCAGACAAAAGGACATATTGGTTCCCGGAGCCGTGGGCCACGTGGAGCCTGGCTTCACTCCTCACATTGGGGCTGGCTCCTGGGGATGGGGTGTCAGCCATGCTGGGACGGGGTTGCTTAGTGGCTCCAAGCCAACACTTGCTTCCTGCCCACTGAGTCTCATGGGAGTGTGCCCTGGTGGCCCATCCCAGCCCGTGTTGTGGGGGTGGGCAGGGAGCCTGTAGCCTGGCAGACCACCCTCGGAGATCGCGTCCTCACTCCGTCCCAGTGACTGGGGACTGATGTCTTCTGGACCAGCTCCTCAGGGCCACCACACTCTCGGGTCATTGACTCGGAGTGGGGATGAGCCTCTTGGCTACTTTCTCAGCCTGTGCCGCCATTGGACCCTTCACAGGGGCATCCAGGGAGGAGGTTGGGGGCAGGGGTTTCTCTCCATAGCACAGGAGGTGGGGATGCCACAGTGGGCACAACGCCAGCCTATGTGATGCTCTCAAGCTGCAGCCAATGACATATCCAAGGTGACATAGTTTCTCCTCTTCTTCCTGACTAGGTACAACTTCATCCGTCCGTCACTAACACGGACCTTGCCCTTGCCCACCTGGGGAATCTTCAGATCTTTAGATCTTTAGAAACTCAGCCCTGAGGACTTGTCACTAAGCACCGTTACCTGACATCTGCTGAGACCAGGAGCGGGGGGACAGGTCTGGATGACTCGCCCATCTTGAGCCCTATGAACAGTCTGAATGCTTGTATCCAGAGCTCTAGGGGTCCCCATAAAAAAAGAGCCACCCCTACATCAGTGCACAGAGGTTACAGAGGTTTTCTTTTCTGAGCACTTAATTTGCATGAATTCCTTCCGTCCTGTGGCAGCCCTGGCAGGTGGCCACTGTCATCACCTGCATTTTACAAATGAGGTAACTGAGGCACAGAAAGATTAGGCAGCAGGGTCACAGCCCAGAAGTGGTAGAGGCGGCTGGGACTTGAGGCCAGTCATCTGCCTTCAGCGTTCTCGGCTTCTTTGTCGTGGACATGCCAAGGAAAACACAACAGGCCCTGGGTCCAGAAACGGCCAGGAGGCCAGTGCCAGGCTGTGCTGGAAACAGTCCTCTTTCCAGGAGCTGGGGGCTCTTGCGGCAAAGTCTAGTTCGTAGGGACTGTTGTGGTGAGAATACTAGAAGCTCACACAGGAACTGAAAATGAACTTGACGTATTTCCTTAACGGTAGGTGCTAATTAAGCGTGAACTGTTCTTTGCAAAACACCCCATTTTGCAGTTGCTAGAAACAAAGCCGGTGCACAAAGCTCACAAAGGGGAGGGTGTGTGTTTGTGGGGTGGGGGAGGGGGTGTTCCAGGTACTTCTCTGCCTGAGAAACTTACCAGGAAGTCCTTTTGGAACTCCTCTTTCTGAGAGCCACTGCTGACGGCTGACACATCAATGACAATACCAACTCTGGCTCCCTTGATGAGGCCAAATACCTAAAACCAAAGAGGGCAGTGGGAGCAACCAGCACAGCCCTGCGCTTCCATTAAACCCTCTCACTGGGCAGTTCCGTGGGATGTGGAAGTTGGGACACACCCCTAACCTCAAAAATCAGCAGAAGGCAGGCCCATTTTACAGAGGGAAAAGCAAAACCCGATGTCCTGACTTCAGTTCTGGGCATTACCTGCTCTTAAAACCTATTCTTTTTTTTTTTTTTTTTTAAAGATTTGATGTATTTATTAGACAGAGATCACATGTAGGCAGAGAGGCAGGAGGGTGGGGCGGGGGTGGGGAGCAGGCTCTCTGCAGAGCAGAGAGCCCTATGCGGGGCTTCATCCCAGGACCCTGGGATCGCGACCTGAGCCAAAGGCAGAGGCTTTAACCCACTGAGCCACCCAGGTGCCCCACTAAAACCTATTCTTTACAAGTTTTTTTTTTTCCTTAATATTTACAGTCCACCCTTATAAAGTAAGCCACATCTATTAAAGAAAATTCAGAGACCACAGGAAAGCATCCTTCATAAGACAAAGTTCACTAATCACATCAGCTGATTTTATTCCATTTCCTCTATCTCTTTATTTGTTTTCCACCCACTCTACCAATCAAAGGCAGATGTGTCAAGCTTGCCGCCTGCCACGGTATTTCTGTGAGTTTCTAAATCCATGTCTAACAGCAAGCACGTTCTCCAGGCCGACGCGGACTCCCTCTGCTGAGGAATGTTCATCCTCCTACAGCTGCATCGTGAACTGGGATTTGCAGCGACGGATGGTTCTCTAGGGGCTGTGGGTTCCATCTGATGCTTTTTGCCTTAAATCCCACTTTACTGCATGCCAAAATTTCCTGCTCAATTCATTTCTTTATGCTCACAGAGGGGTATTTTATCTCTCTCACACCTCAACATTCCCTATCTAGGCTCCCCCCACAGGTGATCTTGCCTCCAATTTCACTAAGAGAAACAAGCCAGCGTTTTGTTTTTTAAATCTTTTCAGGCAGAATCTATTAACCTGCCTGCCTCTTTGCCCACACACTTGGCCTTTCCCCTCTATTAACAATGTATCTATAGCAACTACAAAAGCTCTAAAGCCAACCCTTTGACTCCCATTAAGGGCTCTTCTCTTGCCAAACAGGGACTTCGCTACAGTAATCATCTTTTCTCCTGGACCACCAGATCCTCCTTATCTACTGTGCTGTTTCCATCACCACACAAATTACAAAATACTATTGCCCATCTGAAAAAGGAAATAAACCTCTCAGGACCCCACCGCTCCCTCCTGCTCCCCGACCTCATTTCTCTGCTTCCCGTTTTACCCTACCCCTCATTTCTCTGTGAAAGAAATGAGAGTAAGGTTCTCACCTCCCTACTCCCCAAAAGCTACATTTGTCAAGGGGATCAATGACCTCTTGCCAAGCCCAATGGTCAAATGTAAGTTCTCCACGTGCACTAATTCTGAGTAGTATAGGACACCCTTTGGCTGTGTCGAGGATGTAACAAGTTGAAGCTCTTAATAAGGACACTTGTCTTTCAGGACATCACGTTTTCCTGGTTTCTCACCCACTTGCTGGCCGGTCCTTCTTGCCCTCCCCCACCTCCTCCCCAAGTCTGCATCATGGAATGTCCTGGGAACTTGTTAGATGCAAAATCTCAAGTTCCACCCCAGATCTGCCCAATTAGAGTCTGCATTTTTTTTTTTTTTAAGATTTTATTTGTTCATTTGACAGAGAGATCACAAGTAGGCAGGGAGGCAGGCAGAGAGAGAGGAGGAAGCAGGCCCCCCACGGAGCAGAGAGCCCGACGACGGGCTCGATCCGGATCATGACACGAGCCCCAAAGGCAGAGGCTTTAACCCACTGAGCCACCCAGGCGCCCCTAGAGTCTGCATTTTAACAAAATTCCTCTCCCTACTGCCCCTACCACCAAAAGGGATTTGGCTGCCATAAATGTTTGAGAAGTACAGGGCTAGGGCTCCCTCTTCCTTTTCCTTCCTTATCTACACCAGGATTTGTCAACCCCTCATCTACTGACATATGGACCTGGGCGATCCTCTGTTGTGGGGAGCTGACCAGCACGTGGTGGGATGTTTGCCAGTTTCCCTGGCAATCTTCCCTCTCAGTCTTGACAACCAAATATTTCTGCAGACATTGCCAAATGTCCCCTGGTGGGCAAAATCGCAACCCCCACCCCAATTAAGAACCCCTGTTCTGCATTCATTCCCTAAATGATCTCATGTGTCTCGAGGATTTGAATACTATTTGCACACTGTGCAGTGTCCATGTGCAGGCAGGGCTCTCTGGCAGCTCCAAACATACGAATTCAATTTCTGGCTCCTTGTCTCTGCCCAGATGGCTGTAAACCTCCCAGACTTCATATGGTGAAACCCAGACATCCTATTTTCCTCCTCCCACCTGGCCGTCTTGTGCATGGCATTCAACAGACCCAGGCACTTGGCGGCAAACCCATGCAATCCATCAGCTGTCCTGCGGGCTCCACCTTCCAGACACACCCCAAGTCCCCCATCTCTCATCCCACGTATCCTAGCTTTTGAGCCTAAGTCACCACCCTCTCCGTACCTGGCCTTTGTTCTCTATAGTCAATTTATGAAGCAGCCACAATGATCTTTTTGGAAAAGCCTCACCTGTGGAATGAGATCTGAACTCTGCAGGGCCATTCCTGATTCTAGCCTCATCTCCACCCGCGCTTCACTGTATGGCTCACTCCATGATCGCTACACTGGCCTGCTTGTGGCTTCTAGAACATGCCAAGCTTGTTCCTGTCTTAGAGCCTTGACATTTGCTGTTTCTTTTGCCTGGAATGTTCTCTCCTAGATCTCTACATGGGAGTGCCCTCATTTCCTTCAGGTGTCTTCACAAATGTCTCCTTCTTGACCATTCTAAATAGCCCTCCTTCTGGTGCGCCTGGTGAGGGGTGGGACTCAGTCAATTAAGTGTCTGCCTTTGGCCAGGGTCATGATCTCCAGGTCCCGGGGTTCAAGTTCCGTGGAGGCTGCTTTTCCATCTCTCTCTCCCCTGCTCATGGTTCTTCTCACTCACTCTCGCAAATAAATAAATAAAATCGTAAAAATTAAAAAAAAAAAAAAGCCCTCCATCTATCCTACTCTCTATTCTCTTACCCTGCTTTATTTTTCTTTACAGCTATCACTAACTTGACCTGACATATGATTTGCTAATTACTCATTGTCTGTCCTCCCCCACAGGACTATAATCTCCACGAAGGTGGGACCTTCCTATTGGTCGTGTTTCTAGTCCTCAATCCGGGACTGGGGCCTGATGTGTAGTAGTTGTCCAATCAATATTTGTTGAATTCATGACCCAAACGAACGCTGAGGACTCCCAGGACATTTCTAATCCTCAGGGGCCAAAAGGAGTTCAAATCTGGGGCCAGTTCTATTCCTTTTAAAATGTACAGAAACTGCCTTTAGAGCTTTTATAATTGAAAACATTCATTCTCTTAAGCTTAGTCATTGGAATTCTAGACATTTATCCTGTAAAGTAACTGGGTAAGTTCATAAGAGGGAATTGGAACCCGGCAATGCCAGATATTCCCATTTTTCAAGAGAGAGCTAAAAACAGACATAAACATGAAACACCAAAATTTTAAATCTTGGCAACTAACTCGAGAAATATTTTAAACTATGAGGGCCAAGAAAAACATGGCTGTGGGCCAGATTTGCCAGCATGCCTCTAGTTTATAAGCCCCGCTTTTCTCCTCCATAAATATGGAAACAGACACCCAGAGAAGTGAGGCCACTTGCTGATGGGGCCTTGCTGACAGTAGTTGGGAAGCGGGCCCAGGATGGCCTGTCCATCACCCCAGGCTGCATCAGCACCCAGAGGGCCCACGAGTTGGTTTAAGAGTGATTTCTTCTTTGGGATCTAGTCTGGGCTTTTTTCATGTCTCCTCTGTGGCTTCATCAGAAAAGGGTACAGTGGGGCACGTGGGTGGCTCAATCAGTTTAGCATCTGACTCTTGGTTTCGGCTCAGGCCATGATCTCAGGGTCATGAGATCCACCCCCACCCTCTTTCTGGCCCCACACTCATGGGGGAGTGTGCTGAAGATTCTCTCTCCCTCTCCTTCTGCCTCTGCCCCTCCTACTCAGGTGCCCTCTCTCTCTCTTTCTCTCTCTCTCAAATAAATAAATAAATCTAAAAAAAAAAAAAAAAAAAGAAAAAGAATAAAACCAGCCCAGAGGAAAGCAGAGCCCAGAGACAAAGAGATGACATCATCTGAGCCCATGGATACAGCTGTGTTTGGGTTTTAGGTCTAGAAATTCCTTTTTTAGCTTAAGCCAGCTGAAGTTGGAGGTCCGTCATTTGCAACTGAAAGAACTGTGACAGAAACCAGTAAAAGGGGTTGGAGAATGAAATGTCTGTGTCTTACCTTCCTGCTGTTTTCTGTGAGCCACTGGATTCTCTGCTGATAGAGTTCCACAGCCCTGTGAAAACACCACAACCGCTCATCAGCCAAGGTCAGCTTCATCACTGAGCAACAGTCACTGACATGCATGGGAGGAAGGTGTGGATGGGACTTGGGGGTAATGTCTTGCTCTTCTCAAATCCGTGTCTCCTTAGAGCCTTCCGAGTTACCTGGAGATGATTATAAGTGTCCGTGGGGGAAGTTCAGCACCAGGTTCTCAGGGGACTGAGTAACCAAAAAAAAAAAACCCTCAGTTTCCAAAATGTGGTTACAGGAACGTGTTTAACTTGCGTTATTGCAAACCATCCCAACGACTAGATGGAAGACAGCATGTAACAGGTGCTCAAGTTCAGGACTCATCTCTTGAATTCAACTGACTTGCCCTCATTGAGGGCAGGTGGGATTGGGAGCCTATACAAAAGGGCAAGCAAGACCTTTGGACGTGAAATCAGGGGGCAGTGGGTGGTGGGTAGAGTTTTAAGGTATACATGAGTATGAATAGAGCTGAGAGTATGAGCTTCATAATGGGGCATGCTGGTCTTTGAGATCCAGCTCTCCCATTTATTAGCTGTGTAACCTTTGACAGGTGTGGTAACCTCTCTGAACTTCTAACATGAAGATAATACCAGGGCTCTACCCGAGTCAATTGGCCAAAAGGCAGTTTGCTGAAAGCCAGTTCCCTGAAAATCAATTTGAATTAACGGAATAGACTTGAACATTCCTTAACATGCTTGATTCATAATTAAAACCAATCAACCAAAATATTGCAAAATTCTTTAAGAACCTGTTTAAACCTTCATACCCAATAAAAATTGCTATAAAAGTTACAGTTAAGGGGTGCCTGGGTAGCTCAGTCGGTTAAGCATCTGCCTTAACTGGCTCAGGTCATGATCCCAGGGTCCTGGGATGGAGACCCTCATGGGGCTCCCTGCTCAGCGGGGAGGCTGCTTCCTCTCACTCTCCCTCTGTGCTCTCTCTCTCAAATAAATAAATAAAATCTTTAAAAAGAAGTTACAGTTAAAATGTTTGATAAATCTGGCAAATCGGTCAGTTATCCATTGAACTCTGGAAATTCAGCTTGAGAGTGATATTATATTTCCAGTTGCTGTGAGGATTAAACAAGATAATGCATGCAGGCCTTAGTAGAATTCCTGACACATTAATAAATGACACATATTATTATTAGAGCCTTTTAAGAAACCTCAGACAAACAGTGATCCTGGGTAAGAGATTGCTACATCGGGGATGGAATGTGTATATAGGCTCAGAAAATCTGGGCTGGGAGAAGACAGCCTTGTATATTTTTCACATACATTTGCAAAATTTGTCATTGAAACTGGTCACTTAACTATTACACCTCAGATGAAGGTATGAGGTTTTATGTGCTCACCCAAAGGGCCCACGGATTTTAAAAGGCTGAGAAAAACCGGTATGGTCCAATGTCTTCATTTGAGGAAAGAGGCCATTAGGACCAGAGGTGGGAGGGACCTGCCCAAGAACCCAGAGATCGTTGCCGGAAAAAAGTTATTTTTTAAAAGATTTTATTATTTATTTATTTGAGAGAGAGAGAGAGAGAGTCGGAGGAGGGGCACAGAGGGAAAAGGAGAGAGAGAGAATCTCAAGCAGACTCCATGGATGCGGGGCTCAATCTCATGACCTTGAGATGTGACCTTGATCTCGTGTGGCCTTGAGATCACAACCAGAGCCGAGATCAAGAATTGGTTGCTTATGGCCTGAGTCCCTCATGGGCCCCTGAACAAAGTTACTTTCAGGCTGCTGAAATGAGAAAATTCTCGAGCTCTCATACTTACTCAGAAAGCTTGGATTCGAACTGGTGGAGGATCTGGGTAGAGAAGTGCACTTTCCTCGTGATATTGCTGCCCTCCTCCCTGAAGAAGCAAAGTCTTAAGAAGGGGGTCTCTGGGGCCTGGGAGCAGGGTGTTGCCAGGCTTGGGGGTGAAGGGAATGGTGGCAGACTCACAGCACGGCGGTGCCCTGGCTAAGCAGGTCAGCCAAGGTGAGCCTCTCAAACTGTAAACTGCGCGTTGAAAGCCAGTCTTCCGAGTCCTCCCCAGCCGAGGGTTGGGTCTCGTCTCCCTGCAGCCTCTATGAGACAGAGCCAGAGTCAAACACAAAAGTGGGGAAAGAGAGGGCAAGTCTGAGGATGCCCTTGGTCCCCTCCACACAGATATCCGTGGGCTGCCAACTCCAACAGGTCCTTCCTGAACACAGTCTGTTCAAGAACTCACCTGGCTAAGGGAACTGGGGAATGGGGAGGCCTGTGTCCTGGGCCAATTGCTCTGGAAATACCCATTCTCATCCCTCACCTCATCTCCAGTGTGCGGCTGGACAATTCAAGGGTCACTCACATCCTGCCTTATGGGAGACTGAATATATGGTGGCCAGACCATAGAGGACAATAGGACTCCAACCCATGGCCTTGATAGCAACCAGTCCATGAAATCAAACCATAACTGTAGCAACTGGCCCAGGATGGCCCAGACTTGGACAAGGACTGCCAGTTTTCCTATTTTTCATCCCACATCCAGCTCAGGACCCACCAGAGAAAGCTAAATATGCCCTCAAAACCCATCTAGGAGACCCCTAGGAGAAGTCAGTTAGACCCCCTCCAGCTTCCTCCTGCCAACACTGCCCTTCTGGGCACACCTGAAGCTTTCCCCCCCCTTTTTTTTTTTTTTTTAAAGATTTTATTTATTTATTTATTTGTCAGAGAGAGAGAGAGAGAAAGAGCACGCACAAGCAGGCAGAAAGGAGGAGAAGCAGGCTCCCTGCTGAGCAAGGAGCCCGATGCAGGACTTGATTCCAGAACCCTGGGATCATGACCTGAGCTGAAGACGGTGGCTTAACTGACTGAGCCACCCAGGCATCCCATTCCCCCTTCTCACTATAAAATTTTCCTGATCCCTGCCTTTGAGTCTCTTCACTTCACACAAGTGAAGGTGGCTGACTCCCTTGCTGGTGCAGATGCGCAATAAATTGCCTGTGTTCTCATTTGGGAGCTCTTTATTTCCACACTTCCATTTTCTGTATCTTGCTATGAGTTCTGCCTTGCTATCAGTCTGGTGGGTCCTTGACAAACATTTGTTGGCTGATGGAGGTGGGAATGGGTTCATCCTGTCTAGTCCAGAGACCAGAAACAGGAGCAGCAGGTAAAATATTTTAAATATGGAATTTCCTTGCCATCACAGGAGTCTGGCCAGGAAAAGGACTGTGCCCCCCTTGCTTATACCAGGTGACATCTGTGTCACTTACACAGTACCAAGCTCCAAATTTGGGAGGTGGACTTGGTGGTGGAGCTGAAGTCATTCATGACAAGCATTCAACATTGGGGTTGCTTTCTGGGAGCCAGAAGGTAAGGAAAGCTGACTGGAGGCTCTGAGCCCACTTGGCCCTGATCACCTCTCCTGAAGGCTGGCATTTCTTCCTCCCCACAGGGGGTGTTTCTGAGCCCTTCTATGAAGCAAGTGCTATCATTGGTGCTAGGTCTACACTGTGAACAAGATAGAAATGTTCTTGCCTTCTTGGACCTTACATTCTAGTGTGGGCAGGTCAAGAGTAGAGAATAAATGAAACCAGTGTGTATAATTTCAGAAAGGAACAGTTCCAGGAAGAACATGGAGCAGGGAAATGTGACAGAGAGGGAGTAGGGTGGAGATGGGGAGGCCACTTCCTCAGGGTGGAGGGGAGGGGGTTTGGTCAGAGAAGGCTGCTGTGAGCTGAGATCTAGAGGTGAAGAAGCCGGCCCTGTGCATAGCTAGGGAATGCTCATTCCAGGCAGAGGCATGGAGCAGGGAAGGGGTCACAGTGTTTGTAAAGCAGAAAGGTGGTCACGGAGGTTGGAGTGTGGGATGTGACATGAGAAGGGGCTGGGAAGGGGTGCAAGGCCTGGTTTGGACGGGGCTTCCAGCACAATCCCTGTGCGATATACCTGTAATGTATATGTTGCCAGAATTGGCCGTGACTCCCTCTGGGTGTGGTAGGGCATCATGAGGGAGGCCAGCTGATGGGAAATGCCCCGACAGCACCATCTGATGGCTGGGGAATGGACCTGTCCACCATTTAACCTACCAGGACCTCCATCTCTATTAGAGATGACTGTGCCATTCCCGGGTGCCTGCTTGAACCCAGGCAGGGACTCCTTGGGCTTGTATCTGTCGGGGCTCTCATGGTAGTGGAGCAGTGGACAAGGAATTGAAAACCCTGCAGGTAGCTGATTGCGCTCCTCTAGGCAGGGTAGAGGACACAGGAAGAAGAAAATTCCAGAGAAGAGCAGGAGAGAAGAAAGGAGCACTGTAGGTGGGGTTCTCCACTTGCTTTGTGATGCTGGGCCGGTCAGTGGGGCTCTTTTTTCATCCGTAGAACAGGCATGTAAAGCTATAGCAAAACAGAGCCTTGAGTGTTGCTGCGCTAACAGATCCCAGCACTGATCCGCATCTCCCCCTCAATGAACATGAAATGCTGCTATTACAGTCCAGCCAGATACTACTGTATGCCCTCGGTTCTGTGCCTGAGGCCTGCTCACTGCCCTGTTCCAAAAGGAGATAGCAAGCCCTAAAGAAGTATGAACAATACTGACAGCAAACACGTAAACAGAATCTATTATGTGTCAAGCACTGTCCGTATATTAACTCATTTAGTTCTACAAAGTCGGTTCCATCATTACCCCATTTTACTGACAAGGAAACTAAGGCACAGAGACTTTAAGTCATTTCCCCAAAGTCATGCAGCTGGTAAGTGGTATGGCTGGGATTCAAACCCAAGCTACATAGCTCACATGAGCACCAAACTATGACTATCTTCCCCAAGGACTGAGGGGGAACTGACTAAAAAGATAACTTTCTCATAGGATCTTATGCTAATTAATTCCTGCCCTTAAACAGCACCTCCTAAAATTCATGGTCCCCATCTCGCACTTAGGGAAACGGTGCTTTCTATCATACGAACACTAGAGGTCACTCTCCTCATCTTTCAGGATTTAACAGACTCCCTGGTTGATAATTCTGTGCCCTGTAGACTGATAATTCATCTTTCTTCCATTTTACTTGTATTTCCAATGATCCATTGTGTTTCAGTACAATGGATAGACAGTGTACATTTTTTAAGATTATTTATTTATTTATTTATTTGACAGAGAGAGATCACAAGTAGGCAGAGAGGTAGGCAGAGAGTGAGAGAGAGGGAAGCAGGCTCCCCGCTGAGCAGAGAGCCCGATGCAGGACTCGATCCCAGGACCCCGAGATCATGACCCGAGCCGAAGGCAGCGGCTTAACTACTGAGCCACCCAGGCACCCTAGACAGTGTACATTTTGACTGTAGGGCACACTGGTTACATACTAAGGTATGTGCTCTACATAGAGAGGAGGAAGATCTCTGTGTTAGAACAATCCTTTCTCTCTTTCCCACTGCTATTCATTTCTGAGGTAAAGGAGGTCCCAGCTGTGGCTGGTAAGGGTACGAGGGGTCCTTGTCCACCTGGGAACTCACCTACTTGATAGGAAATTACATGAAGTGAAGACTCAAATTATCAACAACCGAAGTCATTGAAACAATCCCCCAGACTCTCAAGACTATTGACATTTCCTCATTTTTCTTTTAATTAAAGTAATTTAATTAAAATTATTTTCCTAAAGTATTTCCCAAAATACTTTCCAAGTATTAGCGCGAGTACTTGAGGAAAGTCCAACAGGACCATTTTCCTGATTGTTTGATTGCCGGCATTAAAACTGTATTGTTTTTGACAGATTGTCATCTCAAAGACATCATCTTTAAACTCTCATGTAGATGAGGTAGGTGATTTTAGGCCAGACCTGCACCTAACTACTCCTGATGACAGTAGTTTCTATGATACAATGAATTCTGTGGTCTAGACCACTCACCCACTGTCTGGTTCACGGACACACTAAAGGCAGCCTAAAACCACAGTTCTGGTTATTCTTCGAAGTTAATTCTCTTGCCACAATGCTCTTGCTCTGATAGCACTTCCTGAAACTGATTTTTGGATCTAGGTTTTAGGGAATCCTAAAAGAAAGACAAATCTCAGAAAGGGGAATTTTAGAATTACATTCCCTAGTCTTCAGGCTTTGATAACAGAGTCTTCATATACTCCTGAATGTTTCCTGATATGGCCAAGAAGGCTATAAGATTTCTATAAACAGCATAGAGATTACTATCATTTTGAAAGGCAAAGGATTAGAGATGAATGCTTAACTAATAGTTTTCTATCCCAAGATCCTACATGAAGAAAGAAACACCCAGAGTGGGGTGCCTGGGTGGCTCAGTCCCTTAAGTGTCTGACTTTGGCTCCGGTCATGATTTCAGGGTCCTGGGACAGAGCCTTGTGCCTGGATCCCTGTTCAATGGGAAATCTGCTTCTCAATCTGCTCTTCCCCACTGTCCCCTCTCTCTCTCTCACACACACTCTCTCTCATAAATGAATTTTTTAAAAAGAAAGTAAAAGAAACACCCCAAGTTTAACACATTCCACATTCCCTGACTATGATTTGTAAGCACTGTGACTTAGTTAAAGCACTATATTGTATTTACCAGTAAGTCCTGTGTCTGGTTAACATGTGTAACCAGTAGTCCATTGTCTGGATTTTGGCCACGTCCACAAAGGTCCTTCTGGTCCAGTCGCTTCTTTGGATCTTTGTCATTGTTTCTCCTCAGGCTACAAAACACACAGTGAGTGACTGACCAGTGTCCCAGCACTAGACATTGCCTCCACATTTCTAGGGTCTCCAGAGCCATTTATTTATTTATTTGACAGAGAGAGACACAGCGAGAAAGGGAACACAAGCAGGGGGGAGTAGGAGAGGGAGAAGCAGGCTTCCCGCTGAGCAGGAAGTTAGATGCTGGGCTTGATCCCAGGACCCCGGGATTATGACCTGAGCCCAAGGCAGCCACTTAAGGACTAGGCCACTCAGGCATCCCTCCAGAGCCATTTTTATTTCTGTATGATAGCTGAAAAGGGTTCCTGTAGATTCCTGATAAAAGGTGAACTCCAGGTTCTTAAGACATTTTATTCTATCATTCTTGTAGTGAGAAAACGGAAGTCCTTGGGCATGAGCTGATGCCACGACCATTTATCCAGTCTTGCTTCGAGGCAGGTATTTCCCCCCTCAACAACCTGCAACAAAATGTTGGTGTTGTCTTCATTTGAAAAATCAGAGAGGATGCTTACCAGTGATCTTCCAGAAACGTATTATCTTGACCATGGAAGACAGGACTAGTATGTGTAGCCATTATTAAAACACCCAAAGCTTATTTCCTAGGGAGAAAAGGAACACCAGAGAAGAGAAAGATAAATGCAGCACAGAGACACCAGCTTTGGGGGGTATCTACAGTCAACTCAACTCTTCTGTCATTCATTCATTCATTCATTCATTCACTAATGCTTATCAATTATGCCAGGTGGTGAGGATATGATGGTGAACAAGGGAAGAGAGGCTTCTCAACTTTAGCATTTTTGACGTTTTGGACAGGGTCATTCTTGGTTGGGAGGCTGTCTTCTGCATTGTGGGATCCCTGGCCTCCACCCCCTAGATGCCAGTGGCTTTCCTGCCTCCCAAGTCGTAACAACCAAAAATGTCTCTAGACATGGCCTAAAGTCTCCTGGGGGCCACCGTCGTCCCCAGTTGAGAATCACTGAGGTAGACCTCACAGTCTAGAAGGGGAAGACAGATGTTAAAAAATTAAATTTAGTATCTATAGAAATTGTGTAAGTGCTAGGAAGGACGTGAACAGGATGACATGCTGGAGAATAATCAGGAAAGGGATCTGTTTTGCATAGCTAAGGTGGTCAGCTGCAGGCTTGACCTTGAGCTTTGACCCTCACGAAGGTCAGAAAGGAGGTAGCTGTGTTAAGAGTATGGTGAGTGTTGGGCTGCTCGGAGAGGGCCAGGAGTGATCATAAGGATTTTAAGAAGGGGGAGAAGAGGGGAAAATACTGAAAGGAGGTTGAATTCTTTTCTCTGTGAATGACATCTGCCCTCAAAGGGGCTCTACCTTGCAGCCTAGACCTCACAGCTGAGAGTCAGCGGTGGACAGGAACAAGATGCCTCCATCAGATCCTCTCTGGGAATTCGGAATTAAGAGCTATGTGGCCACAGCATACATTCAGAAGTGGGGGAAAGCTTGTCTTCAGATAAAGGGGAGTGAGTGATCCTTCCCTGCCTTGGGTCCCCTGGAGCCATTCTCTCTGACCTTCTTCTTGCCTCTCTGCTGGCTCCTTCCTCTCCTCTACTGAGCATTTTAATTTGGTACTCCTCAAGGCTAAATTATGTCATCTCTACCCTTCTCTATCTTCTTTTCCTAGGCACTCTTATCTTTCCCTGTCCCTGGCCTCAACTGTCATATGCACACATTGATGACCTCCAATGGCATATCAAAAATCCAGACCTCCCACTTGATGGCAGACCGTGTTCATCAACACTGGATATTTCCATCTGGAGTACCTCAAACTCAGTATGTCCAAGACTGAATTCATATTCCTTACAGACCTATCCTCTTTTCAGTGTTTTCTAGCTTAGAGAAAACAGGCAGTTTCCATCTACTTGTATGAGTCAGAAACCTAGGAATTGGGTGCCTGGGTGGCTCAGTGGGTTGAAGCCTCTGCCTTTGGCTCGGGTCATGGTCCCAGGGTCCTGGGATCGAGTCCCACGTCGGGCTCTCTGCTCTGCGGGGAGCCTGCTTCCTCCCCTCTCTCTGCCTGCTTCTCTGCCTACTGGTGATCTCTGTCTGTCAAATAAATAAAATCTTAAAAAAAAAAAAAAAGAAACCTAGGAATTATTCCAGATACGTTATTCCTATATCTAATCCATCACCTAATCTTGTTAATTTTCCCACTCTCCAACCTGTCCACATATCTGTCTCCAGTGACATTCTCTGTCCAGGGCACAGTCATCTCTGCCATAGACGACTGCAGCGGACCCTAACTCCCCACATTCCCCAAATTCCTTCAGACCCTTCAAATCCAGTCTGTTCTCACTGAAGCCAGAGTGATCTTTTAAAAATACAAACCCAACGTCACACCTCCTCTTCTCCCTCCTGCTTCAAACTATTCAAAGGCTTCCTTTCATTTCTAGGATGAAGACTAAGATCCCTATGATGGCATTTGAGGTCTTGCACGATTTGGGTGCTGCCCACCCACTTCTTCAGCTTTCCCTCTTTTCCCCAGCTCCCCCATTCTGTGTTCCATGACCCCTCCCTTCAATTCCTGGAATGGTAAACATTTCCTTTAACCACAGGGCCTTTTCACATGCTGTCTTTGCTCTGGAACATCCTCTCCCCCTCTCCCAACTTATTCTTGATAATTCAGCCTAAATGTCATTTTCGCTGGGGACTCTTCTTCACCCTCTCACCGTATTTCAGGTTCCTTTAGTGTTATGTAAACTCTCACAGAACTTGAGGATACTTCAGGATACTTTTAACTTAGAATGATACATTCTTTAGTGTGATTTTTAAAAATTGTCTCTCTCCCATTAGATCGTAAGTCACAAGACAGCAGGAACTGGCAGGCGATACACACTTCGGGGATGGGAGGTTGAGAAACTGCCCTGGTTCTTGAATATCTAAATGCTGGCCCCAGGCACTTGTGAGAACTGCCTTTACTTTCTGCTCTTGGGTGCCATGAAAAACCCTGTTCCTTATAACTCCCCATCTTTCTGCTTAAGCTAGCTCATTTAGTTTTCTGTTACTTGCAACCACAAAAATATTGGCTAAGACACAGCAAGTGAGAAACTCAGGAGTTGCAGCTTGAAAAATAAGTGTGTGTGTTCATATGAAATCATTAAATAAAATAGTCTAATGATGGTACAGCAACTTGATTTTCTCTCTGGGGTCTTTAATCTTTTACTCAGAGGATGCTTTGTTTTTGGGGCAGCACCAAGATAATGTAGCAATGTTGTTAATGTTAGAAAAAAATGTTTAAAAAACAACTGGCTTTCCCTCAGGAAACTTGGCTGAGAGACCAGTGGCAGAGACTGTTGAAATAGAAATGCCTCGTGAGCACTGGACACCCCACAGTGTCCCAGTTCTCTTTTTTCGGTGAGTGATTAACAATCTAATGAATTCAGACGCCTGCACGACTGGGTTCTAGGGTGACTGGTGTGGCTGATGGAGGAGGAGGGTGCGGTCGGCATAAAATTCATGACATAATATAGTGTTCTAGAAAGCAACAGACCTTGGGTTTCTTCTTCTGCAGAACGGAATGGGGTTCCTGGTAACTGCCCTGCCTGCTTCAACACAGTGGTCAAGAGACCAAAAGCCAACACTGAGAACGTCAAAGAGCTTTGTAAATATAGAGTACTATAGAAATGCAGAATAGCGTTAGAACAATGTGCTGCTTCTTCAAGGGCTTCAGCATAGGACATGTAAGCCATCACTTATCCCGTGGACATTTTTAGGGTATTTGCTGGGTCCCAGAAAGAGCTGGTACTGGGGAGGCAGAGAGGAACTGGACACAGCCCTTACCCTCCGGTCTTTGCTCAAATGAAACCTCACTAGAGAGGGCTTCATTGATTACCCCATCTCAAACAGTATCCACTCTACTGTTTTCTCCAGAACATGTTTTGTTTTAACATCTGAAGTCCTACGTTTGCTTATTACCTTTCTCTCCCATCTGTCAACCCACTAAGAGTAAGAGATCCTTGATGGCAGGGACTTAGTTCTGGTCCCTGCTAGAAGTCTTTTGTATACTCAGCGCCCAGAACATAGTAGCTACTCAAAAAACGTTTGTTGAATAAGTGCACTCAGGGCAGGTCTCTAGGGTTTAGACAAAGGTGGGCCATGCTGCCCTGGGGGATGGGGCTCGGTGGGAAAGAGAATATGTAGGCTGGCCCCTAAAAGATGGCATCACGGGCAAAGGGAAAGAGGTAGTAGCCCTGGTTAGTGGATTAGAGAAAACCTCCAGCTAACTTCCTGCTTTGTTACTAGCTGGGTTCTCCTAAACATCTGGGACAAAGCTCCCCCCCGTCCCCCCACCGGGTTTGTATTTTGAATGGCCAGACGATCTAAGTCTTGCCCCATCCGGTCCACTTTACGTTCTGCTGCCAGGATGATTTTTCCGAGACGCAGAGTTGTCCACCTGTTTAGAACCTACTGGGGCTCCTCACTGCCAGCGATCATCAAGCTGAACCTTCCTTGCAATGTTTACTCTTCTTTTAGGACCCGTTCCTTGCTGACTCCTCCCCCTTACCGCCTACCCTTCTATGGGCCCTGGCAACCTCTACTTCCATGCACCTTACTATTTCATACCCTTCTTTGTTGAAGTTGGACCCACCTCTAAAAACACCCTTAGCCCTACAAAAAGCCAGCAAGTCCTTCCTGAGCCCCATTTTCTGCCCTCCAACCCCGAGGAAGGAAATCATTCCCTCCTATTGCTGCCCTGGGGTGCCTTGTATGAAGAGGTCATGGTCCTTCTCCCCAGCAGTCCCACTACTTCTTTGTCTGTGGTTGCACCCCCAACACGCAGCCCAGCGCCTGGCATGTAGGGAGCAGAGGCCCATGGGCCCAGGCTCCCTAAACCTCTTTCCAGGGCTCAGCGTCCGGGTGTGCCCCACCCCGTCTCTGCCGCCTCTGTGAAACTCACCCTCACCTGCATTTCTCCATTTATTTCTCCATCTTTGGGAGAGGGGACCCTGGTCATCCCAGGACTCTGCTTTTCCTGGTTCCCACCTCCTCTATGCTCCTCCAAGCAACTCAGCGGTGGAGCTCGCCCTGCCAGGAAGTGTTAGCTGGTCTCCAAGGTAACAGACCGCACCACTGCAGCCTGAAGCAGGGACAGGGGAAAACTCCCTCACCCCAGGGAAGACATTACCACTTCCTTGTTAACAGCCTTTCCCCAGGCACTTTGCTTTTCTCCACCCCAACAGAAGCTTGGAAGCAGGATTTGGACTTCTATTTCTAGACTCTCTGGGTCAGCAGAAAATGATGGTTTGGACCAGTAGAGTCCTGGTATGTGCTGCCTTGCCAGGGTGGGAACTGAGACAGGTAGCAGAGAACCTGTGCCGTGCCAGGCGGGAAAGCTGGTAACTGTCAACTTTTTCTCAGATTCCCTGGGGCCCCCCCAAACACACACCCTGAAAGAGGTTTGGCATTCCCTCACCTCCACCAGGTCCAGGCCCACCCAAACCTGGCCAATACAGCAGCGGCCTCAGTGACCTCTTAGCCTCAGAAGAGATCATCTACTGCTGTGGTTCCCAAACCCAGGTGCCCATCAGAATCATCTGGGTTGTTTGCTAGGGAAACATCCATAACATTCCCATTTGGGAGACAGATATAGAACTGTGGTGGAGTGTGGGAACATGAATCTTTAACAATGGTCCCAGGTGATTATGATGTAACCAGCCCCTCGCCCATAGCTGGGGGACCTTCTTCAATGCCTTCTTTTATGGAAGTCAAGAGATGAAGTGATGTACCCCATGTCAACCAGCTTGCGAGGGGCTAAGGGATCTCCACTTAGTTTATCTAGGTAATTTCTCAAATGACTGTCTTCACTTTCTGAACCTATAATTTAATCATTTATAACATGTGCTCCTTGCAGTAATCATCACATGGTGGAGAACCTCTTCCAATGTTGACACTAGCAGGGCTCCTAAAGGCCAGATCAGAAATAACAAAACCCTTCCCAATAGAAACTGCTTACCTACCACCCGTCACTGTGGGCAGTTGTCATGGGTTGAGGGTAGTGTGGCGTGTGGGAGGGCGTTTCGTCAAAACCAACAAGGCAGGAGAGGAGGCAGATCAGAGAGAGGTAAGGAAGTCAGAAAAGGGGAGAGTTACAAGAGGCTGAGAGCAACCAACCAATAGCCACTCTGTGAACAAAGGGTGAGGGTCCTTGTGCCCACCGTAGTGGAAATCCTCTGTGGAAGTGGCTGACTAGCTTTGAGACACCATTTTGGAAGACAGGAGGGCCCAAGACGGGTAGTTTTATACTTGTACAGTTTCCTTGGCTCCTGGATACATAGGTCTCAACATTTTATAAGAAGTAAAACCCAACATTGAAAAGTCATTGTGATTGCTTTTTTCTACTTAAGCTTACATGATACATGTATTCTGGATGTAGTTGTGTCGGAGGGATAAAGTGGAGTAAGATTTTCAGCCTGTATGACCAGGCAAGAGGAAAGCTGTGTGTGGGTACCTTCTTTCTGAGCTCTCCTCAGATGGTTTGTAGCTCATTTGGGCCCCATGTAAGGAATTAGAGCACAATAGGAATTTGGGTTTCTTACCTTAGTGTCTTGGAAACTGATCAGGGTGAATCCACCTCTGGTCTTTATATAGGAGCTGTAGCCTGGTCCCATTGCCCAAGATATACTGAGTGTTGATTTCCTAATTCTCCCATTAATTCTATTTTTGCTTCACACATTTTGAAGTTCCAAATTACGGAATACACACTTAGATTTGTTGTATCTTTCTCCTTAAACGACCATTTGCTAATGGTCTGAATGTTTGTGTGTCCCCACCCCTACCCCTCACCCCCTGAAAATTCATATGTTGGAAACTTAGCCCCTAGAGTGATGGCATTAGAAGGTGGGGCCTCTAGGAAGCACTTAGGTGATGAGGGAGAGCCCTCAAGAACGGGATTAGTGTTCTCATAAAAGAGGACAGAGCCCCTAGCTCCTTCTGCCCTCTGAGAATACAAGAAGTCTGCAACTCAGAAGAGGACCCTTACCAGACCACGCTGGCACCCTGATCTTGGATTTCCAGCCTCCAGAACTGTGAGAAATAAATTTTTTTAAAGCGATGTTGCAATGAACACTGTTTTACATCTTTGTGCACTGTGAGATTTTTATTTCTGAAAGATAAAGACACAAAAAGTAAAATGTATGAATCTAGGGGCTTTATTTTCAAAAGTATACGCCCTAAAAACAAAGTTTCAAAGCTATAGACCCTAAAAACAAAGTTTTTTCTTCAGTTCACAGCAAGTTCCTAAGTACCTTGTTGATTTTTTTCAAATCTGGGGAGAAAATGAATTCCAAAGCTCTCTTAACTTGTTGATAGATACTGTAGTGTTGTGCCATATTTAGTTTATAATCCTCCTGCGCTGGAATAAGCAGATAGGGGTGACTTTGATGATTTTTGTCTTCAGCACTTAAAACTCCTTTTGGTTTCTTTTCTTTTTTTTTTTTTAACTGAGATATGACACATTAACATTAGATTAGTTTCATGTGTATACTGTAATTCAATAGATGTATATATTGCAAAAATGATACTACAGTAAGTCTAGTTAACACCTAATTAGGCTTGTGTTTCAGAAGCCACCTTATACTGTGGTATTTTGCGATAGCAGCTCGAACAGACTAAGACAGTATTGTTGTGCAACATTTTTTTTTTAAGATATTAACTTGTATTTTGCTTTATTTTCCCCATTTCAAGCCAGTAGCAGGTGCTTTTTATTAGGTTAAGAAGTAGCCTGAAGTCTATGTTTCTTTATTTTTCATAAAAGCCCACGCTAACTGAGAGATTAAAGTGACGTGCCAAAGCATGGGAGGTGAAGGATGTGTTTAATGTCAAGAGAAGCTTGAGTGTGTCAAGATTCTTTCAGGTCAAAGAGACAAACCCAACTCAAACTGGCTTAAGGAAAAGAGGGAATTTATCTGCTCAAACAACAGAAAAATCAAAGGATTTTCTGGTTTTGTACATGGCTTGATCCAAAGGCTAATACGATGTTAATAGAAATCTGTCTCCATTTTCCAGCTCCTTTCTTCTGTGATGGCCTTATTCTTAAGCAGGCTCTTCATGAGTGCTTGGCAAACTTGGACACCAGCAGCACTCAGCGCTCCTGCCCTCCAACTTAGCAACCCTAAAAGAAGAGCACCTCTTTCCCAAGGACCTCCAGGCAAGGCCCAGGCTTGGCTTGGTCATGTGACCCACTCATTTCTGAAACAGTCACTGTGGCTCTGATTGGCCAGACCTGGCTTCTGTGTCCGGTCTTGCACACCAGAGGATGCAATCAGCCCCTTGAAAAAAGCTGGATTGTTTTGGTTTGAACCAAAGAAGGGGACATGGGTACTAGGCAAATGTGCATCTGAGGGAAGCCAAAAGTGAAGAAGAAAGAGACAGAGGTCAAGAAATCAGTTTTTTGAAAATCAGAAGGGGTAGGGGCTGGCTCAGTGTTTGGTGGCAGCACTTTGAGATGGTAAGATCTAAGAGGAAATGTGTCCTTAGTCCAGGGAGAAAGTCTTCCCAGCTCACCAAACTTCACCATGCCCCGAAGGTAGGATGGACACAGAACTCCTACACCATTCAGCCTCGAATATTAGAACTCTCAGCAGTAGTAAGTGTGGACAGATGACAAATGACTGGAGGCGGCTTTCTAATATTTGAACCATGGTCCTCTGCACAATCCTAGGGTAACCCAATAACCAGTAGATTTCCTATTAACAGGGTAGAAGGGATCTAGTTAATTGTTTTTTTAAGTGCTACAGAGGGGACAAGATCTAGGGATTCCCAAAAGTGTCCCAGTAAAATCAAAGGGTGACATCATCTAGTTCACCAATCAGTGAAGTTACCACTTAGCAGGACTGCAGAAAGCTTGACAGTGAGAGGGGAATGATGGAAGACTGAACACAAACAGCTTAATAACTTACATACTTTTCTCCCCAACAAATTATATAGTATTTATAGGTTGTTTCTAAGTAGGACTACCTTTTATGGTTGCTTGCATTCCACATGCAGAAGAAGCAAATCATAGATTCAGCTGCTCATGTCTGAGCCAAGAAATCATGCAACTGGGACAAGCTATTTTTATTTCCTTCACACTAGCCAGGACAGAAGTGGTTCTTGATTCTGAAGTCAGAGAACCTAGGTTTGAAACCCAGATTCAACATTATTAGTTACTGAACCTTGGGTAAATCATTCCCCTTTTGATGCATGGTTTTCTGGTCTACAAAATACCACTTCCACTTCACCTCAGGAGGAGGGTTAAGATGACATATGGAAAAACACATAACCTGAATTTAATATTAGTTTCCTTCTCCAAACTCATATTGAGTGCCATTCTTTCTTTTTTTTTTTTTTAAGATTTTATTTATTTATTTGACAGACAGAGATCACAAGTAGGCAGAGAGGCAGGCAGAGAGAGAGGAGGAAGCAGCTGAGCAGAGAGCCCTATGCGGGGCTCGATCCCAGGACCCTGAGATCATGACCTGAGCCGAAGGCAGAGGCTTAACCCACTGAGCCACCCAGGCGCCCTGAGTGCCACTATTTCTTAATCACAATATTTAAAAATACATGTACTGACTTTCATGGGGTAGTTGATATACTTCAGTTAGAATGTCATGTTATCATGGTCTGTGGAAAGTTCCTGTTATCTAAGGCCTAAGTTCAAGCAGCATTATTTGTAATAGCAAAGACGACTACCTAAATGAAATCAACAAGGGAGGAGGACACACATACACACACACATACTATACAGCCACTAAAAATGCAGATTTATATTTAGTGACACAGAAAGATACCCATCATAAGTAAAAAAGAAAGTGGTGGGAGGCATGTATAATATGATCTTGCTTTTGTTAAAACTGAACAGGACATAGCTATCATACACACACACACACACACACACACACACACACACACACCATGCATCTATCTATCTATATACATATAGGACAGAGAGTATATGCATCTATATATATAGTAAATACAGCAAAATATCTGCAAGAAACCTAATAAACTGTTAATAGTGGTAATTTCTGAAAGGTAGATGGGGGGAGACTTTTAATTTCCTATACTCATTATTTTTTAACTTTACAGACATGTTACTGTAAAAAAACAAAAAAAAATCCCTTTGCCCCAGTTTAGGGTTATGGTAACTTCCTTCTCCACAACAGCACTTGGGACAAGAAAAAGTTACTGATGACCCCAAAACAGCAAAAATGAGGTAAAGTGGGGGTGACACCACAGTAGGAGTCCACTACTCACTAACGACATCAGTAAGATATGAGGTACTTAAAAGCTTTCTTAGATCCGTGGATTATCTTTCCTCTAGAGCAATTTATTATGCATAATGGAGAGGATTTTCTTTGGTTCTCCAACTGCATTTACATTTTGCCACAGAGAACAAAGCAATATAAAAGAATGAGTTGTTTTTTAAATTTATTTAAGAAAATATGTCAATTGTCTAAGACAACCAAATTAAATATTTAAATAAGAAAAGAGTGCCAGAGTGAGGACTCAGCATTTATTTTACTGACTGGCTCTGACAGATAATAGGGATTGATGTAATAGTGACCAAATACAATGGCAAGATTTACTAAAGGGCCATAACATGGCCGGATGGGGATAACTGCATCTAAAATGAGATCAAATCCTTGAATCTATTCCTTTTAGCAGAAATAATTAAAACCATGTTGGCAGAACCGAGTCTTTGCAAAACATACCAAATATGGCTTCAAGATAGCTGAGAACCCGAAAGCTTGAAGAAGCCTCCAGAGAGTTCTCTCAGGATCGACAGGGTGCTTGCATCATCCTGGTCCTCTTTGGGTTGGTATCGACAGTGGAGCACTATGAACTCGGTAGGAAAGGGTCTTCAGTCCACAAAGGGTCTTGAGTAGTAAAGGTCCTAGGTCTTGAATCCTAAGGAGGTCAATGACACTGGCATATTATACAGTCAAATACTTGCCAATAAAATAACCACATTGACTTGCAAGGGCTGATTTAGGAAAGCCTCTGCTTTCAGAAAGATTTTCACTGAAACAGTCCTGGCAGATAGATGGCTAGGTCCCTCAAATACAGTTCCACAGTTTTCCTTTATAACCTAGGCCAAATTTAATTATGATAATTCAATTCACATGTAAAGCAATGTGCCAGGTCTCTAAGGGAAATGAGAAAGCCACATTCCTCACATTTAAGAGTTTATAATCTAGTGATAGGGAGATGTTTATTAGTAAGAACAGCAGCAAATAACGTTGAATGCTTACTACGAGCCATTTTCCATGCTTTCTCATTTAAACCAACAATAACCCTATGACATAGGTACTGTTAACCCCATTCTACAGGTAAAAAAAAAAACAAACAAACCCAAGGCTCACAGAGGCTAAGTGATTTATCAAGGGTCACACAGCTAGTATTTTGGAACAGAGATTTGAATCCAGGCAGTCTACTCACCTCAAATAAGTTCTATTAGAGGTATAAGCCAAAGAGAGAGCACAAAAAAATTAGCTATGTTTCAAATATGAACAGGATTAGGGAAAACTGCGAGGAGGAGGTAGTGTAGTCATGGCCAAGACAAAGAGCAGGTGTAGTGAAAGAATGGAGACTAGCTAGTTTGGCTGTGTAAGGTGAAGAGATACAATGGTGGGTAAAAAGATGGAAGAGACGGACTGAAACCAGATCAGGAAGTAAGGCTGAAGAAGTCTGCACTTCATTCTGTGGAGTGGGAATGACAGGAACTCAAAGGAATGATATGCTTTCTTTTGGGTTAAGGTAATTTTGGTAGAAATGTGGGATAGTAGTGGGGTGGGATAGATGGAGATTAGTGGAAGGAAGACTGGTTCAGATACTATGGAACACGAACAGCTAGCTGTCCTAGGTCAACTGTCCAAGGACTTTTTGTCACAGACATTTCTTCCTGTGTGGGGTGCCTGCTCTGCTGTTGTGTGACTTCGGGGAAGACAGTCTGCTCTTCTGAGGCCTTGATTTCTTCATCTGGAAAATGGAAACACTGGAAAATTTGGCTCTTTTGTATTTCATCCAGCTCTAAAATTTTCTGAGTCTCGTGAAAAATCTCTTGAAATTTAATCTTGGGTCGTCCATCTGCGGATTCAGTCCATCTGCCGAATTGTAGAAAACTTGAATATGCTTGAAAATACCATCCCATTGTTTTCTCCTCCTGGGAAAAGAACCAAAACTCTAAAAAAAAAATAATACAGCATTATGCTTTCTATCGTTGATACCATTTTTTAAATACCTACTTTTATTTTGTTGCTGGGTAACTGTGACCCAGAAGAGTTGACTTTGCATGAGAGGAACCCAGTCTTCTAGTCTTGGTGTTTTTCCTATCATCTCCTCATACAGTAGTTAGAACAGTTAGTGGAAGACTAAGTCAAATGAGGTGTCTATGGACTCATGTTATTATGGTTTTCTTGGCCCCAATGTGGGGCTTGAACTCATGACCTCGAGATCAAGAATTGTATGCTCCACCAACTGAGCCAGCCAGGCACCCTCATGTTATTGTTTTTAAAGCCAGTCTGTTTTTTTGTGTGTTAGATTTGGATAGTGAGAAGATAGGGTGATCAGCTCATCCCTTTTGCCTGGAACTTTCCCAGTTAGAACATCAAAAGTCTCATTTCCCAGGAAACCCCTCAGTCTCAGGCAAATGGGGATGACTGGCACCCTAAGAAGATAAGATGCCTTTATGATCCAGAACTCAAGAACATCCAAATCCTACTTTGTCTTTATCTTCCAACTCCCCGAGAGGTTCCTGTAAGGGCCGTTATAAAGAAGAAACAGCAGCAAAGGGTAAATGTAGTGCTTTATTAGTTATTATTCGGCTGGGCTAATCCTGAGACCGCTCAAAAAAGCTACAGTAAAGCTGTGACGGAGCACATGTATGAGTCTAAAGACTTGAGCCCTCTGTCCTCTCCTTCAACCCAAATTTTAAAATTTTGGAAGCCAAATCCTTTGGCCTGCAGTGAAGTAGAAATAGGAGACTGAAGCAAAGACGAATGGTCCTAGGTCTATGTGCGAGGGAGAAAGGCAAGACGGCTGGCTTTGAGGGCCTTGGCTCAGTGGATCTCTCTCAGTTCATAAAATCATGAGTGGAAGAGAGAGCCACATATATGTGGGCTCTTATTGCTGATTGAATCTTCTTACTGGTAAACATGCCCTAATCCATGTTCTGGAATATTACCGGCATCTCTTCCCAAGGAGGAGCTGGGAGGGGGAGTGGAAGAAGAGGGAGATCTTCTCCCTGCCCAATGCTAACAAAACAAAACCAAGGGGCAGAGCAGTATCACTGTGTGAATATGTAAAACCTCTGTAAGAAATCAACTTCTGAAATGAATTTTTATTATTTATTTTAAAGATTTTATTTATTTATTTGACAGAGAGAGAGATCACAAGTAGGCAGAGAGGCAGGCAGAGAGAGAGGCGGAAGCAGGCTCCCCGCTGAGCAGAGAGCCCGATGCGGGGCTCGATCCCAGGACCCTGAGATCACCACCTGAGCCGAAGGCAGAGGCCCAACCCACTGAGCCACCCAGGCGCCCTGAAATGAATTTTTAAAATCAAAGCTTATTTCAAAGCAATAGGAGCCTTTTTAGTTTCTTTAGTAGACAATTTATTTTGATAAACTTGCTCAATAACAAAAATACAAGTGAAGAAAATTATGTTCATTTTATACAGTTTGTATTAACAATTTGTTTTGAAACTATTAAGTGAAAAATGTTATAACCAATTAGAAAACAATTCTTAATAAAATTTGGGGTAATATACAGACCTTGATCACAAACTCTAAAATCTCTTGAGGTGATACAACTAGTAAGTCCTGTGTAGGGAATCTAACCTACACAGGCCATGTTTTTCCTTCATATATTTTTATCCTTCAAAAATTAGTTCTGAAAGACAGCTTACTGTTTTGAACTGTGAATGTAAATTTAATTTTTAAAAGAAGATCAAAGTGGGTTGATAAAACAGTTACTACAATCGGAGTAACTTGTGGCTAGTAGTCTTTTAATAAAGACAAAATAAATGCAACATGTTCTTCCCATGAAGCCCACGATGCAAAATAATAGCTAAAAGTATATCTAAAGTTAGTTTCCAATACTTTTTCAGGGCCTTTTCTCTAAATCAATAGACTGTATGTCACCAGGACTATTATTTTACTTAAGATATTAAACAGTGAATTCACAGAACATCAAGCAGGGATATCAAAGCTTTAGGTAAAAGGGTAAAAATCAATGAAGCGTTTTGGTCATTTAGAACATTAAAAAAAAAAAAAGAGCCATCCTTCAAAAACAAAACAAATGGAAGAGAAAATAGGATAAGAAGACGAGTCAGAAAAATTACTACACACATTAACAACATAGAACATGGATTACCTTTGGAAAGAATCATACTGAAATGTTTGCTTTTAATGAATTGAAGATTTTTTCATGTTTACAGATGTTTAGGCATGTTCAATAGGAGCTTCCAAAAATTCCAAACTAATTTAAGTCTTGTGCAAATAAAACCTATAAATAGTTTTCAGCAGATTTTACAGTGATGTTCTTAGGTATGAGAAGAATGCACACACTCTAAAAACAATGTAACAGACAAAAGTTTGACAAATGATTGCACCATAAAACAGTGTTTTATATACAGTTTACAAGATATGATTTCCTGCTATAAATTAATACTGTACTATATAGTACTTATTATAGTGACCTTTTTAAAAGCAACTGCTGACAGTTGTCTATCTTTCCACTTACAGGATTTATAGAATTTTATATGAATGAATCCATTTCATTGTTTGGTCTGGAAGAGTACAAAGATTTGACTTCACATACTACTTGATGGGATGGTCTCAATCCTGGGTAGTGTGCTGACTGGTTAGAGGGAGTGTTCCTCTATCAGCCCTTTATGCACTGGACCTCCAAGATATGATGAAATTAAAGACAACTTGATGGTTTGGGTAATAGATACAAATAAAACCTTAAATTTTGTCATCTTATATGCAATACCACTGTAAGTGACAGAAGTAAACAGTGGGGAAATTCTTAGCAGCTGAGAAACTTTCTCTCCCCATGCTCATGATCCAGTTAAAAATATTTTGAGAAACTATTTACAATAAAATTCATCTTTTGGAAGAGAAAAGCTCTTGGTCACATCATAAATTAAGCTGAACCATACTTTGCTAACACTTTATCTCAGTGGTATAATGGTGACAACCAAAACTTTCCTTCAAAGTGATCCATTCGATTGAGAACCAATCAAATCACAATGGGAACTGCAATCCCAAATGTCCATGGAACACAGAATCCAGTGGTATTCTCAGAATTAACTAGACATCATAATACTTGGGGGAAAACAGTCTCCTTCAGTCATTTCCCAAAGGTTTCTTTGACCCTGGGAAGGAAAAGTGTGACCTTCCCCAAGAATACTCAAGGAATGCACCACAGTGGTGGTTCACCTCTTACCCTGACTCCTGAGTGAGCTGAAACACTGGGGTTTTCTTTCACAATAAAATACTGTTGAATTAACAGTAAGATATATGAACGTCAAACAAGCCAGTGTGAAACACATCAGGCTCCTCCATTTTATACTTTGAATATCTGAGGAGGCAGCCCCATTTATGAAGTAACCCTTTTATAATTTATAATTGAGCTTTCAAAAAAACAGTGCATTCGTTTCTGTTTGTGTGAAGCATGGACTACACGGGACTCTAACTCTACTAATAGGGACATTTGGGTTGCCATTTCACTAGAAAGGAGAAAAACTTAGCTCCATTGCCAAGAAAGAGCCTCCTGCCCCACATTTCAAACAGGAGATTATCTATAGTGTTCATCCGGAAAAAGAACTAAGCACTGAGATGATAGCATGGAAATGTGGAGAAGAGAAATACCGTATTTTAAAACTATTTGTGGATTCGGGGGTTAGCTGCAATGCTGCTTCTAGGAAAAAACGTAAAGCTGTGGGTTTAGTACAGCCCTTTAAAGTAAATGCAAAAATGTTAGCTTTTAGCAAACAAAGGCATATAGCATATAAAGAAAATATTGTATTGCTCAGGTTTTTTGGTAAAGGAGATATATTACTAATGCTTACATGAAAAGAACATACATTTAGTTCTTAGAGCAGAGTGCAGTTAGTGTTGTAGACAGCCAAAGTATTATAAATTGATCTTACTAGTGAACTTTGTATTTATGTAAAGTTGTGTGCTTGAACATAGAAAATGCATTACTGATGTAACAGACTGAGCCGGTAGAAAAAGAGAACCCCTGTACAACAGACGACAGTTGCCAATAATTTAAATAGTGTCAGATTCCCCAAATTATAAGGTTTTACATGATCTTACCTTCTACTATCATATACAAATAAATTAATCCTACAAAGAATTTTAGCTTAACTTAAAATTGGACCTAAAAAGGTATGGGATTATTTGTACCTATTACAAAACCTGTTAAAATCAAGGGCTGCTACAAAGAATGAGGTAAACTGAAGACTCTCTCCACTATGCAGCCTTCAGATAAATGGCTTTTTTTTTCTATTGAGTTCTAGGTTTGCACACCACAGTGTTTTGCTAGCAAAGCATTCAGAGTTCTCTTCCAGGAACTGTTTGCATGTGTGTGTATATAAATTTACACACACACATACACACACACACACACATATATACACACTGTATACTGCATCAGCAAAATATATATATTATATATATATTTATATAAATATAAGGAATATTTCCCCCACCCACCCACCCCCAACAACATGTCTCTTAGTGTTTGATTTTTTTTTGTTTTGTTTTGTACACAGAGAATAGGGAATTTCAGGATTTTTACATACATTTTAGCGAACAAGTTTTGATCTATTGGCTTCTTGGTGTAGTAATGCAACAGCAAATCATTCTGGTGCCAAAGGCTCATACCGTTACAAGGAAGCTGTGAACACTAATTTCTTAGGAGGTGAGGCCAGCCCCACATGAACTTCTCTTGTAACCCTCTGGTCCACCATGATTCATAAATACTTAGACTTTTTTTTTTCATCAATCATTAGACGTTAAAAACAGAACAACAAAGTCACAAAGGGCCACATGCTTTTTAGTATAAAGCATTCTCCTTCACTAGGTTGCTATCACAGTGCAGACCTGACTGCCTGAATATGCTCAGGAGATTTAGTCAATATTGTCTGTATTTGGTTATGGAAAAGGCTCTCCTTATTGTTTTTTTTGTTTGTTTGTTTTGTTTTTAAATCCAAAGTGCATAGTGAGAACAAATCAAAGCATTTTTTTTTTCCTGTTCAGCATCAGTTTCATCTAAGCGTCTTCCTACGAGAGGACTACTTAGACGCCTTGCCTTTGTCCTCCCCCCTCCAAAAATAAAAAAATAAAATAAAATAAAAAATAATAGAAGAGTTGAGCAGTTTAGACATTCATCAGCCTGGTAAACAAACTTTGCCAGCAAATAGAAGTCCTACTATTGTAAAGAAAATTGATAAGACAAAAAGTACATATGATGACCCAACTACTGTGTTGTTGGGTAATTTATAAGGTTGACCTCCGACTTCATTGATGTAAAATCCTATCGGAAATATTAGGGCGGCCATACAGAAAAGGATCACTGTAAAACAAACCAAAACACAACATTAGTAACATGGTTTGGTGACTAAGAAAACAATGAAAATCTGGCACAAAGTAAGTTTATAAGAAGGGTTGTGGGTTGATAACATGGCCAAACCTGTTAAAACATTGACCACTTGTCAAAAGATTTTACATCTTCTACAGATCACGTAATATCCCCAAAACCTAACAATTATATACAGGAAAAGCTGTACTAGCCTTTAATACGTGTTAGGATGATTTTGAGTATCAGCATTAAGAAAGGTCTCCAAACTTACTAAGTAAGTGCTTATATAAACTATTCTTTTTTAAATTTTTAATTAAAAAATTGAATTCCTGTATATTTAGCAGACATGTATTAATTTCAGGTTGTGCATAAACTATATTTGACCACTTAAAATAGTGACTAAGGGCTCGAGCTAGAATTAGAGAGGGGCTGTGTTCTGGTTCCACTACTTATTAGCTATGCAATCTTAGGCTTCTGGTTCCCTTCTAAAAATGGGGTAAATACCAGAAGGATAAACAAAACAATGTCAAGTCCCTGGCACTGTGCCAGGTTGATAGTAAGTTCTGAATAAATGTTGCATATTATCAGTTATTACTCTGCCAATTCCCTGTTCCTCTCTGTTGATATTAGAAGGAATTGGAGAAAAGGTACAAATATAGTACTATTTATCTTACTCTATCACTTAGTGGAAAGAACCTCAGACTTCTGAGATGATTAGTAAACTGTCAAGAGTGATTCTCTCTCATTATGGACAATGTTAGAAAAAAATAAAATCTCTCTCAGGTTTTCTGAGTACACAGGCTAAAATGGGGCGGGGAGGGCTTCTTTGCATTTTGTATGCAAACACAATGAAATATATTATTTGCTAAAATGTTTCTAGAAAGGTATCAGAAAACCCAACATCTGGGCAGAATTCCACAGCTTTCTGTTTAAGCAAACAGCTTGTGGCCCAGGGCTACCAAAGAAACATTCTTCCTACTGTACACAAATTACCTGTTGATAGGCTAGCTTTCCCAAGAGACTGTTTCATGCTTTTTGAAAGTACATTGGTCAAAGGTTCATAGTCCTTCAAATTTCTTTGGAGGCAGAAACATTTCTTCAGCGTAATATGAAGACCGGTTACTATACTCACTGCATGTGAAGGGGTGAAGCTTTCCATTATTAACCAAATGAGAAACTTCCTCCAAGTTAAACATATCCCCAGGAATACAGACAAAGTCCTGGATAAATATAGCAGCTGACAGTTGTCCTAAATTTTTTTTGTGTTAATCAATCAACAAATTTAATAGGAGAGACCTTAAACAGCCAATTAGGAATCTTTTCCTGGAAGAAATACCTCTAGGGTAATATCCAAGGTATTAAAAAGTAACATTTTCTTAATTAATACACTGGTTTATAGAACACATCAGCATTCTTGTTAGCTTTGCACCACCTAGATGGATTATCTTATATTATGCAGACAGCCGACTTCATTTTGGGCCAACAACCACATCAAATAATGTTACATAAGTGATTTTGTACTCTTTCAGGTCCCTACAAAGGAACAAATGAAAAATTCACATATTAAGTATTAGATCTTTTGGCCTTTCTGTTGTACCGTCAACAGCAAGACTATTAGTGCTGTCAATGCCCATTTATCAGTGTTATATATCACCAATTTCTAACAATTCTTATGCCTTAATATGGTTTGGTAAATAAAATGAAACCGTAATCCAAGTAGCTATACACAATCTAACCGAAAAACAATGGGATAAAGTTATTGCTTTAAAAACAATTTGTTAATGTTGACTCACATAATCTCAAGAAACACATATAATTTAGAAGTGCTTAGAGATATGCAGATATTACAATTGTTTATCCTGTTAATGTGCCAAATTCACTCCTATCTTTTTCTACTTTCTGCTCTAAAATAAAAATCTATCCTTCATAATGGAGTAATCATTTAATGATTATATTTAAAGTAGAGTTTAATATTTTACAAGAGTTAAATACTTTCCCAATTAGTTAGGAAAAGCTTAATCAAATACTAAGGAAGCAGTAAACTTCTATTTGATCTAATCTTGGTTTTTAATCCAAAGAGTTAGGTTCTCTATACTTCTGGGAAGATTTAGTATAAGTGGATGAGTTTCCTTTTAAGCTCTTGGGACCTGTGAGGTTACTTTAGATCTTAAAATATTATTTTTTAAAAGAGATTTATTTATTTATTTATTTAACAGACAGAGAAATCACAAGTAGGCAGAGGCAGACAGAGAGAGAGAGGGAGAAGCAGGCTCCCCGCTGAGCAAGGAGCCCAACGTGGGGCTGGAGCCCGATGTGGGGCTCGATCCCAGGACCCCGAGATCATGACCCAAGCCAAAGGCAGAGGCTTTAACCCACTGAGCCACCCAGGTGCCCCACAAATTTTTTTTTTTTTTTTAGATTTTAGTTATTTATTTGACAGAGAGATCACAAGTAGGCAGAGAGGCAGACAGAGGGACAGGGGGAAGCAGGCTCCCTGCTGAGCAGAGAGTCCAATGTGGGGCTCGATCCCAGGACTCTGAGATCATAACCTGAGCCAAAGGCAGAGGCTTAACCCACTAAGCCACCCAGGCTCCCTAGATCTTAAAATATTATTAATGCTGATAATATCTATCAACTTTTGACAATTAAATTTTGGGTCCTATATAAGACTATAAAGACATCACTTCTTATCTTCCATGGCGGAGATTTCTTGATGGTGAGACTCAGATACTGAGTTAGTTTACTGGGAGATGGGAATGTAAATTACAGTGGCAGAGTTAAGGATAAGGGTCAGACTTCAAGAAAAAGACACATTTTTGTTACCCTTGCCCCCACAGGCAAGCTGCATCACGTGTGGCTCTCCTCTGAGAGAGTTCCCCACTGTGTAAACCTGTTAGAAAATGTTACTCTGATATTTTTACCAAAATTACAGTTTAAGAGGAATGGAAATATATACAATAGAAATAAATTCAAAGGCTGAATGGAAATATCAGGGGGAGTTAGATGCCTCTCAGAACTGCCACCCTAGTGGACTAGCTCTGGTAACAAAAACAATGTATTTAAGGAAGCTGAGAAGAGTAACGCAGCCCTATGCTTACTCAGATGACATTAACTATATTGCTCAGCTAAAAAACCAAGGTACAGAACAGTATAAATAGAATATATATTCATAGAACATTTACACATATACATATATGTTTCTACGCATAGGACACCTCTGGTAGGAAATCCCAGAAACTGGTAACAATGGTTGCTTCCAGCAAAGAGGTACTAAATGGCAAGGTCATGAAGCCACACATGAGACTTACTTTTCCCCTGGCAATCCTTTCTTAGGCTTTCAATTATGTATCATAGGCACATATTATTTTTAGGAGTTTTATATTATTTAACTAAAAAATAAAGGGTAAACACATTACATTTGGAGGTAGCTACATATACTTACGTATCTGTTGAAAGGAACTGAAAAACAAGATAACCATAGTTCTTTCTGTTTATTGGGTTCCAAGAACCAAAGGCTCACATAAGTATTTTAATGCTTTCTTTGACTCATACTAGAGTAGTGTTATTATTAAATTACATTTTATATTTTTGGTATTCAGAGCATATGCCTTCCCAAATGTTAACTAAATCCAGAAACTAAATCCTGCCACGTTGACTTTATTTTATTCCTTAAAGAATGAATTCTATCTGGATAAGTAATTGTTATCTGTGAGTAAAGAGTCCCTTAAAATTCTTCATCAATTAATTTAGTAGCACTGTCTCTACAACTGCCTGCGGACCCTACTATTCAGAAAAGAATGGTCTCAGGAGGTCTGTTTGACCTCAAACAAGGTCATCAACTTGTTATACTTTTCTTAATAAGAACGGAGAAGACTTTTTTAGTCAAAGTCAACTTGGTCTAAATTTTAAAATTAAGGGAGATGTACAGATAGAAATAAAACAACAGAGCCAGAAACATACACATTAAAGAGTTTCATAGAGAGATAGGGAGAAACTGAGATTCATGAACTAATATCTCTGTCTTAAGGTCTTTACGGATAAACTGAGCTTTAACATTAATAAGGATCCAAGGGATTATGGCTTACCCCTACCATACAAGTTCTAAATGAAAATATCAAGTGAAAGTAAGCCATGTTATAATATTCACTTTTAAAACTTACGCAAACCTGATATAATTATAAGGCACTGAATTAGAAGTTAAATCCCGTGGTATTTGGCATAAGGATTGTTATCCTGTTTTTTAGAGCAGAGTTTCTCAACAGGGCCAATTGCCACTTTGGCCTCATAAGTCTTTGTTGTGGGCAGCTGTCCTTTGCATTTGTGGGAGGTTTTGTCATTATCCCTGGCCTCTACTCAAGATGCCAGTAAGACCCCCTTAGCTGTGACCATCAAAAATATTTCCAGACACTGACAAATATCCCCTGGGTCGGGGGGGACAAAATTGCTTCAGAAAGAAGCAAGAAAGCAAAATTACAGAAATATCTTTCATTTGTGCATTTTTTGCTGCTTTTAACTTGGGAAAAGCCCCTGATGTGCTGGGAAATTAAATTAATTTTGTAGAGTACAAGAGAATGTATAATATATATCATACCCTGGGGCAGAGCTTAATGGAGTATGAAATGTTGATAAATAACTATTAACCAAATGTGTTGGTTTTTTCAAAGGTCGCACAACTCACAGTAGAAACTCAAAATTAATATTAAAAAACAAATCACCACCTTAATCTAATTTATATTTCTGTACATTTTGTTCTAGATTTACTTTTATTTGGTAGAGGATACCAATACCTTCAAGAAGAGTAAAAGACTCAGGCTAGTGATAGCTCTGAGCCCAGACCTGGAATGCTTATGTCACAATGTGAGCAAAACCAAAATTCATTAATAGAGCATTTCATACAAAGCAATTAATGTTTTGGATGTCTTGATCTTGTGGAGAGAATTCTGAAGAACTGATGGGACTGTGTAGAGTCTATATGACGGCCACAGCAAGTGGTGCTCTTTGATGATTATGGAGTCCTTATGACTGATTCTTGATATCTTCATTAAATACCAGTGTGCATGCCTTTTAGTAATTTAGTAAGCACAGATTACTTACTTCCAGTGAATGCTATCCATCGGGCATATTTTGTAGCTTCTCTCCGCCAGTGGGAAGCCACCAGCAAACCACATGTGACAGTCAATGAAATGATTCCCATGATGATAAAAAACAGTGTGGTGACCCACTCTGGGGGAAGCCGAGGTGGGATGCACGTCCGGTCTCGTCCATGGATTGTCTGACACTGTCGCACGAGGCCCACAGTGAGTGCTCCTGGGGAGATGCAAAAGGTGGGAGTATTTTAATGGGTTTGGCATTCCTGAGAAGTATCCCCCACCAACACTCCTTTAGTCCTTAAATCTAATTTCTGTGTAGTTCACGCAGGCATTTAATTCCACTGAGTCTCACTATTCAGCATTCCACTGTAGTTACACTTAACATACAAAGTGAACTTAAAAAAAAAAAAAACAAACCTCACAAAACCCACAAAACGCAGTTCTTTCAGTCACTCATTAAGCAAATACTTTTCAGAGTACTTTGTATGAGGCAGTGAGTGTTCTGAGCTCCAGGGAAACAACAGTGAATAAGACAGATGGGGCTCCTGGTCTTTCTGAGCTTACACACTAGCCAAAAGAACTGGAACTCTTCTATTCGCAGATCCAAGACTCACTGTATATTATCTGATTTTGGATGAGGAGAAAAACACCTTTCAGGAAACTGTAAACAAACTTGAAATACATCTACTCATAATATATAGATAAAATTAAATAATGGATTCAATATTAGAACCAATATATTTTATTAAAGTTAAAAGGCCTAAGAACAGGGGTGCCTGGGGGGGTTGGTTGGTTAAGTATCCAACTCTTGGTTTTGGCTCAGGTCATGATCTCAGGGTCCTGGGACTGAGCCCCACACTGGGCTCTGTACTCAGCACAGAGTCTGCTTGAGATTCTCTCTCCCTCTCCCTCTGGACCTCCCCTGGCTTGCAAGCTCTTGTTCTAAAATAAATAAATAAACAAATATATAAATAAAATCTAAAAAAAGAAAAAGAAAGGCCTAAGAATATTACAATAGAAATACTTTTCAATTAAATTCAAGAAAATGTTGGGAAAACTAGTAGGTTCCTCCCTGTGGTAAGTTCAACAATTCTTGTGCAATGCACAAGTGTTCAGATTGCTAAACCATTACTAGTATGCTTCAGCAGAAAAGCATAAAGTCATTAGTGATAATTTTTCAAATGCCCCTTCTCCCATTTACATAACATGATGGCAATTTTTGTAAAACATTAGGTGCTATTTTTTTTTAAAGATTTTATTTATTTATTTGACAGACAGAAATCACAAGTAGGCAGAGAGGCAGGCATAGAGAGAGAGGAGGAAGCAGAGTCCCTGTGGAGCAGAGAGCCCAATGTGGGGCTCGATCCCAGGACCCTGGGATTGTGACCTGAGCCGAAGGCAGAGGCCATTAGGTGCTATTTTTACATAAACATGTTCTTGTATCAAATCCAAGGAACTCCTCTATCAAACTTGGGGTAAATTAATTTACAGAAAACCAGATAAGGGGAAAATATTTATTTTATTCTCTTCCCATTAAGAACAATTAAAATGTTACTTTTGAGTGAAAACTGTTTCTTTCTCCCTTTAAAAGCAAGTGCAAATGGGAAAATGTTGCTTAAAACACAAGAAATTTCTGGAACCATTGAAAGCATAACAGATTTCTGCATCTTTTTTTTTTTTTTTGGTCTTAATTATTTTCTCAATTTGAACAAAAATAATGACAATACCAACAACAAAAGACATTCGCCCTGCGATCATGACCTGAGCTGAAGGCAGAGGCTTAACCCACTGAGTCACCCAGGCGCCCCATCTTAGGTTACTTCTTACTTTCCGTTTATGGACATGACAAAGAGCGTCAGGGCTCAAATTTAACATAACCTCCTGTGCCGGTAGATCTGAGTGGGATTGTTCCTGCTTCCCCTCCTGACTGGCGTACCACACCAGGTGAATACAACAGAACAAGTAAGAAAATGAAAATTAGAGCTATCCCTTCCACAAAGCAAATGGAAATAAGCTGACAGATGTTCGGTTTTAAAAGAATTATGTTCCTGTATTTAGAAAAGTCCTTATTACCACAAATTGAGATCAAACACTCCGCAGCTACGTTCTGGAAGAAAAGAAAGCTTAAGCTAGCTGATAGTCGTAAGATATGCTGTATATAAGAAAAGCAATTCACAAAATTGTGTATTATTGAATGTCTTTGTGTCCAGCACTGTTATAGTGGTTAGAGATTCCAAAAACTAACACTCTGTCACACTTACAGTGAAAATAGACTTTCCCTAAATAAATTATACAGGCTAGTACAAAGACTCAACATTGTTGCTGAAGTTCTTTTTCATGAGTAAGCCTCTAAGTCAACATAGTTTCTATCATACTGTCTGCGGAAAGAGATCTGCAAATGTACCTGTGCTGCTACTATTACATCTTGTAAATTCTGGTACTGTTAGTACCCAAACTCACACCAGGTTTTTAAATCTCATCTTTTACCTCAAAGAAGTATGTCCCGCTTGTAGATTCAAATCCATCGCTTATGTTGACTAGCCAAGATCTTTTACAACCTCCAAATTCTCTGGACACATCACACAATCTTGTACTTGATTTTAAGGTAACTTCTTTTTACCTCAAACAGAAAATGGGCTTTGAAGGAAGGAACTGACCCCTCTACTTGACTGGTCACCCCCAGAATGGCCTGCAGCAGTGGGCATGAAGCAGGAATTAATAAGCAATTGGTGAACTTAAAAGAATTAAAAACGAGCTATATTTAAAATCACATAGCATTAAATAGTTTCTTCTACAGACCTTGTCTTGGGGTGATTTCCTAAAGTGCACTAATTAATAATTTAGGCACAAGCTCATTCACTGATTTTTGTTTTGTTTTATCCAACAGGTCTTTTGCTTCTGTAAGGGGCCTGTAATTCCATTTCTCAAACAGCCAATCCATCTTTACCCTGCAGCTGTTTCCTAGGTAACCAATCCAGCCAAATAAAAGACTTGCACACAATAGGAAAAAGGAAACCAAACTAGGAACTACAGCATCCCACATTGCCTCTCAGTAGCTCACCTGTATATCATTACACAAAAAAGGAAGTCATAATGAGTCTTTGCCTGTTGAGTGGGTATCTTAACCAAAGAGGCTTCTGACTCTCGTCATCTATAGATCTAGACACTGCTGAAAAGATTTAACTGAACCAGTCTGAGCATGTCTGTTGCCACAATGAGGATGATTATAAAGCATGTCATCATTACAAGTAAAAGCTGTGCCACAGAAAATTGGAAACACAAGGGTTATAAAGCAGACACACAAACCCAACAGAGTCTGTCAGAGCTAATTGCATCTAGTAAGTGCTTGCCTACCTGGCCACAGAGAGCAGTGGGATGACAGGGTTTCTGATGAGAAGTCAGGTGTCAGCAGTATTGAGGATCTTGTGGATAGGGAAATACACTTTTTTCCTGCTGTTTTTCATGATTTTATGTCTTTGGTTTTTTTACTATGATTTGTCTATGTGTGGCTTACTTAAAATCTATCCTACCTGGAATTTGTTGAGATTCTTCAATGTGCAAATTTAAACTTTTCATCAAATTTGGAGAGATTTCAGTCCTTATTTCTTCAGTTATTCTTTCAACTCCTTTCTTTCTCTTTTCTCCTCCTAGGACTCCCATGATATATTTGTTGGAAGACCTGGTAATGTCCTGTTGGTCTCTCAGCCGAAGGCGGACACTTAACAACTGAGCCCCCTGTGCCCCCCGCATTGGCCTCTCAATTGCTCTATTCATTTATTATTATTTTTCTGCTTCTCAGATTAAATCATTTCAATTGACTTGTCTTCGAATTTGCTGAGTCTTCTGCCAATTTTTCATTTCAGTTATTGCTCAGAAATTTTTTTTTCTTTATATAATTTCCATCTTTTTATTAGATATTCTCTACGTGATGAGACATTGTTTTCTTGCATTAAGTCTTTACACATGATTTCCTTTATTTTTTGGAATGTACTTATAAGAGCTAAACTTGTACATGTACATTTAAACTCTCTGTCTAGTAACCCCAGTGTCTGGGCTTCCTCAGGGGCTGTGTCTACTGACTGCTTTTATTTTTCTTGTGTATAGGCCATACCTCCCTGTTTGTATGTTTTGTAATTTTTAGTTGAAGACTTAAAATGTAAAATATTACAATGTGACAACTATGGAAATCAAATCCTCCCAACCCCAGGGTTTATTGTTGTTACTGTTTACTGACTTTCCTGGAATAGTTCTGTAGAGTTTGGATCATTGTTGTGTCTCAGTTCCATTAGCTTAGTAGTTAGCTAATGGCTAGAATGAGATTTCTTTTTTTTAAGATTTTTTTAAAATCATGTGTTTGACAGAAAGAGCACAAGGTGGGGGGGGGCAGAGGGAAAGGGAGAAACAGACTCCCCACTGAGCAGGGAGCCCAATGCTGGGCTCGATCCCAGGACTCCAGAATCATTCATTACCTGGGCTGAAGGCAGAGGCTTAACTGATTGAGCCACTCAGGCGCCCCTGGAATAAGATTTCTTTAAGTCCCTTGAATTGGTGTGTCTCTCTGTTGTGGTACATTTTCACTGGTCCATTAAGCAATTAACAACTCTGCCTTAGTACGCTCTTCCTACTTGCATAGAGCCTCAAGGTTAGCTAGAGGCAAGAGATTAATTAGCTAGAGGCAAGAGATTAATTAAGACCTTCATAGGTCTTTCTTGGATATGTGAAAAGCCCTAAATATGTGTAGCACCTTAAATATGTGTAGAACCTTATAGATTCTGAGGGATATGTTGGAGTTTTTCAAAGACTCCTTTGGCCATCCTTTTCCTTTATGTTTTTTTGGTTGGCCTTTTGTTAATGTCAAATAATACCACCTCAGCTAAGTACCTGTAATCTTTAAAATTTTTTACTTATTTATTTATTTGAGAGAGAGAGAGAGTGAGCGCATGAAAGGGGGGGGGATGGACAAAGGGAGAGGGACAAGCAGACTCCCCACTGAGCAGGGAGCCTGACTAGAGGCCAGATTCCAGGCCCCTGAGATCACAACCCAGGCCAAAGGCAGATGCTCAACCAACAGAGCCACCCAGGTACCTGCGATGTTAAACAACTACTGCCGATTGTTCTGAACAAATATTCTGGGGGTGAGACTGAGCAAGCTCTGAATCTGGTCAAATAAAGGTAAGGCCTGAGGAGATTCTCAGTGAGCTGACATATCAAATGGTA